CGGCAACTACGACGCGTGGGCTTTCAAAAGCCAGATGCTGATGAGTAGGACTGACCTGTGAGGATAAGGTTGGCATGGTCAGTAAGCCCTTGAGCAACGACAGAACAGCCGCTGAATATAAGCGCCGGGTTGAGAAGGCCTTGATGACGCTGGCGCTTGTCATTGGTGACAAGATCACTGGCTCGACCCCACGTGGTGAAGACAGCTAAAGCGCTGTGGGTTCGAAACCAAGTATCAGCCCAACCAGGGCGTTTGCCTTCTTCATCGTGAAGAGTGATTTTGGACTGTCAATAAGGGCTCACCGGAGAGCATGTAGGTACGTTGACCGCGTCGCAACGACTTTCGACAAGGTCAAAGCACAAGGAGTCGAAAGATTGGAGGCCCACTACTGCCTCGCCACCCACGGGCTCGACTCACGTTATGACAACATTGCCCAGATTCTCAAGCAGCTTGGCGGTCAGTCAACAAGACAATACAACGACGCAACACCACTTCTGGAGGAGCTGAGCCAGCCTCGCAACGATGCCAGCGAGACAACTGGCTCAGTCACATTCTGCAAGCATCATTCTACGCATGGTGGCAAGGGACAGGTGTTTTGCTGGAATTGTCAGGCAAGGCCACTAGCAAAAGGAATTTCGAACGAAAATTAGTGCATAGAGTTACTTCTCGGCCCCGAACCCGCCCCCGCTTCCAGAGATGAGAGGACGGGATTCACCCTATGTAGGGTTAGCCTGCTGTGCGCAAAAGTCAGCGACAACAGAATCATCAGACTCACCAATGGCGGTAGAATCAAAGCAGTGGCCACGGGCGACTACGGTCCGATCTGCGTCAAGACGGAGAAGAGAACCGTCGTCGATATCTATTTCAAGAATGCACTTGAGGTTCAATGCATGCAGCTAAACCTCAGTATCGCCAATGTAATCAAACTCGCAGAGGGTGGCAGCTGTATCACACTCGAGGATGAGGTGATACCTGTTTTGGGCAGTGAAACGGCATGGTGGCCATAATAGCAGGTTAGAACAACAGTATTCTAGCTCTCCCTGTAATGCGGCGAAATACCACCGCAATGCAGATTATGCAGCTGCAGATGGTGAACTATGTCACCGATACCTCCGCCACGCAGTGCATGGCTCTCGCAATGCAACCTGCAAGGTCAAGAGCTTGCCCATTACAGAAGCTTTCTGCGCTTGTGAAGCGCAGGCACTCGGAAAAGCGGCCCAATCCCTATAGAGCCCCAAAAAGCAAGCAGAGGGCAGCGTGTGTTTGAAAGGGTGCACATGGACACTATTGCACCTAGGCTCATGGAGAGTGCAAATGGCGTGCTCTACTTCCTGACCTGCACAGTTGAAAGGTTGGGCAATGTCTAGGTTTATACTAGCAAATCATGAGAATATCGAGTCCATTGATAACTGGAACTGCTAAGTGGAGAAGGAGAAAGGCAAGGAGATCAAGATCCTCCGCTCGGACAATGGCGGTGACTGTGTCGGCATGCGGATATAGTAACTTCTCCGGTGACACCGTAAACGGGGCGAAAGATGAGCCTCTATACACGCATCAACGGAACGGACGCGCCGAATATCTCAATCTGACTCCTCTCAGTATGGCTCGAGCATGAATCAGCAAGTCGAAGCTGAAAAAGAGGCTCTAAAGTGAGGTAGTCGCAGCAGCAGCCTCGAAGAATAATCACTACGCATGCACTGTGCATTGCAATGGATGCACCATATTCCAGATTCCAATAGAAGCATACCACAATCGCAAGATTTCGATCGACCATCTTCGCGCAATACGCTTAACGGTCTACGCTGTGCGCGATGGAGCCCTAGAAGGCACCAAATTGGACGAGTGCACAGTCAAGGGCATCCTTGCTAGGTGCGACAGCGCTACGACGTACCGTGTCTGCATCCCCAGCCTCAAGCAGCTCATCTGGCCTCGACCACATTAGGGTTATCGAGGCACCAGACAAGCCTACACATTGATGTGCAGGAGCACGAAACAGCCGGTTGCGAAATCACTATACGTGAAGCTCCACAAGCAGCTTGCGCCAATGGACGCGCCAAGAAAACCTGATGAGGGGAACAGCGGCTGGCACAGCAGCAGGCACCAATGTAAAAGGTCGAGGAGGAGCGATCCTCACATGAGCACTAAAGTACCCATTACCCATTTTGAGAAAGGTGGACTCGTCCCAGTAAGCCACTTGGCGAATTCAGGCACGTAGTGTTATCAGACTCGGCAGCCACGATTTTCCTCCGATCTAGCAAAGTCGTGCACTCACACTGAAGCCCTCGGAAGCGACGACGCAGACAATGGGAGACGACAACCAAGGGCGACCTCAACAGCCTCAAGAACAACGAACCCTGGGTCGAGGCAAAAGTGCCATCAAACAGACCAGTTGTGGGTGCGAAATGGACATTTATGGTTAAAATGCGAAGGCGACAGCAATGTGCAGCGGAATAGAGCAAGACTAATGGCCAAGGGCTTTCTCGCTTGTTGATGGGAAAGATATCAATGAAATGTATGCGCTCGTCTTCGGACTGACCACCCTCCGCGCAGGAATCACTCTGGCTGGCATGAACAATCAGCATTTACATCAGCCGGACCTCGAGATCGCCCACCTTTATAGCGAGTGCGAGGAGAAAGTGTACCTCGATCCATTCACCGGAGTGCAGTTCTCGGCCTGCATGTTCTCGCGCAAACGTAAAACCATTTACAGTGGGTACTTCAAGTAGGTCGAAATCGGCTCAGTAAGATCAACACGAGTATTCGGCAGATTGGCCTCACCAGTGGCGAAAACAACCAATGCTTACACACAGGCACGATTGATGACAACTTCACTGCCTTGATGGCTTCTGTTCTTGACATCGTCATCGCAACTGAGCATCAGGAATCAGCTCTTCGATTGTGAGACCTGCTGTTCAAGTTGTTCCACAACAAGGGCCTCAGGCCGCTTCAGGAGTGCCTCGGCCTACGGATCTGACGCAACACTCTTGCCGGCAGTATCGTATCAACCAGGCAGCCTACGCAAGGACAATGCTTCAAAGGTTCGACATAGCAGGAAGCAAGGCTATTGCAACTCCCGCCTCCAACGCGCAAGAGGATGTGAATGCTAGCAAGGCGAGCAAGTCCAAGCGGTTTAACGATGCGGTAATCGGATCATTGCTCTATCTAGCAATCCCGACTCAGCCTAACCTGGCTGACTAATCACCAGGGCTGGACAAAACAGCGTCGAGCTGACAGCAGCAGCTTAGTATGGTGCCGAGGGCATCATCATACGGTGCAATCGAGGGACTGGCAACATCGGATCGAGTTCAGGTGCGCGTCAGTGGTACGAAACCAGTCAGGCTTCTCTGATTCACTCTGGGCAAGCGACAAAAAGAGGAAGTCTATGACTGGCCTCGGGTTCTCCTTCACATCGAACGTTATCAACTGGTTGTTATGGAATAGAGCAAGGTCGCGCGTTTTTCACGAAAAGTAGAGCTGACAGCAGCAAGCGAGACTACGCACGAAGCAGCTTTGGCTGCAGAAGATTCTTCGGAATTTACATACGTCTATGAGCGCGGACATCAAATCGACAACAATGGCGCAATTCATCACATCCTCGGCAATTTAAAGCATGCAAGAAGCAAGCACTATGGCAACGAGCTCAAGTATGCACTCAAAGTACCCGAGAGAGGCAGCGTCAAGTTCGAGAGGGTCAACAGCAATGCCACTATCATTAACCTATTTATCAAGTCGTTGGAGAGAAAGCAGGTGGAAACGCATCGAGTTGCAGTCGGGGTCGTCGACTGCACATATTGAAGGAATGGATCATTACGAATATGTTAAGATGCTTTGATTCTTCTTGTTATCTACGCCTCACACTCTCTGGGCAATGTGTGTGACCCTTCATATATCTTCAAAGTGCTGGCTTCACGCGCAGGCATTGTAGCTCGGCCGTTGCTCTCGAACATTTCCTTCCATGGTATTCTACGGGCTGTTCGGCTTCAACATGTTTCGTCATGCTTTGCTTCGTTTCACTCATTTGTCCGAACTGGTGCTGCTTCTGCGTCGCACTACTCGGCCAACATCGCGATTCTCTGCTCCTATGGCTCAGGTGTTTGCAACATCGCAGCATCGTGCTCAATCCTGATCAGTATCGTAAGGCGAAGTGTATAGCGCTATGATACCATTTCGTGCGCGACGAAGTTCACAAAGCAAAGTATGGATCGACGCAGTCAACGGGCTCGAGAATCCGGCTGATCGAATTAGAATGAGCCTGCTGCAGCACCATTCGCGTTGTCTGTCATCGGCTCTGGGCCTGCTAGGCCTCCAAACCTGGTCGCGCACAAAACGGTATAGCGCGATACGCTTCGTCGTGTGATGCTGCTCAGGATTGAGTGAAATGCTGCGAGTACATGAGCTATCGGAGCAGAGGATCAAACCGTCGGCTGAGTAGTGCAGTTCGCTGGAAGTGAACCTGATAGTGTTGCATCCTGCGTCCACCTTCACCACTTTTGGGTGGGGGGGGGGGGGGCTTTTCCGGGTAGCTATGTTGGGCAGGATTAATTGGATGTTACACTATTCTCAGGTTCGAGGTCTTGCGCAGCACTGCAGGCAGGGCTGTCGATGTTTGACATGCATGATATGACGTACACGACTCTAAAACACAGTGCCCTCGCCTTGGAAGCGCACCAGGCGGACTACCAAGGTATGTCGTTTAATGGTGCAGAAAGCTATACAGAAAAAGGAAATGGTAGTGAAGAAAGACAGCGTGTGGACCACTGCTAGTCCGACGTCAGCAAGCTGAGAACTGCGCATCGACCACGAAAGAGTGCAAAGGAGCTGCATGTTATGAAAACGCCAACGAAAAGGACTCGAACACCTGTGGCATAGGCAATCAAATAGCATCTCTTTGGGGCTGTGTGTCTTTGACGCTCTGCGTGCGGGCTCCGCTTGATCTGCCGAAGTGCTGAGCTGCAGTTGACTTTCAAAACTACCACATCTCTTGGAGGAATTCTGATTTTGACAGACGTATACCGAATGGGGACCGGTCGCACTTAACATTAATCATTCGTCGTCGATTCAACGGGGAATCAGACATGCCACTACCATCAGCAGTAGAACTACACTCGCGTGCTTGCCTATGCATACTCGCATCTCTGATGAGTGACTGGGCGTCAAATTCGTAATTGAGATAAGGCAGCTGGTCAACCGGTCTTGGAAGTGCAAGTGAGTGCGACAAAGTAGCTAGGACCCAGAATAACTTATCAAGCCCACAATGTCGTTCTGCCAGAGGCATTCGCGGTTGCCAGCCGCCCGGGGCGGCGAGGATGCATCGCTGTCACCGCGGGGACAGCGGTGACGTGGGCTTCGTCATGCAGGGCTCGCAGCAATATCCCGTCAGCAGAGTAGATCTCGGCTCTGTGATTCATCGCGCCCATCTTGGTTGCAAAAGTATGTGAGTCATGGTGCGGCGATACCGCAAGACCGCTGGACTTACACTGAAATGCGGTGGAAGGTCTGGGTTCCGGTTCCACACCGCTCGAAAAAGTGTCAGCCATCGTCCTGTTTTTGGTGAGCAGGCCATTGTCAGCAATGATCAAAATAGTTTTACTGAAACGGGCAGTGCAAAGCAGACCCTCACCCGTTTGATTGTTATGGGGAATGGAAATGCCGCTCGAGGCGAGCGTGTCGGCGTGGTTGTCTGAACTCGCCTTGCCCTTCAAGGTGGCTTTCACTTTTAAGGTGGAAAGGTTCGTATCCCAGACTGAAAGGAAGCAAAGGCAGGCGATTGTCAGTGTTTGCTCGAATCACTCATGCAATGAATGTTGGTACTCATCCCACCTTTGACCATATCATCGTAGGTCACTGCCACCAATTTATCTCCCCTTGGACTGAAATCGACACTAGTGCAAGCACGCTTGGCCTGATGACTTGCTACTTGCGCTGTGTCATGGGTTTTCTGTAACATTTCAACGTCGACTCCCTTGTAATTAGCTGGCGCATCGGGCGTGAGCTTGATTGACTTGAGCGCGCGAACGTCAAACAGCCGAACATGTTGATCAAGAGACGCAGTTGCAATGCAATGCGGGGCCACTTGGTTTACGGACATGGCCCCAATCTGAACAAACGGACAAATATGATGTAAGGGCTTAAGGTGAACCTCGGAAGCCAAGCCCCCCGCTGCCTACCTTTTTCTCGCAGACCTGCCACCGTCTGCTCGATCCTCGCCGAGTCTTGTTCTCCCTGATGTCCAGGTGCACCAACCCGCCACGATGGTCTCCAATCCATATTGAGCGTTCGTCTGCGCCGGGCGATGGTGTATGCGTGAAAGCAGATGGGTGGATCGCTGGTGCGAGAATGTCGAAGATAGAGAGGAGCACATCTTCCTGGCCCCCCCAGACTTCGGAACTGGTGCTGGATGTCAAAGATAGCATTCGAATCGTAGAATCGTATGAAGAAGAGAACAGGCAGTCTGAATCCACCGGGTCGAAGCGGAGGCACGTCACTGGACTTCTGCCGTGTGTGTGCAATGACCACGCTTTTCCTTCCTGGAGAGTATCGGCGTCGTCGTTGGTCTCGGCTTCGTCCACCAGAGCATCCCAAACGCCGATGTTTCCCTCTTTGTCACCCATGAAGACGAGATCCTTTTCTTCTGAAGGGTGGTAAATCATGCTGTAAACCCGTGCAGCTGTGACTTTTGATGTGCTCTGGAGGCTCATACGGTTAAGAATCTTGCTGAGTTCCTGCGCGTCGCTGGACAATCGGGCAGGTCTGTAATCTTCGGGCGTTTGAGTGGGACGTGCAGACATGGAGGCCTGGAGGAGAGATTGTCGAAGAAGCTCAGACTCCTCTTCTCCCAAAAGACCCTCTGTTAGAGTCGCCAAGTTGTGGTCTTCATGCTTGGCCTTTTTGGCCTGTTCTGCTGCTAGCCTGGCCTGCTCCGCCTCCTCGTCATGCTTGCGTTTGAGACTTTCGTTCTCGGCTTCGAAGCCTTGCAGTCGCGCACTGCTTCGAGTAGCACGAATTGGCTGATCACGCTTCGGAGCCGGAGGTGTCTTGCGGGGCCGAGATGAAGGCTTTTTCTTGACTTGGTCCGGCTTCGCTTTGGGCAGACCCAACTCTTCGGAGCCACCTAAGACTTGCAGTTCTCGCATCAATTCTTCATTGCGTCTGATGTTTTCGAGGCGTTCTCTCTCGCTTTGGGTAAGCATGCGGATGAGAGTTTGTCAGACTTGGCCATTTCGCAGGTACCTCGATCTTGATCACATGCTCACTAATCGGACGCGAATGCCATGATGCCGGCCCGATGGTTGTGACTGTCTCGGATGTGGACGATTCTCGCGCCTGTGCTGTTTGAGTAGTAGGGTCTGTCTCACGCGCTCAAGCCTTGACCGTTGTTCACAATTTACTACAATCTGCTAGTCAAGAAGCTTGCGCAAAGTCTAGTGTCGCAATAGACTTAAAGTTACCGATGATGCAAATAGTAGGGCTATAGGATCTGTAGAAGCAGGTCTGACATTCCACTGCTGTATATTACAGATCACAGACGACGCGTCGCAAGAAGTCGCGGCCAGTTTCGATTCGTTAAATGTAAGCATGCAAGATCATTTTTTATTTTATTTTTTAAATTGGTCAATACTTGCATTCAAGGCATACATGCATGTGTCCATCTCCACTATGCACTCCTCGGTGTTGACTGTCAAGGCCACATCGTGAAAGGAAAGATTGAAGTGACGAAGGGCTTCGTTTACTCAGATGCACCTTTGAGCACCCCATTTGACGCTCCTAGGCAGACGAAAGAGCAGACCGCGACTCATTCCTCCGCAACGACCATGGCGCCTGGACTCAATCTTCCACCGCCGACCGCAGGAGCGCCAAAGGGCAAGCAAGCCACTGTAGACGACGTCGAGGACCACAACATCATTGTGGCGTCGACCACTGATGCAAACTCAGTGCCTCGCTTTTCATCTGGAAATGTCATCCTTCCACCCCCAGATATAAGAAATATTATCGCAAAGACAGCCGAATACATTGCAAGGCTAGGCAAGCAATTTGAAGAGCGCATGCGAAGCGAGGACAAGGGTGGGAAGCTTGCATTTCTCGATCCACAGGATCCCTTCCACGCCTACTATCAACAGACTCTAGAGGGATTTGCATCGGCCAAGGACGGTCTTGTTGATAGGCTGTCCGAGGAAGCGCCCAATCAACAACCGGGTGCGGTGGGCGATCCGGCCAAAGGACAAGTGCCGGTGACAGATGGCGCTGCCCAAGTGGAACCTTTTGCGCTCGAACCGGAGCGATTTTTGTTCTCTGCCGAGCTTCCTTCAACCACAGCTGTAGACCTGTGAGTTTTTGATCCTGACGTTAAAAGCCGATTCTTCCATGCCGAATATGGGGGATGACACTGACCGCGCTTTCTGGTGATGAATAGTGACGTTCTCAAGTTGACCGCGCTATTTACTGCCACGCGTGGACGCTCGTTCGCTTCGGACATCCTCGTAAAAGAAGGAAAATCGTTCCAATTTGAATTCTTGCGCCCTTCACATTCGCTCTTTCCATTCTTCAACAGACTTGTCGAACAGTATCGCCTGGTTCTTGATGCACCTGAAGAGATTCGCCAGAAGCTTCCTATGGATGTCGGGGAGCCATCCGGCGCTCAGCTCGACTCTCGCATTGGTGCTGGCAAGGGCGGCCTACGGACACAGCTACTTGCGCAAGTGCAAGTGAGAGCAGCGTGGGAACAAAAAGTTCGAGACAGTAAGAGACGCAAGGAAAATGAAGAGGAGGCACTGAGAGGTGAGTGTTTTGAGCTCGATCCATTACTAATTCAAGGCTGACTATGCACCACCTTTGCCTCCAGCCGCCTTTGACGAGATCGACTGGCAGGACTTTGTCATCGTCCAGACAGTAGAGCTGACGGAGAACGACATGCACATCGATCTGCCACTACCAATGAGCATCCGCGATGTCGAAAACATGACACTCGCGCAGAAGAAGCTGGCTTCCATGATCGTCGAGACTGACCAACAGCCAGGCACCGCAGACGATGCGATGGAGATGGAAAGTGGAGATGAGGAAGGATCTGATGACCGAAAGGCAGAAGATTTCATTCAGGTCGTGAAGTCCACGCGGGCCGGCGACATCAAAGTCCGAAAAAATTATCAGCCAAAGGTCCTGGGGCAGCGACAAACCGCTGCTACCGCTTCTGTGGGATTCACTTCGTGTCCCGTCTGTGGACAGCAAGTCCCACTCAATGAAATGGACGAGCACGTCAGGATCGAGTTGCTCAATCCACAGTTCCGAGATCAGCGACGGGATTTGGAGGCACGGCAGGCGCAACACAAAGCCTTGCAGTCAGGCGCCGATCCGGTCAACGCTCTCCGTCAGTATGCCGGCGCTCGCACAGATATCTTTGGCGCTGAGGTTGATGAACAGGCACGGGCAAAACGCGAGGAAGAGGAGCAACGCCTGCGACGCGAGCGGGAGCGCTTAGCCTATGATGGGCATCTGGCGAGCAGAACTACAGTAAAGGACCGGGCGCAAAAAGCATCCATGTCTGACGAAGCCGTTCGAGCTAGAGAGCAAGCGCAACGGCAAGCGGCGCAAGTGCCGGTCATTGGGCCTCAAATAAGCGCGCCAATCGAGACGCTGGAGGCTGATGCGTCGCTGAAAAGATCCGCTGAAGAGCCCCCAGCGGACGAACCCGCAGCGCAACGTGTAGCAGTCGATGGCAAAGCCCCATCGCACGCCGGCTTGCCTGGTACCGATTCAGCGATCAGGCTTGGGCAGCTGATTCCCGAATCGGATTGGCTTTCACTTCACCCTGAGTCGATTTCTCTGTCCTTGCAATTGCCGGATACCAAGTCCGTGGCCATGGCCTGTGATGGACGATTGATCTCTTTGCAACCTATGCCGCCCAGCACACAGATTTCGGTCTTGCGAGACCTTGTGCATAGCGAAATTTTGCAGTCCGCTATCGGTGCAAGCCGCATCAAGTTTAAAATTAGCGGCAAGGCCACAACTCTCAAACAGAGCTTCGCTCATTGGAATCTCAAAGACGGGTCCGTCGTCGACCTGACTATAAAATAGCTGGTACTTGGTTTGCGCCGTAGGATACAATACACAAGCCAGCTTCCCCTCTCCTCGATTTCCATTTCATCTATTATGTCTGCGTCTTCATGCGAATTTGAATGCAAGATTTGATTCTCTGCTGAAGACCAATAGGGAATGGACGCACCCTGCCATGCAAGTGGTTCCTTCCCAGCCGTACGTTCCCAGATCCCTCCAAATGGAAGTTCCCAATCTGGAATCAAATCGAAGTCGACCGCTCGCTTGAAGAAGTCTCCCAAAACTCGTCGGCCAGTGTGAAAGCCGTTTACAAGGATTGCTCTGGCATTCATAGAATGGCCGAGGAGTGCATGTATGGACTCCAGCAGACCGTCATGGGCATTGCTCATCCATAGGACGTCGCTGCACATCACTAGATCGTAACCATCGAGATGTTCGGGAAGCCGATTGAGAGCCAATTTTGTCGCCTGGTTCTCTCCCCACAACAATGGAATCGCATGTGCCCCAGCTGGTTCCACATTTGCTCGAAGACACGCTATGAGCTTGACATCGGGGTAGTCTGTTGCAAGGCCCTATAATTCGAGGATCGGAGTTAGCGCAGAGCAACTGCTGATTTCAACGATCGAGCCAGCTTCAACATACCAACAGAGCGCCGAGACGAGTCGCAACAATTGTTGGCAGGCCGGATCCCGATCCTAGCTCTATGATCGCCTTTCCTGCAGGATTAAGCAGCTGTGCGCTGGCTAGATCTTGGTTTTGACACTGGCTTGCTTCACAAAGCAGATCTGATAGGGCGCGACCGCTGGACCACTGCCACTGTGCAGCAAGCTTAGAATTCTTGGCTTCGACATCAACCACACGGAAGATCACCGTTCCCACGGCAGAATGCTCGTAAGTCAATACCTGTCCAGCGTTGCCCTCCGCAGGTTGAGTGATGTTGAAGAGGGAGCCGAGTGCATCTTCGAAAAGATCCTCGACCTCGCGCATAGCATTAGGTGTTACCGTCTGCCCCTTCACAGACACTGTTCTTCCTTCCCGAGGCCACCCTGAGGCAAGAGTTCGCCAGAGCTTGCGATCCCCAAGATGGAATATTCTAAAGGCGGGACGGATGCTCGAGGAAGATTAACGACAAATGGTACGTGTATCATCGTGCACAAGAGAATGGTATGGTTGAGACAATGGACACTATCATTATGTAATTCAACCGTCCCAGGTAACAGCCCCTGTCTAATGAACGTTCTCCCCCGTAAGCGTGACTATCCTATACGCCAGCACACTTATTTTATCTTATCTAATGACTAGTAAGGAGCCCGAGCAGGTGGTCAGGTTTGCCTTATGACACATCATACATCAATATCATACATCAGATAAAACATGCTCGGGCTCGATGGGCTATAACGGCATTTATACTTCTTGGCTTTCGGAAAGTCGGTGGTGGCATCTGGATCCAAGTCGCTTGTTATTTCTCTTTCTTGAGCGTGCGCGTCCATATGTCCATTCTTGAATTGGTGCCGGGCATTTTCCTTCACAACATCGGTCACCTTTGGTGTGTCCAACCTATCCAGCTGGTTCGAAAATGCCGGTATCAGTCGCAGTAACTGTCGGCTCCTCATAAGGCATTGGGCTTAACCTGGCCCGTGGCTACCTGTCTCGCTTAAGGCTTCAGGTTGTAGCACTTTCTCGGCGCCTTGATAAGGCGAGTCGTGTAATACTGGGGGGATGAAAAGCACAAGGACAGAGTTTCCAGTCTCGAGTTCGATGTTCTGAAGGAAGATCTGTTTGCCGAAGCAGCCAAGCACGACAAAAACTCGTACGGATATTCATTAACCGTCTTTTTCAATATATCTGGGGTACTGCATGCCTAGATGCGTATTTCTCAGTTCGGTCATCAGGACGTTCTCGAAATTTTCCAGTGAGCTCAGTGCCGGAGGGCTGACATCCAAAAAAATCGAAGGTTCAAATGAAGTGAAACTTACGGTCTGACTTTTTTTAGAATAAACGCTATATCACCTGTCCTAGTTTTCAAGCCTCTCTTCGTTGCTGTCCACTGGCCCGTCTGCAGAGCTTAACAATAGACATGATGGAATGCTTCCCGCAGGTCTCAGTATCATCGCTAGCATGAGCGCTCAAGTCGGAAGCATCGGGGGTAATCGTAGAGGAGGGTAAGAGCCCTCATGTGCGATCTGTGCGATTTGGTAGGCCGTGTTGCTGTCAGCATCTGTGCCTTGATTTCAATTATACAGCTGGGATTCCTACCGTGCGTCTAAAGCTTCTCAGAACCAGCTTACACGGACGCTCTCTCGGTAATTGATCGTCGGAAGAGCACGGTATTGCGCTGGGACTTCACCCGGGTACGGTCATTCACACCGCCTTCTGTGCACCATTTACTTCTGGACGGGACGCTAATCCTGAAGCAAGTGCTTTCAATCCGCACCAAGCAGCTGTTAACGTGATGAACGGCTTTGGCAAAGCTCGTGTGGACACCTCAGGACAGGTCCTTGACTGGGTTGGAAAGGATAATACCGGTGAAGAGGTATTCAGTGACACGCGGAACGTAGAATACAGATGCTGAATAAAGGGACGCAGTACGGGTCGGGTACAACTTCAAGCTTTTCGCGTCCGCTTCCTCGGGTTTTCAGAAGGAAGAATGTGATGGGATTCGTCGAGTGGTTCCGGCAAAGGACGAACCGCCGCCAAAGGGGTCGGGCTTTTCCCTAGAGTTCCAGTCTCCCGCTCAAAGTCGATCACCGAGCTCTCGTGTGTCCTTTCGGCCTCGTTGAGCTGTTCAGGGTCTCTCTGGTTGTCATCCGCCGCGCGAGCGCGCTTCCTGGAAGAGTCGGGCGACGCCGGATGCTTAGTGTTCTGCTTCATTGCTTCTTCCGCATCTTCGACTTCATTTTGTGCAGGGCTTGTATTTGAGCGTGGATCCGGATCTGCCGTAGCGGCTGCATCTGCGCCATTTGCTTCCTCAACGTCTGAAGAAGAACGATTGAATAAGTTGTCACAACAAATATGGCATAATCCAACTCCACACTCACCTAGTTGTGCAAGACCTGAATGCTTTGAAGCGACAGCCAGCAGGCGCTTTTCATATGTTTGCAAAAGGTCGTTTTGTTTACTTGTCAGGGTGCTGTCTGTGTCTGTGATTTGAAGAGCGGCATTGATAGACAATTTTCTGAAAGGTAAATGAGTGCATGAGCTTTGTTCCCCTTGAAAGATTGCGCTTCGGATTCACACTCACATCGCAATCGCGTCCTTTGGTTTCGCCGACGTGAGCATGCTTGACAAGGATTTGAAAATGAGCAATGTCTTCGACAACTGCCTCTTATCGTTTGAGGATGCGATAGCCTCGAGACGGCCAATGTAGTGCGATGCGAGCTCAGTATGAAGCTTGACCAGCGGGGATCCGGTCACCGCTGAGAGAATAGACAGATGGGGTCCCCGAATCACGAGAGCGTTCCCGAACATCTTGGCCATGGCAGCGCACGCCGAAGCAGTTTGAGCCCCTTCGATGTATGTATCGTGTATCTAAACGGACAAAAGTATAGAAATGTCAGGTTCATTTGACCTTTCAAGGCCATTCCGATGTTCACCTACCGTCAGCATCGAGCTTTTGATCACCTCGCAAGCAGAATTAACAGTCCGGCGCGAAGATAGCCGTTGGCGAATGACGTCAGCTGCGGACTTGATCAATTGATCAAAGGTCGTCGAGACTTTGCCATATTGGGCCATAGCAAAGCTGAGGTGCTTCAATTCAATCACATTGAATTGCGCGAGACGGATGAGCGATGAGAATGCAGTGCAGGCCTCATGTGCGACATTGGTGCGATGGCTTCTCGTCGCGGTGGTGATCGTAGCCTGCTTGATTAGACTTGGCCGCTTTGTAGCCGCGAGCTCCTCGTCGCTCAGATCTGACTCGTCATCGGAGAGAGCCAATTGACTCTTTCGCATTGGTTCTTCGGCTCCTTCCTCGGGAGCTTCGACTACCGTATCGATGCTAGCTTTCAGGACCTGAGCGAGCGAATCTTCAAAGGAGCCACCCAGGAACGATGTTTGGAAGGCATCGGCAAGGCTCCCTGAAGTTGACGAGAGACCATTCTCCGTGGCGCTTGCGTCCCTAGGTAGGGACTCCCGAAGAAGCAGAAGAGTGATTACTTGATCAAAGGCCTGCGGAATTCCTTCCTGTCAACATCGTAAGCACGGGAAGCACACAATTAATGCATCGCTTACATCTCGTCGGACCTGGCTCGTGACGATGGACAACTCGTTGCCAAGATACTCCTTGAGTAGGCGCAGATGTCGGGACACAGTCTCGGGATCCACAATGCTGATGCCTCGCACCGCGGACTCGAGCTGCTTAGGCAGCCAGAAGACACCGAGCGTCAGAGATTTTAAAGCGTTGCCAACCATCTGGGATCAAGAGAAACAATTAGCACGCCAGAATTTGTATCAGCCCTATGTACAGAATGCAGGGTTGTGAAACACGTACCTGGCTCTCTTCAGAGTACCCCAGTCGTCCGCGATTGGCGAGGCTCTGAACAATCTCCCACGATGTGGTGGCTTCGCCGCCAACCGCAATGCCGAACGGTAGTTGAGGCTCGTGCATGTTGAGGAAGACCAGCAAGCGCTTCAATGTCGCTTCGTAATGGTGGACATCGTTTTCTGAGAGGGCTGCAGTTTCAAGGTCCCGGTCATCTGAGCCTTGGCGCAAGGCCTGCACGATCTTTTCGCCAACCGAGACCAGACGATCGAGATGGCCGGAGGCTTCACCCTCTGCCTTAGCGAGATGGGCGAGCCCTCGAATGGCTAAAGTCAGGATCTCTGATTCAGTGTGGCGCATGAAGTGATCATGGAGCTCTCGCCACAGCTTTTCGCGTTCATCTGCGTTTCCGGCATCTTGCAAGGCCGCAGGTGACAGCAGAGGGACCAATCCGAGTGTTCTGGCGATCAGCGGCGCGTCCGTCCGGTGCCTCACCAAAAGTTGGGGAATAGCATGCAACAGCGAAGAAAGATTGAGCCCGACATTCTCTGCTACTTCTGTGCTACCCTCCAAGCCCTCCATATCCTTGCGCAATAGCACGTGTATGACTTCGAGTAGTGCTGCTTCCTGGGATCGGTCGAGACTGAGCGTGTGCGGGTGGTTTTGTGAGTCGTCCTCTTCTTCCCCACCTGCGCCATCACGCGCCTCTTCGGAAAGCAAGAACGCTAGCAGGGACCTCCAGTTGGCAAGTTCCGGTATCTCCTGTCGGAGGCCATCTATGGCGATGGACACTCGGCTGGCAGCCCCATCAAGCTTGACTGATGGTTCCTCTGCCGAGCCTTTGGTCAAGACGAGAGCAAGGCTTTTAAATAGTGCACGGGCACTACTGTCGCTCATCGAAGCATCCGATGACTTGGAGCTGCGAGAGTCACGGATGTCCTCCTTGATTACGTCGACGCGCTTTGAAATCATGCTTGCAACAAATGGGGCAGCAGCTAAACGGACCTTGGCATCTGCGCTGAAGATCTGCAACGCGAGAACATCCAAATCTTCTTCCTCAAAAATGCCGTGCTCGTGCATAGAAGCAGCGAGTTGCAATGTCGCGCATCTTACATCGACATCAACGTCGCTGGTCGCCATCTCGAGAAGCCGCGGTTTGAAAAGGTCAGTAAAATGACGAACGGAGCTTCTGAAGTTTCCCTTTTCGTAGAGGCTAAACATCGCGTTGATGGACGTCAGACGAGCCTTAGCGTCCTGAGTAAGCGCAGGCGAAATCCGTCAATCAGTCGCGCACCGCAATCGAGAGCTGTCCCATATCCTCACTTGATCAGACAGGAGCCAACCCAGGTACCGGAAGTAGGCGCCACGCAGATACTTGTCAGGGTAGTCTCTCATCCAAAGGCCGAGCTCGTGGACACAATCTGCACGGATGTTTGGATCAGAGTCACGGTATCGGTGAACGAAGACGCTGAAACGGCGCAGCGGGGTGAGCCTCCTGTGTACTCCTGTCAATCCGCTGTGACAGACTCACCTGCTGATCATGTCCTCGAGGAATCTTTCGACTACGATGGAGTCTTCTTCTGCATTAATGACTCTGGATTCGAGCTCCCTGATTCTGCCTTTGTCCTGGCGGGCTTTCTTTTTCTCGAGGTCGCGTTGACGGACTGCGAGACTGTGTTCCCTTCGGAGATCCTGTACGATAAGATTCATGTGCGTCGTGCTCGATAAAGCGATAAACGTTGCTGTGTGGCGAAAAGAGCGCAGAGTCGAGGAGGATAGAGCCGACACCCAAGCGACAATGCTGGGCAGAAATTCGTCATCGTCAAAGAGGTCAGCCTCAGCGGCCGATCTGTACAGTCGTCCGAGAAAGTCCGAGAGCGACTTGACAAATTTCCTGAATTTGGGAGTTCTGGAGATGATAGGGTACGACCCGAGGCTCTCCTATGTTGCAGCGTGGAATACTTGTCAGGGGTTATGTGTAAAGATGAGCATATGACCTTTGGCTCACCCTCTTGAAAATTTCTTGGACGTCCTCTAGAGTGTCCAATATGCCATCCAGATCCTGTGCCTGATCCTCGTCGACACTCTCGTTGCAGCCGCATGCCTGTGTGCGACATATGAAAGTTGAGAGCTTTGCATACACCTACGCCCGAGAGCTGACTCACTCGCAAGAAGAAGTTCACCAACTGAGACAGGGCCTCGCCTCGCTCTGCTTGGAACAGAATCATCCAGTCCTCCACATTGCTTTGCACAGCGCTCTGGGAATCGAGCACGGCGTCTGGTGGCAACGAAGCATAGTCAACGACGGATTCGCTGTGGACGCCCAGAGAAACCGCGACTTACTGAAAAGCGCATTATCGTCCTTGATGTTCAGTTCTATCTTGCTGTTGTGAGGTCCTGCAGCGGCGGTCCTCTTGCCACGCGCCTTGGGCTGGCTTCGGCTGGAGCCGCCTCCTCTCGGAGTAGGCCCCTTCTTTGCCTTTGCTGCGCTCCCTTTGGTGGTATTTTGTTTGGGACTAGCACGCTTTCTCTTGCGCGATCCCCCACCAAAGTCACCGGAGGTGTCCTCGTCTGCATCTTCCGTATCACCCTCGGTATCACTCCGGCTCGCCCCTTCCCCTTCCCCGTCCTTGTCCTCTCCTTCAGCCTCAGATTCGGGTGCGTCGCTGAGTTCAGAGTCCGAAGTGTGTTCAGATACACCAGGTTTTTGAGACTGCTCCTTTGTGGTGAGCTGCATTGTAGCTTGTCGCGCACTACGTCGCGAGCCTTAGATTCAAACGCATCGGTCAGCTCCTACATACATTCGGCGTTGACACACTTGGCCATCGCGGGCTGGGATCCACTCACCTTCCTGGGCTCGCATGGTATCTCCAGCGGGTTGAGCAGCCTTCCTAGAGGTTGCAGCTGCTCTAGACATTGTATCGAGCGGCTGTATGCGCATGCACGAAGCCGTTGTCGAGGTGCATGGTGCAATACAATGATAGGTGAGCTGGCGAAAGATGGTGGGTTGATCCAGAACACAGTTGCGCGACGCGTTCCACAACAGAGTTGCGCATTGCGCGCATCCTCATCTCAACTCATCCAGCGCATCGTTAAGTCTCGCTCATCAGCACATGTGGAGAATTGACGCGTCGCGTCGCGGACGAGTCGCGACTTCCGTCCAGATCCCACAAACCTGGGTTTCTCGGCAGCGGATCTCACACCCAACATCACCGATATTTCGAGATCTCTGAAACATCTCAAATTTCTGGCTATCCGCTGCTGCTCTCTATATGCTACAAACCACTCCACAGTGTTGCATACTATGTAGCTACTCGCCTGTTCCCTAGCAATCATGTGCACGCTTATATGCCTGAAGCCTGGCTCCCCCATTTGCTGTCAGCGGATGCGGAAGGGAAAGATGCAAAACCCAGACATGTCAAGTGTCAAGCATGGTACGTCAGGCATACCCTGCGTATGGTGCTTGACCATTGTAATGCGCTGGCTGATCGGCCTTGGCAAGGACAAGCTGGCCTAGCACGGCCCTCACTGGCAAGGTTCGGACTTGAAAGCGCAAGGGTGAAGTGATATGATCGCAAGAGAACCGATGGTGATACAGATGCGAGGCATGCAAATGTGCGTGGCAACTAGTGTACAAACATGACGGTGGCTTTGCGTACGTTTTAAATGTGAGATGATCAGTTGCTGTGGAGCCTTGGCGTTTATTAAGGCTCAGAACCTGGCTAGGAGAGACAGGCGTCGATGTGGAACGAGCGATCAAGTGTACGTGTGGATGTCGGCTGTGGTAGTCATGGTTGTATATGTGCGAAAGAAACAAAGAATGTACGATTTGCTCATGGGCCGATGCGTGGAGTCGGAGGACCGGAGCCAGGTAGGTCTACCGAAGAACTGACAAGTGAAGTCGCTGCTGTCCCGTTAAGAGTATCTGAGTTCCAGCAGAAACGCGCAACAAGGTCTTCCAAGCTGGTGATGCTGTCGGGACGCATTGATGATGCATTCGAGTCGATGGAATCCGAGCTTGCGTTCATGTTTGATCTCAGGCGCCCGATGCTATTGCTATCGTTTGCCTCGAAGCCTTCCGTAGTCTCCGACTCCAGAGATGTGGTGGAGGCGGATGGAGACAGTGCGTTCGGCGAACTACAGTGAAGCCAGGGGTGATCAGCTATGCATACTGGGCAGGACCGAAGCCGTCTCATTTGAACACTCACCCAGTGGGCGAGACGGGGGAGGTCAGATTCGACCCAAACTCAAACAAGCTTCCATCATGAGATGCCGAGTCAAAGGACGAAGTGTGATTATGTTGAGGCCGGGACAGATGTTGATGCTGATGGCGCGGGGGAGAAGGGGTTTGAGGCGTCAAGTCGCCTGCCATATTGGGCCATGATGGATTCAGAGGGCTGCGGCCGGGCGGAAAAGTCTGCCATGGGGTAAAATATTGTAAGTTTGACCATCGAATGAGACGCGCCAGGCATAAAGGCACGTACGTTGTATTTGGTCGGAGTCAGCAGAGCAGAGGTCGAGTTGGGTGACGGAGTCGCCGAATGGATGGTCGGCTCATGTTTGATCATCTCACCCAGTCCGGGGCTCATCATGCCGAAAGACATGTCTTTCCCACTGATCGACGCGGCGTGCAGATGAGGAGCGGGGGGGCGCAGGGCATCGCCAGCAGTAGTAGAACTGCTAGAAGTAGCAGAAGTCTGCGGCATCGTGCCGGGCGTCGGCATGCGAGATGAGAAGTAATCAAGCGCAGCGGCCCGGCCGGGCCCAGTGGACCTGCTCCCGCTGGCGGGATTTTTGAGTGATTCGCCAAAATCGTACCTAGCCGACCAAATGGCAGGAGAGCCGGAGCGCTTGCCCGGCGAGACCGGAGGCGATCTGCGCTTCGTGCGATCGTGAGAGACGTTTTTCGGTGTCTGCGCTTGGTCGCCGTCGTCTTCATCTGCGCTCAACTTGCTGAGCTCCTTTTTAAGGTCCTCCATCATCTGGTGGCCTGATCGATTCTTGCGAAGCATGTCTGGAAGCCCGCTGACGCGGACCGAAGGCGATAGGGGGATCGGACGCACCGGCTGTGTTGAAGTGACGGCGATCGGCACAGGCCGCTTGCGGAAGTCGAGTTGGTAGTTCAAGTCGCCATTGTTATCCCACATCTCTTGGCCAGCCGTGCGATAGCGCAGACAAAGGAACATGCTCTTCGTCTCGTGTTGACCGGCCCCGCGAGGCCAGTTGAGCAGCTCGTTGAGCTTGATGGAGAAAGTGAACCGATCCGAGAGGCCATCTTTGATATTTTCCGAAAACTCTGCCGACACCTCGTTGACCGTCGCCCAATTGTCCAACGTGAACCTGACAGCAACCCACTTCTCGAACGCCAGATTGCGAACTTGAATTGCGCCCTTGACGGAGCGCAAATCGTCTGCCAAAAAGACACGTTCTAGGAAGATGTCTCGATCGAGGGAGAGCTTGGCGGAGGAGGGGAAGTTGGGCAAGCGCAGGATGAGCTGCTCGTCCCCTTCTGTCGGGGTCGGAGGTCGCGGAATCGCCGCCTCAGGTGTGACCGTCCCGTCTAGCCGCCGCCCAAAGTGACTCAAGAAGGGGAAATCGCGTTCCTCCTCCGTCTCGGTCTCGGTTTGCTCGGGACTTCCATCGCGCGAAACGGCGGAGGGCCGTTGCCGGTGTTTAAAGACCTTGACCTGCTCGAGATTTTGATGGAAGTGCACAACCTTAGGGATCGTGGGTGTATTTGGTACGCTCTTGGCCCGCGACATGGATCCACTGAGGCTGTCAGTGCGTGAAGGAAATGCAGATGCTGGATAGTGCTTCAATGACGATTTCACAGGCTCGCCTGACTTCTTCCTGACCAAATCTGGTAGCGTCGACGTGGAAGCTGGATTGTGCTTGTCCATGATGCTCGGTACAGGGAGGCAGGCCAGATCCAGCTGCAGGCCAGGAGGCGCGTCCGACGGGGCTGAGGCCTTCAGTGCCAAGACTTTCCGTGAACTGGGATGCAAAGGCGCAGTCGAAGTTGTCTTGGCGTTGGCCTCACGACTAGGGAACTGCACTTTCTCTGCATCCTTCGTCGAAGGTTGCGACGGACCCGGAGCGGCGCTTGAGAAGGCTGGAGTCAGGCGCAGCATCTTGGGCCGCCGTTGTGTTCCTTTGATTCGCGAATGCACTGCTTTGGTATTGACGGATATGTCTTCAGGCTTTGAAATCGTGTCACACGAGGACGTCGAAGACGGACTGGCATGAGCCGGTAAAGTCGTTGCCTTCGCCACCGGCGGATCCACCGTGCTAGCGCTGTGAGATTCATTTGCTGCACCATTCGCGGAACCGTTTGCACGGCCATTGGTACGACTGCCTGAGCAGTTATCATTGGGCTGCTCCGACAGGCTCAGCGACAAGCTTGGCGGCTCTTTCGAGGATGCAGTAAAAGGTATTGAGGATGTGAGGGAGGCTGCGCGTTGCTGCGTGTGTTTGTGATGTCTGCCATTCCCTCGGCTGCCTGCTTGCGCGCCATCGCCAGTAAACGCTGTACGGGCCGGAGGAAGTGGCTCAGAAGTGGCAGTCATCATGGGAAATGTGGAGTAAGGAGAGTGTGGGCCGTACTGAGACAGCCGCGACCGCTGAAACACAGACGATGATGCCAACGGCGCTACTGAGTTGATCATGCCCGTATCCCGCCACGAGCGGTGCGATGGCACTGCTTCGAAGGAAGCCAGCGTCGGGCGAAAGAGAGTCGGCAGGCTTGACCGCGAGCGCAAACTCTGAGCTGGAATGGGAAAGCTGAGCTCCGTTGCATCTGCAGCAACCCGCGGCTGCAGTGATTGAGGCTGGGCTTGCAACAGCCTAGTGAGCGATGCTAATTGAATGTCGTCCATGGATGACATCGACGTAGGGGATGATGAAGGTGTCAGTGGCGGGGTCATTGCAATGCAACATCGTTGGAAAAGGGAAAGGTTCGAGTGCGGGGGAGCGACTGTGATCGGCGACGCTGGCGGGACCGGCCGTAGCCCGCTCATGTCCTTGATCTGTGTCCAAGCGTTTCCCAGCATCATCTCCACGAGTCACTTTGCAACGGAGGCGGCAAAGGGAGGTCCTCTTTGCTTGAAGGATTGAGCGGGCCAATATAAGGTCGTAGTGATGCTGGATGTGATGATGAGATATAGGACTGCGGCACCGAGACGCCCAGGGCGAATGCAGAGTTGCAGATGAGAGCGCTATCGGTGATGGCCGCACTTCGATCGGCGGCGGTTTGCAGATTTGCAATTTGCAACGATTGAGCGTTTCGAGCGAGAACCTGGCCCAGCACCGGCGTGACGTGGTGTCAAACCCGTGTGGTGTGCCTGCGTGCGCAGCGCAAAGGTGTCGCTCGAACGTCGGATTGTTCCACCAGGGGATCTCGCTGCCGGCCCGCTCGTGGTGCTAATTGAGGTGCTCGGTGAAGCTCGGCGCTATACCAACCTCGCGCTGTCCGTGCTGAGCGCCGAGTGCATAGCCTGATCACTTTGTGCTATGGAATCTACCTCTGTGGTCTGTGCCCGACTCGAGGTGCCGCAGGTTGCCGCCATCCAGCATGTGCTGTCACACCTACGGTATATCACTTCACCGCCCGTGGGTAAAGTGAATGCAGACAGCAGTAGTACTGGAGGCCTGCGCGCCACCAGTTGACCTCCAAGCTAGTTGTTTTCCCCTCGCTCGTAGTGCCACCACGCAGCGTTGTGGAGTACTGTACTCACGTTTGCATCGTCGGCTACGGCCACACTCTTGTACGTTGCACTCGTCTATAGGAGGCTCGTTTTGGGGTGGTAGGAGATGGGCCGCTCGATCCAACGGTCGAGAAATTTGTCGACGGGGATCGAGTATGGGCTTTTGATGAAGACTCTGCCTGGACTCGCTCGCTCTCTTGGTCGGGCGTTGGTGGTGCAACCGCCACTGCTTCACCGATCACAACTACGGCTGGCTAGGGTCCGGACCAGCAGTCAGCAACCTTTGTTTGTTACTGGCCTCTAATCGCCTTCCCTCCAGGTCGCTATTCGTCGCTTTTCTCTTGTCCAGAATCGAACAGAGCAGAAAACAGGAATGCATGTTGCATCAGCAAGAGAGCTTGAAGGCGGGGATGGACGAGGGAGGACACTGATACAACATGCAAGGCCTCGCAACAGGTAGGCCTCGTCGCAATCAAATCAGCTCATCACCAGCCAACCAAAGCACAACCGCCTGCAGAGCCCAATCTACATACCAGAACAGGTCCGTACATTGGATACTTACATTCCTGTGCCATCGTGCCCCCATTCGAATTCGAATCAATTGGGCATGCCACACTGAGACAATACCAGAGCGGCGATACGCGCGTGCTCCAGGGTTTTTTTTAGAGACGCTGGCCCCAAAAGTCCCGGGAGTTTCTCATGCAGGAGCTGCATTTTGGCCGTGTTTGTCGGCTGGCATTGAGTGTTGGGATGGGGGCACGTATAACCGAGAGGGTTCTTTTGCATTGCCCATGACACTGGCACCAGGGCGCTCAACTCCACACACATTCCGGCGCTTTGAGCCATTCGCATCGCCACTAGAGTAATCTTGTACAATACAAATATGTATGCTAAGCTCATATACTATTTATGCACATGGCACAACACAGTAGTCTGCGTGGTGCCCTGCAGTGCCTGCAGGGTGCTGGACAATGTGGACGGCGGCGACATCCTATTGGAGCACGTTATCGCCTACAGCGACCCACAGTAGAATCCAGACTGGCTGCACAAGCCGACCTTCAAGGGCGCGCATGCATGCGAATTCTAACTCTACTGCCGCTAGCTAGCTCCCCCTTCCTTGGCACTCGAACGCTTCGCCCACGTCAAGCTTTCTCGTCACATCGGATGATCGTCACCGTCCGTCCAGTCACACCGCTGGTGTCTGTGGCAAAATGCAGTCAGACGGCGGTGCCTTCGGCATATTTGATGGTTAGAGGGAAACAAAGTCTCCTCCTGGCCGCTCTCGTCTAGCGATCAAGCGCCAGGGGCTTCACACGATCACACCTCACAAGGTTCACACCGTCGTCGTTGTGCGCACCAACACTCTAGCTCATCTCTTTTCTACAGTCGCTCGCTGGTCGGCTTGCATTGGCCTCCTTAGCCCTTCACCAACTCCATACCCGCTCAAGTGACGTGGTTCCTCTATACCTACGGTGGTGCTACCACATATAACCAGGTCCTTGTCTCCGCGCAACGGAAGGCTGGTCATGGTAAAATGTCTTCGTACTCGGCCGTACCTACCCACAGACGGAATGTCTGATGAGGGCTGAGATTTTTGTGGACTACTTGGGACTATGGCGCTGTATATTCATCGCAAGCCACCAGACATCCTGTCCTTTAGTACATAAGTATGTGTACGGCGACCAGCCTCGCGTGAGACCGGGGAAAGAACATGGTAGCCAGTGGGTACCCCAAGGCCTAGAAGTGAGGCGCAGCGGTTGAACAATCATCGACTCCAGCAACCTGCCATTGTCTTCACGACGAGCGAAAGGGGCGAGCTTGCATATCCGCTGGAAGAGAATACGCTGCCTTCTACATGTCCCTGAGAGCAAAGGTGGCGCTTTCGTAGTGCGGTCGCTGGGCTCTTTTCTGAGGCTGCTCTCAGCAGTCCGTGGTCTATGTAGGTGCCCCAGACCAGTGCTCTGGCTTTCGAGCAGGCGTATGTAGAACTCCGGCATAGGGCGTACGTGTGCCGATGGCCACCATTCCACTGCAGTCTGCACCGATGGAGGGGGATGTGCACGAGTATGGCCGACATATGTACATATATGCAATATGCGTGTCTGTGCATACCACAAAGCACGCCATGACCTCAAAGCTTCAATGCCTTGATCAAGGTAAGTGTTGTGGTAAGAGAGCGGGACAGCGTTTAGTGTGGTTTGGGTTGTGGACCAGGTATATGGCCGCGTATGGCTTGCGCTTTGCTCTATGCTACAGAAGACGCGAGGCGCGACATAGAGATACAGTAAATCCTGGGGGCAAGGGTATCAAGCGGTGGCCTTTTTGGGGTGCCAACATCGCGGGTTCCAAAAGAGCACGGGTACGCTCTGTCATCAACCTTCTGGCTTGGTCAGATTGTCTTCTTCCAGCCAGGCTCCGGACAAGTCCGGCGGGAGCTCGTGCATCTGCACCGACGGCGCGCCGTGCATGTATCGCAGCTGATCCAGCACCTCGATCCGAATCTTTTCCAGCGCTACCCGCGGGTTCTGATTCTCGACGCGCCCCGCCTGCAGCGGCTCGTGCAGGCGTCTGTTCGGCCCAAAGAACGCGTCGTACTCTGTCGAGGGAAGCTTGTCCGGGATGCAACGGCCCGTCAGCACGGCCGTCTCGTAAGACCAGCAGCGCGCGACGTTGCGCACAGTGTAGCCTCCACCGCCTAGCACGAGTAGGGGCAGGCCGAATGACTTAACGAAGCGGACGCACTCCCCATGCGCGGCGATCGAGAGATTGAAGCAACCCAGACGATCCAGGCCCAATGAGTCTGCACCGCATTGCAGGACGATCGACTCGGGCCGGAACGTGGTGATGCAGGGTTCAATGATGCTTTTGAAGAGCGACACGTACGCGCCATCGTCAATTCCGTCTTGTAAGGGAACATTCAAGCAAAAGTGCTTGCCGAGACCGGTGCCGACCTCGCTGAGTGCGCCAGTGCAGGGAAAGAAGTCATTGCCGTACTTGTGGAAAGAGACTGTGAGAACGCGGTTGGAATTGTAAAAGGCTTCCTGGACGCCGTCCCCATGATGAATGTCAATATCGATGTAGAGCACTCGTGGATGGTACCTAATAGACGGGAAGGCGGATCGATGTCAATGTGGCGGACCACAAGAGACATTCGTTCATCCATCCATCCTATCTCACCTGAGCAACTCCATGATGGCAAGAACAATGTCATTCACATAGCAAAACCCGCTTGCCTCAGACTTTTTTGCATGGTGCAGGCCGCCGCTCCAATTGATGGCAATGTCTGCAGTGCCAGAGCAGAGCTTCTTTGCCGCCGCCAGGGAAGCGCCCGCGTATGATCGGCAAAAATCGTACATGCCATCAAACACTGGACAGTCGTCAGCAAAGTTGAACCGAGTGAATGCTGCCGACAGGGGGGTGCTGGGCGTCACGCTGTTTTGATTCACCACACAAGTGCGCAGTCAGTGAGAGGTATTCAAGCGAGAGTGCGGAGGGAGCGGTGGGCTCACCTGCTCAAAAACTCGACATAGTCTTCATCATGAAACCACTCGAGCTCTTCTCTCGATGCCATACGAGGTGTAAAAACATCCATGTCCTTGTGAAGCCCGTATCCCAAGACAAGTCGATTGGTGATGGTAAGTCTAGCTGGCTTCATGGGATGGCGCTCGCCAAAGTGGTAGCTGAAGGACGATATGAGGCAAAACGTCAGCATAAGCCAGCTATTCTGAAAGCATCGGGGTTATCCGCGCTACTTACTCGCCCACCCCTTTGGGGAAATAATAGGCTACTTTTGATGAGCTATGTGACTGTGAGCAAAGGGCAAAAGTGTGACGGCGTGAGCCTCAAGCTCTTTCTGCAAGTCTTGAGATTTATCCAGGCACACACCCGAACATTATTGGCATCCTGAAGCAGGCTCCAGCTACCGCCCAGTGCTTCTGGCCGATCAAGGAAGAAGGGCGAATCGGAGAGCGTTTGCCATTCATAAGGGTCGGATGACTGCGCAGTAGGAGCGCTGTCGAAGCTCAAGACAACCATCCCATCCAGAGCCACCTGGGACCTGCCTCGCCTTCTAGCCTCCGCGAGGCACGTCGTTGATTTTAACGATTTCGTGAGTGATCTAAGGCAGCTACGAGCTACCTACAGTTGGGCCGTCCATAAGCCAGTGCCAGCCAGCAGGATCAGGTGTGATGAGGATGCAAGGACGCAAGTTGGAATGCGCAAGCTGACAGCAGCTGCAACGGAGGGAAGTGTTGAGAGACGAGACTGATTTTTGACTCTCATGTTTGATTCGTCTCTGTCGGTGAATTCATCATAAAGGCAGCCATGTGGATCCAAAAGTTGCCGGAGCTCCTCCCCAGAAGAGACTGTCACCACGTAAGTGTCCAACAGTGCTCTGCTCCACTGCGACTCGCTCAACCCTATCTCTCCATTGTGCTCACACGCTTATTCGATGCAAAGGCGTCTGCTCTTGGCTATGTACACAGAGACTCCTCTCTCAGGCAGCGTGCAGTAAGGGTGTGGCGAGCACCTCACCTCCTCTCAGGACCCACCAATTAAATCAATGTACCATCCTACCCCAGAACTCGATCCTGACTGCAAGCGCCTCATACAGATCACCATCTCGCCCGATTAGCCATCCCGACGCGTCTTTCCAGATAGGTTCAGCCGGTGACGGCGTGGTGTCAACCCGGGCGGACCCACCCCCGGGCGTCATGGCATCCCGAACAGCGGTGCCGGCCCTCGTGGCCGGTATGCTCGCGACCGGCATCTGGTGAGGCGGTTACACATTGGTAGGATGACTCGTTTAGTCGCAGAGCTAACGCTGACCTTTCTTGCTCGTGTGGCACGCTGTGAACTTGCCAGCAACTCTATCTTCAACAAATATCAAGATATGCAATGCGTCGCGCACTGCGATGACCCTGATCCACAACGCCGCACCGACTTCACTCAGCCCGTTTGGCAGGTGCGTGCGTCGTGCTAGCCCGCTTGCTTGGGCAAGGATGCTTACATGCTCACCCTTTCCTCTGCACCTCGCATTGCATCGCAGACACTGCAAATGTTCTTGGGAGAATCCATCTGCCTGCTGCCAGTAGGAGCACGACTCTTATGGGAGTACAGGAAAAAACAGGGGCAATATAGCGCAGTTGCGCTCCAGGATCCAGAGCCAGATGCAGATCAAGGCAATGTAGAGCTACAGGAGCATGAAGCAGTAGGCTTGGCGGCGCAGCCCAAGGAAATGCAAGGGCGCGCGATTCTTCTCTTCTTCACTCCTGCCTTGTGCGATATCATCGGTACTTCACTCATGAATGTTGGCCTTCTGTTCACACCTGTTAGCATCTATCAGTGAGTCATCCGCCGTGAATGCTTTCCCGTAGACATGCGTATGCTAAAGGCGGGCTGTTTCCCCTCAGAATGACACGCGGAGCGCTCGTCTTATGGGTGGGAGTCTTTAGCGTCATCTTTCTGCGACGGCACCTCTTCCTCTTCCAATGGGTTTGCCTCGCAATGGTCATGCTTGGCGTATCCATCGTTGGCTTGAGTGGCACTCTCATCTCTTCGTCTACCAGCGATGCTCCAAGCAGGCCGGACGATGACCTCCCGCCGGCAACCCAGGCCATCCTTGGCGTCCTCCTCATCCTCTTTGCTCAGATCTTCACCGCGACTCAGTTTGTGCTGTGAGTGCTCAAGAAACCCTAACGCCTAGGCTGCTGTTCGATTCGAAGCTTATCACACGTTCTCTATGCCTGACCTGTCTCAGAGAGGAGAAGATTATGTCCAAGTACACTGTCGAGCCGCTCCTTGCCGTCGGGTATGAAGGAATATTCGGGTTTTCAACCACGCTAGTAGGCATGATCTTCCTGCACTACTTCATTGGCAAGACTCCTGATGGCAAGGGTGGGCCATTCGATCTCCATGCTGGCTGGTCGCAGATTATCTCCGTCCCTGCCATCCTCTACAGCAGCGTTGCGATCGCGCTCTCCATCGCCTTCTTTAACTTCTTTGGACTTTCCGTCACAAGGACAGTCAGTGCAACAGCTAGAAGTACAATTGGTGCGTCTACCTTCACTGTCAAGAAGCCACGTTTCTTGCCGTTGTGCTGACTTCGTTCTGAAATCACCCAGATACCTGCCGTACGCTTGGCATCTGGATCGTCAGCCTCCTCGTGGTAAGCAGCGGATGCATCGCGATCTCACACTCGTGCTCATAAGCTAATGCTCTTCAACTTTCGCCTTACAGGGCTGGGAAGTTTTATTGCCCCTCACAGGCTCGTTGCAGTGCCTGGGATTCATCTTCCTCGTCACAGGTACCATGGTCTTCAACGGCGTCGTACGACCACCACGCTTCCTCCGACCTAAGCCACCGAAGATGGCCCGGCGCGCCAGCAGTCGGCATATGACTAGGAGTAGGAGCCGGTCACGAGCGCGCATCACCAGTAGTGGCGCAGCGCTTGATCAGCATCAGCAGGAGCAACAACAACAACAACAATAGTAGAAGCTGTTGCTCCAAAGGTCATTTTGGCGCCCGCGACAGTCTGCTAGCTGAATTTTTACACACCTGGAATCTATGCTAATCACTTGTACCTATTTCGAGTTGAATTTGGCCTACTTCTCGCGCAGCTCTGGTCACACTGCAACACTTCCAATTCGTCCGCAGGCGCAGACTTGTTTCCCTCCCGCAAGCGACCACAATGATTTGCTTGGCTTTTCCAAAGTCCTGTAGGTATCATTGCGGGCCGTGAGGCACATGCGCGAGTACAAGGTTTTGCATTTGGGTTCCACATTTTTGGCAATCTCTACCAGTTTGTCTCTTTCAATTCAAGATCCTCTTCTTCAGGCAGCCGATACTGTTCGAGACGGGGGAAAGAGACCGATGGACTGTCAGTACCAGAACTTGAGATGGGGGAGAGGAGCACTCTGCTTTGCGCAGGCCGGCTCACCAATTTGTGCTCTTCGATATAGTTTATCACTGAGTTCGGTAACAAGTATTTGATGCTCAGCCCGCGACGGACAAAGAGGCGAACTTTGGAACTGCTAATGTCGTTGTAGATTGTTTGCTTGACGATCTGGTGCATCAAAGGGGCCATAAGAGAAAATACTTTTAGGTACGCCCCTCTGACGCAGCAAGGCTGTCTTTCTGGTTGCTCACCTTGAGATTCCGCCGATACCGCCATAAAAGGTCATGCCCAAGCAAGAAGGACCAGACATCTGCGCCGGTCCTTTCCACAATTAAGCAGCCATAGTTGCCCAAGATGTGATGCAGCTGCCAGTAAATGAATTCAGAAATGAGCGAGTCTGGGGTGAATGACACTCGGAACGACGATGGCAGCAGGACTCACATCTGGCTCCGCCCAAACGCCGGGCTCGCCCATGCTCTGGATCAAGTCTCCACCTGCAAGAAGCATGATCTTTACTGGTCGGTGTGAGCCATCGCTGAGCTTGACACCTCCATCGGGTCCTGCATTGACCTCCTCGTGGAAATGATCCAGCACGACGGCAGTGCGCTGGTACTCGTCTTGTAGCGACTCCCACGCGTCGACCATGAGCCATGTCGATGTCTTCTCCACCGCAAGCCTGCGTCGCACAGGAAGAGAGCATCATAATGCATGAGCGGCGATGTCTGCAACTTCGAGCATTGATACGATACGTACTCGCACATGCGTACTCGATGCGTCGCTTTCGCAAGCCCCTCCTTCTTGTAGTAATCTGACACGGGCGAGTAGTAGCCAGCGAGCAGCTCGTACTTGCCAGATTCGACAATAGAATCCTTGGCCATTTCAAAAATACGCCTGCATTCCACAGCAGGCAAATGAAAACAGGTAGGTATGCAGTCGTTAGCAAAGTTCCAGTGAAGTGGGGCGCGCACCACGGATGCCAGAGAAGCGAGCCACGCACAGATGCAAGTATGTTGGTGGGGAAAAGCTCCCGCAGGCGACGATGATCAGTGGGATTTTGGATTCGTCCCGCATCCTGAGCGGTAAGCGATGCTTTGGGAATCGATATTGATCCTGTAAAGAGGTAATTCAAAAATAAGACTTCAGGCCCTATCTACTTCGCCAGGGCTGGTTGCTCACCCTCGACTGCGGCTGTACGGGTACCTTGTGTACAGAAAATGATCCTGAGCGGCGTAGCACGAAAGCTGTCCCATCTCCATCGACCTCTTCGTCTACGCCGCGATCGGTGATGACCGACGTTGCATCTTCCACGCCATCCAAGTCTTCCGCCAGCATCGAGTATGCCGGCCGTGGGCTGCCCAACCCGTTCGGGTAAGAGGGCGGCAGCCTTTGCTGGCTATCAAGATTCCAGTTCGGCACATCCTGGTCCCGCGGAAGAGTTTGATCCCGAGATGATGCTTGTGATCGAGTTCCTTCCTCTGCTGATATTTCTTGGCGATATTGGCCGAATGGATGCATTTCTGATAACCGGGCGGCGTGGTGGTTCGGCGTCTTCCCGCCGTCGTCTTCGGCAGACGTGCGAGAGGAAGAGTAAGTGGTATGATTCTCGCCGGCAGGCATGTCCTTCTCTTGCCCTGTTGGCGGGCTCTCCAGTGGCTGCTGTTCGCTCGAACCGGACGGGCCCGGAGTGTTACCAGACCCTCCGACTGCAGTGCCTGTGAAGGGAGGGCTGTCCAACACGTACGACTGGACGCTGAGGGATGCGAACTTGAGCGATGAAGGCCCCCCAGGCCCGGAGGTCGAGTCGGTCATCCGAGGTATCGCTTGTGGTAGATGCGGGCCTGGCATGGAGGGAGGGGCAGGAAGGTGAAGTGGATCAAGCGGCCCCCTTCAAAGGAGGTTTCTGCCGGTGTGGAGTGAGCGGCAAAGGTGGCGCTGAATACGCAAGCACGATGGCCAGGGTCTCGAAGTAGACAAAAAGCTTCCGAGTCAGACGGCACAAGGTCACACGTGAGTTGGTATGTAGGAGGTCCTTAATGAGGCTTGATCATCAATGACACGGAGATTATATATACGAGTATATCTCACTGCGAGATCTTGATGATGGAGGAACGTTACATAATCAGCCTTCCATTGACTCGACCGTCGGCCCGCGGAGGAAAAGAGAGTAAACAACATATTGACTGTTGAGATAGCCAATCGTTGTGCCGGAGTGTAGCAGCAGTAGTATTTAAGTACAAGGTACCATCGGCATTGTCACGTGATGTGCCCATTGCACGGATCGAGCCGAGGACATATTCTGCTGGTCGCTGTTGAAGACGTAGATGGGGATGCGGTGGATTGCCAACTATCTCAATGGAGCTCGCAAGTGCCACATAAAGAAACGGAAGACGTCTGGGAGCCAGAGCTGCTGCCGCCATCTCTCGCTCTTAGCGCCGAGCTTGAAAGAGGCTCGCCATGTCTGGAGAGCCATCGAGCGCGACTGTCGCTGGACCGTCGTCCAGCAAGCGGCCAGCGTGGTCGCCCGACCACCTGGCGCACGAGCCGCCACAGGCGCCGCCCATCGATGTGCGGATAGAGGAGGAGCAGGCTGCGCAGGCTGCGGCTCAGGCAGCTGGTTTCGAAGGGCGGAGAGCTAGGAAGTTCCTGCAGAGACGGACCGTCGATTACTTTGGCACGTACATGCGCTACAACCTTGTAAGTCAGAACTTGGGCTGCTGGACGGAGATGAAGCGACGGCATGATTCCCTGACTTTTGGAATTTGACTTGCAGGACCGGCTACATCGAACGTGCTATCGACACGATGACGAATACATGCGGCCTAGCGTGCACTCGATCAGCAAGGTTCATGCCGTTGCATTTGCCTTTTGCTTAACTATCGAATGCACCTCTGACCATTCGTTGCTCCTTTGACCAGCTTCACCCGCCTTTTGCATACTCAAGATCGAGCACTTCAATAGCAACGACGCCCGTTCATACATCTACGAACAAGGTCCGCTGCCCGGTTAACATTGTTCAAGTGAGTGTTGTCGCAGTCGAAGTGGCTAAAAACCGCCGCTGACGCTTCTCGTGTGCCGCGCAGTGGACGCCTGAAGGTCGGAGGCTGCTGACAGGCTCGCAGTCAGGCGAGTTCACACTATGGAACGGACTGACGTTTAATTTCGAGACGATCTTGCAAGCGCATGACTCGCCAGTGCGAGCGTTTGAATGGTCCAAGTCGGGTGTTTGGCTCGTCTCTGCCGATCAGAACGGCATCATCAAATATTTCCAGACCAATATGAACAATCTGCAAGCGTTTGAAGGACATCGCGAAGCCATTCGAGGCGTCAGCTTTAGCCCGGATGATGCGCGCTTCGTCACGGCGAGCGATGACTCGACGCTCAAGATCTGGGCATTCGATGAGGCGCGGGAGGAAACGACGCTCAGAGGGCATGGGTGGGACGTCAAGTGCGTTGATTGGCACCCGACAAAGGGCCTCATTGTCTCTGGCAGCAAAGACAATCTGGTCAACTTTTGGGATCCGCGAAGTGGCACCAACCTGGCGACGCTGTGAGTACTCTCTCCGTCTTGGCGCTTTACGAGGGGACCAGGTGTTGAGCAACGCGGTCTCATCGCCGTAACCGCCCGCAGACATGGCCACAAGCAAACGATCCAGGCATGCAAGTGGGGTGGGCCGTCGAACAATCTCGTTGTGACTGCATCACGAGACCACTTTTTACGCATCTACGACATTCGTGCTATGAAAGAGCTCTACACATTGCGAGGGCACAAGAATGAAGTTTGCAGTGAGTGCCAAAGACTGATCGACCAACCCCATCATGCTGTTGTCTGACTCGATTGCATCATGCACTAACGTGGAACAGGCGTCGCGTGGCACCCGGTCCACTGCGACCTGCTCGTTTCGGGCGGCTCGGAAGGTTCGATGATCTACTGGTCGTTGCAAGCGGAAGATCCGGAAGCACCATTGCTGGCGATGGACGAGGCGCACAACTCGAACATCTGGAGTCTCTCGTGGCATCCGCTGGGCCACCTTCTTGCGAGCGGAGGCAACGATCACGCGACCAAGTTCTGGGCGCGCTCAAGGCCTGGTGGGGCCGAGCCGGGGCACAGTGGGCATTATCCACATCAGCAGCAGCAGCAGTTCGATGGATACACCTTTGAGAGGGCCGATTTTTACGGTCGGGATAGCAGAGGAGGTGGTGGTGGTGGCGGGTTTCTATCAGGATGATCGGCAGCCAACTTGCGCTTTTGCCTGTATTGCAGCCCCATTGCCGACGCATCGGTTCTCCAAAGAATGGTTCATAGTATTTCGACAAGAAATCCCGTGTGTGATCTCAGCCCAGTGCGCATTTTCTGAGCATTACGCCAAACTAGTCGAGCGGAGATTAGGGTTGGAAGCTGGAACCGTGCGGTGAGAGCGGCGGACGCATTGCTGTGTGCTGCTATCGGTAGCGGTTTCGCTGTGATTCACCACTGCGATCGGCGACGAGCCGCGGGGAAGGGGGGGCGCATTCAACAGCCAGTGGTTCGTGCGGTGTGACCTTTTTGTCGAATCGGCTAATGCCAAGATGACATCGCATCCCATTGGCGGTTCATTCATCTCCTGTACTGCATTCATTCCCACAACAGGGCCGCAAAACCAACGGCGGTACTGGATCGGAGGCATCGCTCCCACACTCGCACCTGCGCCCCGTGCTGATCCCCTCCCCATCAGCTCTTGCTCTCTACAGCCGACTCCAAAGGGGGCACGCAACGTGGGCGCACACATGACGTAGGCTCTCCAGTCACATACCCAGCAGCGCGCCCTCGCCGCAACCATGTTGGAGGGCGTCCTCGCCTCCGTCCTCAATAGATTCCTGGCGGCGTATGTCGATGGGCTCAACACCAGCCAGCTCAATATCGGCATCTGGAGCGGAGACGTGAAGCTCAAAAAGTGAGTCAGCAGGCGCGGTCGTGCTATCTATCGGGCTGACCTCCTGAATCTGTTACGTCACGCGCCGTTCTCGCCTGCACAGCTTACGTCTAAAGACATCGGCATTGGACAAGTTCAGGCTGCCGATTGATGTGAAGGAGGGGTATCTGGGTGACCTAACGCTTTCCATACCGTGGTCAAATCTCAAAGGGAAACCCGTGCGAGTCCTCGTCGAAAATGTCTTCCTCCTCGCTGTACCCAAGGCTGCAAGTGCAGAGGTGGATGAAGAGGAGGAAGATGCGCGTGCACAAGCAGTCAAGCAGGAGAAGCTGGCGAATGCAGAACTGCTAGGAAGGGATACTGTTCTGCAGACCTCTGCCGAAGACGCAAACAAGTCTGAGTCCTTTACCTCCTCTCTCGTCACCAAGATCGTCGATAATCTGCAGATTACCGTGCGGAATATTCACATACGCTACGAAGACGCCATCTCCAATCCCGAGCACCCTTTCAGCGCTGGTATCACCCTCGCCGAGTTCAGCGCAGTCTCCACCGATGCAGATTGGAACCCGACGTTCATTCAGAACAGCGCTCAGGGTATCCACAAGCTCGCGCGATTAGAGTCGCTCGCAGTGTATTTCGATACGGATAGCGGAAGTCTAGCAGAGAACGAAGTGAACGAGGCGCAGGAAAAATTCAATGCTCTCATCGCGCGAGATGGACACCTACCAGACCACCAGTTCGTGCTCAAGCCTGTGTCCGGCGCCGGACGCCTGGTCATGCGCCGCACCATGACGGACGACACTCCCAAGCTCGATGCACAGCTTCTCTTCGATGAGCTTGGCTTTGCACTCGACGATGAGCAGTACCACGACTTGATCTCCCTTACCGACCTCTTCCACTTCTACACGCGCCAAGCGCAGTATCGACGCTTCCGACCTTCTCCCGAGGAGCTGGAGGAAAACAGGCCGCGCGCGCTGCTGCGCTTCGCCGGGCGAGCGATCCTCAACGAGGTCCATGAAAAGCACCGCTTGTGGTCCTGGGAGTACTTTCAGCAGCGCAGAGACGACCGCAAAGAGTATGTGCGCCTCTTCAAAGAAAAGGAAAAAAGCGCCGAGGAAAAGACACAGCAGCAGGCGGGAGGTGTGGTCGCGCAGGCCACGGAAGGCTCCGAGCTCGATTCACTTGAGCGACGTCTTGACTACAAGGACATCAGATTCTACCGCAGCATCGCGCGCTTTGAGCTGCGCAAGGAGAGGGAAGCTGCGCGCAAGCATGGGCCGCATCAAGTTGCAGGAAACGCGCAAGCTGATCACGAAGCTGCAGGTGGCGAGGGTGGCGGCGGATGGCTGGGCTGGCTGTGGGGCGGAGGGGGCGCACAGAGCAAGAACCAGGAGGAGAGTGTGCTGAACGAGGAGCAGCGGAGAGAGCTTTACGATGCCATCGAGTGGGATGAGTCCACTGCCGGCGCAGCACGCGAGATTACGCTGGATCTGCCTCGGGAGGCAATGAAACTTCGCCTGTCAGCAAAGTTGCAGACCGGCTCCTTCTCGCTGCGAGACCAGCGTCGTGGAGCGGACATTGTCAGCCTTGTGTTCGACTGTTTGCAAGCGGACATAATCCAGCGCATCGACAACCTCGAAGCTGCCGTCTCGCTCGGTGGCTTGAAGGTGTATGACGGCACCACGCCCAACTCGCTCTACCCACAGATCGTCCGTGTTAAGGATGACAAGTTCGACATGCCTGGCAGGCAGAACAGTGCGCCTGCGACCTTGCAGCAGATGGAGAAGGACTTACGCAAGGAGTCAAACCCGGAAGATCCGTTCTTCTACCTCAAGTTTGAGAACAAGCCGCTTGACGACCGAGCGGATAATGCGCTGACTCTGCATCTGCGCAGTACCGAGATCATCTACCACCGGAGCTACATCGAAGCGATTGTCAAGTTCTTCGAGCCGCCGGAGAGCGAGCTGGAGCTCATCGGCGCGCTGATCGACGTCGCAGGGGAGACAATTGAGGGTATCCGAAAGCAGACCCGCACCGGACTGGAGAACGCGCTGGAGAACCACAAGACGATCAACATGAACGTCGATGTCAAGGCGCCCATTATCATCCTGCCGGAGGACGTAACAGTCCGCAAGTGCCAGCACATGGTCCTCGACGCGGGTCGCATCAGCGTCTCGAGCCTGCTCGCGGACAAGGCCGCGCTCGATACGGTACGCTCCAAGCAGCACAAGCAGTACACTGAGGAAGACTACCGCCAGCTGGAGGACCTGATGTACGACCGCTTCTTTGTCAAGCTAGAAGCTGCCCAGCTCGTCATGGGAACCGATCTGCGCTCGTGCCTCGTCGGCCTGTCGTCGGACACGACGGACCACCGCCTGCATCTACTCGAGCGCATCAACCTCGACTTTACACTGCACAACTCGATCCTCTCGAAGGCGCCGAACCTGACTAAGTTCAAGATGACCGGACACCTTCCGAAGTTGCGCGTCAACTTGTCCGATCGTAAATACAAGATGCTCATGCGCATCATCGATATCGCCATTCCCAACATCGGGTCGGGCAGCTCCGAGGCTGAGCCTACGACTGCCGCAACCAAACCGCGCGCTGCACAAGAGCAGCAGGCGGCTCTACGTAGCAGTGACAGCGCTGCGACGCTCGACCTTTCCAAGCAGCGGCGTCAGCGATTGGCTGGTCAGCTCCGAAGGAGCGAGAACGAGTATCTCGTCGATGATATTGATAATGATGATGATGCGGACAACGCAGGCGAGGACGAGGACGTCGGAAAGGACGAGTTCCAGGATGCAGAAGATGCTCAGGCCGACAAAGTCAACATGAACCAGAAGAATTTTGAGCTCAACTTCAGCGTCGACTTGTTGCAGGGCTCGATTTTCAAATCTAACACCGACCCCAGCAAGCCGGACAAGCTGCTGGTCGAGGCAACGTTCGAGGGCTTCTTTGTCGATGTCGCCGTCTTCCCCTTCCATTTGGACGTCAACGTCGGTCTGCGGTCGCTCGATCTGGAGGACAAGATCATCGAGCACGAGGGCGAGCAGTTCCGCTATTTGATCACGTCGCGCTCGCTTGGTGACAGCTCGAATGCTTCGAGGCAGAATACTCTGCCGGGATCCTCGCCCCGCGGTCCTCGGGATCTCGTCTACGTCCAGTACACGCGCGTCGATGCTGAACATCCAGAGTTCATGACCAAGTACGAGGGAATCGACCAGAGCATCAACGTCGAGCTCTCTACAATCAACCTCACGCTCACACGCGCAAGCATCCTTGTTGCCTACGACTGGATCATGACAGTGAGTGACAGCATTACCTCTGCTTCTTCATACGCCGAAGCCATTCACCTGGCTGCATTTTGCATGCTCCCCAATAGACATTCGTCCCCGTCGAGCATCCTTCGGTCAATGCTGGCGCAAAACCAGGCGAGGCCATCGAAGGCGACCACGGGGACGCGAAAGCGCAAGCCGTGGAGCGAAAGGAGAAGCTGCGCGTGCGTGTCAAGCTCAATTCGATCGTCTTGCGCCTGAATAACGACGGCATCCTCCTCGCGACACTCACGCTGTCCACTGCAGACGTCGCCGTGCTGTTGCGTGGCGAGAGCATCAGAGTGGCTGCGCGTCTGGGCTCGTTGTCTTTGACCGACAATGTGCAGCGCAAGTTTGCAGACCCGAGCTTCGCTAAGCTGCTTGCAATCGAAGGCGACGAGCTGGCCGACTTTACGTACGAGACATTCGACGCCACGGAAGGTACGACGTACCCCGGCTACGACGCTTCCATCTGGCTGCGGACCGGATCGCTCCGTTTCACCTTCCTCGATGAGCCGGTCAAGGAACTGTTGCAATTCTTCAATAAGTTCGCGCAGATGAAGTCGGTCTACGACGCTGCCACACAGGCTGCAAGTGCCCAGGCATCCCAGCTGCAACAGCGCGTCGTCAAAATGCACTACGACGTCGTTATCAAGACGCCGATCGTCGTCCTTCCGCGCGATCCCCGCTCACCGAACGTGATGATCGCCAATTTGGGTGAGATATACGCGCACAACACCTTCCAGGCTCCGGATACAGATCATGTCGTCACCAAGATTGAAGCGGGCCTCCGGCACATCCGCCTCGCGTCCCGGATGCACCTCGGTAACCAAGAATACCGCGTGCAGATGATCGACGATGTCAACATCTCATTCGACGTGACTCATACTGATCACGTTGATAATGCCGCAAGCAGCGCTCAACCCGACACACAGGTGCTGGCCAGAATGTCTGACGTCAACATGATGCTGACGGAACAGCAGTACTGCTTTATCATGGCCCTCACACAATCTATCCCCAAGGCGTTCGTCATCGAGGATGATAGTGAAACGGCACCATCGGTGAATGTGGCCGCGAATAAGTCGCCTCCGCCCCAAGCAAAAAACTCTTCACATGATATTAACGGTGGCGCTGTCGACATGTTGCCCGAGCTGGGAACCGTCGCACATCGGGAGGACGGCGAGAATGTCTCCGTGCGCACGACTTTGGATCTACTGTTTACTGTGCACGGCATTCAGCTGGAGCTTTTCACAAATGCTGCGACGAGTCAACAGAGCTTGCAGAATGCAAGCCTTGCGCGCTTCGCTCTGAACGACACAGAAGTAAAGCTCAAGATGCTTGCTGACACATCTCTAGAAGCCGAGGTAGCTCTTAAGTCATTCACGGTCCATGACACTCGGCCGGAGAAGGAGACTAAGTTCAGAGAGATCGTCCCTGCCGTCAGACACGACGGGCACCAGTTCATGTTGAGCTACACCCAGTCCGCCAGCTCCGCTCTAGCACTCATCACCGTCGACAGCCCCAAGGTCATTTTCTCTCTAGATCCAATGTTTGCGCTACTGAACTTTTTCTCCAGTCCCTTCACGGAGATCAAAGTGGAGGAGGTGTCGCCTCAAAAATCCAAGTCATCAGCTATTGTTCCAGCGGGCTCGTCCACAGCTGATGTGCGCTCGCGCAGTGGGGACGCAGTGAAGAATGCGATGTCAGGCGAAGATGAATACACTGAGCCAGCCCTGGCCTATCGTGTCAATGTCGTAGCTCCGACTATCATCCTTCTTGCCACACCTGAGAAGGCGGACAGCGAAGCCATCGTTTTGTCAATCAAGCAGGTTCTGATGTCTCAACAAGGTGTCTTGGCGCTCACAGTCGATCAATTCGGGGTGTTCATGTGTCGCATGAACAAGCCCAAAGACACTGTCCGCTTCTTAGACAACTTCAATTTGACGTTCTCTATGGACTCCAGGGCATCTTCCTTGCGGCTGATGACGAGCATTGAGATTGACGTGGATCCGCTAATCCTGCGCGTGGCGTACCGCGACATCATGCTCATCTCGTCGGTCATCAACAAGGCAATCGAACTCTCTTCGCAGGGTAATGAAGAGACGTACGCCCAACCAGGTCGGCATCCGAAGCGTCAGACCTCAGTCGCGACGAGCGCCAGCGCACAATCCCTAAGGTCTGAGCAGGCGCGGACCATCGGATCACAACATAAAGATACCAGTGCCAGTGCGGCCACAGCGCGCAGTGAACGGATCGTCTCTGCGCAGCTGCTCATGTCGAAGGAGCTATTGAAGGCATCTTTTGCAGGTCTGCAGGTCATCGTTATTGGCGATGTGCACTCCCTTCCGTTGATTGACATGAACTTCGGCAAATTCAGCGTGGACGTGCAAGACTGGTCCGCCGACCTGCGCGTGGAAAGTTCATTGAACACTTACATCAATTACTACAATCTATCGAGATCTCATTGGGAGCCTTTCATCGACCCTTGGACCGTCAAATTCATGATTTCCATGTCAAGCACGCGCGATGACACATCATCAACGATGACCATTTCGTCTACCCGACGACTGGAGCTGAACATCACATCAACCTTGATCGATACTGCTCTCACGTCTGTCGCCATCCTCAATGATGAGTCAAGCAGGCCAAACGCGTACCGGAACGCTGCTCCCTTCCGCATCCGGAATCGAACGGGTTACAAGATCAGTCTCTGGCCTGAACACGAGGATCGGAGGATCAAGCCGCAGCCACAACAACTGGAGGATGGAGAGGAGTTGCCGTGGCGCTTTGATGACTGGAAAGTCATGCGAGAAGTGAGTTATACTGACCTATAAATGAAAATATACTCGCAGATCACTGAAGTCAGCTTTCGCACTTTGCAGCACGCCATGGAATCAACTGGTAATATGCTCTCCTTGCAGATCGATGGCATGCCTTGGGAACGGTTGAAGCACATCTCCGTCGACAGAGAAGGCGAATTCATTCTCAATCTCCGACCAAAACTCGACAAGGTCGCACACCGTCTCCTCTTCGAAGTCAAGCTTCAGGATAATGTCAAGGTGATCACTTTCCGCTCAACGTTCAAGGTCGAAAACCACACACTGGTCCCTGTTGAAATCACTGTCGTGGATGTGGACGGTAATCCTACGGAGGTGATTCGCAAGATAGCCCCCTCAGAAGACTGCCCTGTGCCCATCGAAGCCGCATACCACAACAGGATAAGGATACGCCCTGATCCTGGCTTCGAGTATGGCTGGTCAGAAGAGGCGCTGCATTGGCAAGACCTTGTCAAGCGATCGACACGCACCGTCACCTGCATGTCTGAAGACCCGAATGAGGCACCGTTCCTCTTTCAGTGCTACACGGCATACGACAAGCAGGATCCTCGCGGCCGGATGTACCCGAGACTGAGCCTCAAGCTGAGAGCTCCGGTTGAGGTTGAGAACCTTCTTCCGTACGACATCCAATATCGGATCTTTGACAAAAATCTCAACCACAACTGGTCTAGCTATCTTAGGAAGGGTGGTGTTTCACCAATCCACGTAGTCGAGCTTTCCCATTTGCTCTTGCTCAGCATTGATGTGAAGACAGATGTCTTTGCGCCAAGCGAATTTGCGATTGTCGCAACCGACAACCCAGACGATTTCCCAGTGGAAAAATATCTCACGCTGACGGACATTGATGGACTCAAGCTGCAACTGCGCCTTCACTACATCAAGTTCCCGGAGTCTGGCGGCGCATTCAAGGTTCAGATCTACTCTCCCTACATCTTCATCAATCAGACCAACCTGCCGTTCGCGCTCAAGACAAAGTCCTGGATGGGTGTGGCGAAGCTTGTGGCCGGCCAACCTCAAGGAGCTGCTTATGCTGCATCGAAGGAACCAGAACCATTCCTCTTCTCTCAGAGCTCCAACGACCGGCGGAATCGCATGCTGCTCAAGGTTGGAGAGTCGGGGTGGTCAAAGCCACTCTCCTTCGAAGCCATCGGATCGGAGACTGAAGTAACCATCCCTTCGGCAACAAAGAACGAAGAAGTGCACGTCGGCCTGACAATCGAAGACGGTCTGGGCAAGTTCAAGCTGTCGAAAGTAGTCAAGTTAATGCCACGATACCTCATCAGCAATCACTTGGGTGAAGCCATCAGCCTCCGTGAAGCAGGAGCTGCGGATTTTATTACGGTCGACGCTGCCAAGCGGGCGCCTTTGCACTTCCTGCGTGTCGGGGCAACAAAACAGCTTACATTGACCTACCCTGGCTTGAATAACAAGTGGACTGCACCCTTCAACATCGAGGACATCGGTGTCGTCCATCTACGGATTGCCAAGAGTGGACATCACCAACACCTCATCAAGGTCGATGTCTCTTTGGAAGGGCCCACCATCTTCATCTCCCTCAGCCCGGAGACGGGCCCCTGGCCATTCATGCTGCGAAATGAAAGCGATCACACACTCACGTTTGCGCAAGCAGCCGAGTCAAGGGACTCGAGTGGCGCGGTTGGCAGCGATGAAGCCGTAGGGAAACGATACGAGCTTAAGCCTCGATCTAAGATGAAGTACGCTTGGGATTACCCGGCTTTGCCTGACAAACTCATCAAGCTGATGGTTGGGGGGCGAGAGCGCAACGTGAACATCATGGAGATCGGTAGTTTGTTACCGTTCAAAGTCCCGAATTCAGATGGCAGAGGCTCGCGCGTCATATCGCTTGATGTCAGAGCTGACGGACCCACACAGACGCTGGTCCTCTCCAACTACTCGGAATCAACGAGCAACTTCAAGCTGACCAGGCAGAATTCAACATTCTCCCGCACGGAATCCATGTCCAGCTCGAAGGACCTCGGATTCGAAGCCGTGGATGTCGATACCAAAATCATGTCTTCCTACAACCTCGAGCTTGAAGGCGTGGGTATTTCGCTCATTAATAACAACGTGCAGGAGCTGGCCTACATCTCTTTCCGCGGTCTGGAGGTCCATTACACAGAGTCAGAAGTCACGACAGCAATCAATCTCATCTGCAAGTGGATCCAGATCGATAATCAACTCTTCGGTGGCCTATTCCCGATCGTGCTCTACCCGACCGTGCTCCCGAGAGATGGCAAGGATCTTGAAGTCCACCCAACGCTTCAGGCTTCGCTAATTAGGCTCAAAGATCAGAGCCATGGCGTGATGCACATCAAGTACGCATCAGTGCTGTTGCAAGAGATCACAGTGGAACTCGATGAGGATTTCCTCTTTGCCGTCTACGAGTTCTCCAAATTCGAAGGCGCATTTTGGCAGGAAGAGTCCGCCAACGACACCGACTTCATCGAGAATCCCCGCAACATTCCGGAGCCAAAATCTGCACAACGAGGGCAGGACGACGTCTACTACGAGATCCTGCATCTCCAGCCGGTGGCGCTTAACTTGTCTTTCATGCGAACGGAGCGCGTCAACGCGGATGAAAGAGTCAGCTCTCGCAACCCAATGATCTTCTTCTTCAACGCCCTGACCATGGCTTTGGGTAATGTCAACGAAGCTCCTGTGAGGCTGAATGCCCTCGTCATCGAGAATGTCCGCCTCTCTTCGGCAATTCTGCAAGAGCGCATCATATATCACTATGGTCAAGGCTTCTTGATGCAGCTTTATCGAGTGCTTGGCTCCGCAGATTTCCTCGGGAACCCTGTTGGTCTTTTCAACAACGTTAGCTCAGGAGTTGCGGACATATTTTACGAGCCATATCATGGGCTCGTCATGCACGGCAACAAGGAGCTTGGTCTAGGGATTGCCAGGGGAGCAAGCTCTTTCGTCAAGAAGACCGTCTTTGGTGTGACGGACTCGGTGTCGAAAGTGACGGGCAGCATTGGAAAAGGTCTTGCTGCAGCCACCATGGATCAAGAATTCCAAAGCCGAAGAAGGATGAGCCGTTTCCGCAACAAGCCAAAGCATGCTTTGTATGGCATCGCAGCTGGAGCAAACTCATTCTTCACCAGCGTTGCCAGTGGCTTCGAAGGCTTAGCCTTGAAGCCGCTCGAGGGCGCTGAGCAAGGTGGCGCCGGTGGCTTCCTGAAGGGTGTCGGGAAAGGGTTGGTCGGTGCCATCACCAAGCCCGCAGTTGGCGTGTTTGATTTGGCGTCCAACGTGACGGAGGGCATGCGCAACACGACTCTGGTGTTTGACCAAAATGACATTGACCGCGTCCGTCTGCCGCGTTTCATTGCCAGCGATGGCATCGTGCGGCCGTACTCGGACCGCGAGGCACTTGGACAGACGTGGCTCAAGAATGTGGACAATGGCCGCATCATGAAGGAGCACTACGTTGCACATGTCGATGTTGGAGGGCATGAAGGAGACAGTGCGGTCATGTTGACCGTAAACCGAATCCGTAGGTACATCTGCTTGCAGACTTCTTAACACGCTTGCTAACCAGGATATTCATCTTTGCAGTATATATCCGAACACTGCGTCTGAAGGTGGCTTGGGATGTGCCACTAAGCGAATTGAGCTCCATTTCGTGAGTCATGTGGGTGTCCAGCGGGAACGACGCAGCGACTGCTCGACTAACATGATGCCCTTCCGAAATCTGTAGGTTGGAAAGCCAGGGTATTGCACTGCTGCTCCGAGGAGGAATCCAAGGCCCTTACTTGAATCTTGCTGACGTGAGTTCACACCCCAGAAGAGCCCTATCATCGAGACCGCTTTAGCTGACTTGTCCCACACCACACCAACAGGCGAGCACTCGCGCTTGGTTCTTCAAACAATTGAGCCGTATCGTGCAGAACTACAATGCGCGGCACGCGACCGGGGAATGAGAGGTCAGAGGGAGGAATACTTTTGCAAGTACACGACAGAACGAGAACGAATTTTACGAAAATGCCCACATCGCAGATGAGATAATACGATCAAGTGCCAACATTGTCATGTATGACCTTTTCCCGTGATTCTTATCAGAATCGAACGCAAGATCGATAGCAGGGGGTGGGGGTTTTGAATAAGTGCACGCATCGTAGGTAACTCGGGGGTAACTTTATAATCGGAGTATGCGGCGGGTATGTCGTTCGTGCGATTGTACCGGGCATGACAGGTGGAGGATCATCACGCCTCGAGGCCTGCAAGCTCAGCGAGGCGTTCACTGGCTGTGTGGTCGCGAGTGGAGCGCATACGGTGGGCGAAGATGGGCTTGTCATCTGCAGAGAGTGGAGAGGAAAGGAGATCCGTGGTCAACGGTATGGTTCCGTATTGTACCACGAACCGTATATCGAACACGCCTGCTAGCGTCACTCACCCTTGTCGATGATAAAGTCGGCACCAAGCCTGCTGTAACTCCCTCCATTTAGGATACCCCTTCCCGATCCGAGCGTCTCCTTGAGGCTTTTGAGAACGATGCTGAACATGTTGATCCCTCTGACTTCAGGTGCAGCGTCCTGCTTTGTGCCCTTTGCGAGTGTGTGCCTCGTCACTCCGTACGCGGTGAACAGGTTTGCGTCCGTCGACGCATATATGGGGAACGGGTTCGTGTTTTGCTTCCCTGTCGCATCTTCGATCGGGCCTGAGAAGTCGCGATAGCGCTTCAAGCCGCTCCAAGCGCCTTGACTGATGATGATCACCTGTGTGTCTGGCGCAGTCTCCGCCCTCGGACCGTCGGCATATGCCGTCGCCTTGGCAAGCTTCTTGAACGCTGGGTGAGAGTTGAGGCTGGTGAGGTACGAGAGGCAGATTCCGCAGTGCTGATGCCGAACGAAAAGCAAGATCGTCTTCCTGCCTTTGCGCAGATCACCGAAGCGAAAGCTCTTACCGTGCTCATCGTTCACCTTGACCTCATCCCCCGCGGCGATCTGCTCCGGCGTAGGCAAGGCGTCATTGCCATCTTCAGTTTCGCTCTCTGTATTGCTCCTACCGTTCGTCGCTGTGTTGGGCAAGCTGGCCTCCGTGATTACCGTGTCATGGACACCTCTGGTGCTGTGAATAGCAAAGCTCGCTGAGGAGGTGCCTGCGTCCGCCACGAGGCGATTAGGGGATGATGGCGATGGTGTTGTTGTCATTGTTGTTGCTGCAGCGGTCGCGGTGACCATCGTGAGGGGGGTACGCAGTACGCCTTCTCAAACAGAGTTGGAACGGCTCCAGCAACTGCACTCATGTATTGAGGAAATTGGACGTGTTTTCCGGTCCTTGAGCTTGTAAGAACTGCACATTGAGGTGGATGCACGATGTCCCCGCTGCGGGGTATTCAGACTAATCAATCGCCCAACCATGTACTCATCTCAACAAGCGAATGTATGCATGTGGCGACGAGCACGAGACGCAGCTCCCACCCAGACTCTCCCAATGGACGACGACGAGCTGGCTGGCGGGTCCACTCTCGGCGCTGACCCTATCCCGGCGTTGAACTGACTTTGAAGACTCCGGGGGGGGGTGAGCACCAGCAGTCGCGAGATGGTGATCGGACCACCCCGCCGTTTCTCACTTGAGACTGGCTGCTAGAAGCAAAAGAGCGCTAAGAAGGGGTATAGTCGGTCACGTGACATTGATCGAAGGATGGACTCCTTTAGTAGGGTTGCTGTCAGCCCTCGCAATCTTTTTCTCAGCCTCGAGTTCTCCATTTCTCCACTCTCCTTGCTGGACAACGTGCAAATCCACTCGTTTCTTCCTCGCTGACCCCATACCAACCGGCGGCCTCGGCACAGGCTCGAGGAGGACCCGTTTCCCGTAGCACATTCCATCTCGCTGCAGTTATCAATCGCCTGAGCCATGCGTCCAGTAGTTGGGCCAAGCTCCAGGGCGCTGCGCTGCTCAGCCCTCCCACGACAAGCGGCCACTCTGCCGAGCGTCGGTCGTCAAACCGGCTGCCCTTCGTGCTGCAGCTCGTCATCACGGGGCATCGCTTCCTCCTCTCGCGGCACCTTGGTCTCATCGCCATTGTCTCCTGGGATGGCAGCAGTAGCAGCAGATGGGCAGTTGCAGAACAAGGGATATGCTCTTCGGGCTTTCATAGTTCGAAGCAGAAAGTAAGAAGCGTTACCCATGGGGCCCCTTCGTTAGCCATCGATGCCAGCCAATGCTGATTCTGCGTCGTGATTTTTCACACTGCACTCATTTCGTAGCTTTTCCACTACTGCATCACGCTCTGCAATCAGTGACTGGCTCGGCCCACGACTGGGCCCGACGATAGGGCGCGCCGTGTTTGGTCGGCGTCGGGAGCGCGAAAACCAGCGGCAGCGCGGCGGCCTGATGCCGGACGAAGCGCGTAGGCTGGAAGTGGATGAGCAGCGCGAGGCCGCGCTCGGTGCCATCTCATCTGACGGCGATGCGCTGTTCGACGACGTCGAGGGGCAGTCGGGCATCCTCAAGGCGCAAGCGCGCGATGCGCAGCGTGAGTTGCTCAAGCGCGAGGCCCGCCGCGCGCGCAAGCGGTGGGGAGGATCGAACGCCGCGGAGCCTGAGCACAAGTATAGCACGGCGACGTTCAAGATCTCGCCGCGCAAACTACAGCTGCTAGCGTCGCAGATCGGCGGCAAGCCGATCGACCTGGCGATCTTGCAGATGCAGTTCAGCGCCAAGCGCGCCGCCAAGCGCGTGCAGTCTACCCTCGCGCTCGCGCGGGACCACGCGGCGGAGAAGGGCATGGATGTCAAGCGTCTCGTAGTCAGCGAGGCTTGGGTCGGCAAGGGGCGGTACATCGCGCGCGCAGACATCAAGGGCCGCGCGCGGATGGGCACGAAGCACCATCCAAGCGCACGGCTTAGCATCGTCCTGCGCTATGGCAAGACGTGGGAGCAGAAGGAGTACGAGACGATCCAGGCTGCCGTGCGCAAGGTGCGCAGCTTAGGAACCGGTGGCATCGCGCGTGTGCAAAGGCCGATCGTCAACGTGCACCAGAGGCCTGGTTGGAACATCTAAGAAGCGCCCAGCTTACATGCACAAATACGCTGCGGCGAGGCGCAATGACAGCGGTTGTACATAGTATGGTGCTCTCTGAAGGGTGATGGATGAACAGACGTGACGTTCCTTGAATAGAAATACAGTGTAGGGAGCGTTGTAAGAGAGAAAGTAAGCAGACAAGCGTCCATCCTCTTTTCATTCCGGGAGACTCTTTTTCTACCATGCATGCAACAGGTAGTCGTCGTTTCGATGGAGAGAACGCGCACCGATGAGGGGTGTTTCACCCGCCGATGACCTTGCTGAACATCCTCTTAACGAGCGAGCGGGCATATGGAACGAACGAGAGTGCGAACCAGAGATAGGAGAGGTAGAGGACGACGCAGAAGACGATGGCGAGGGGCTGGTGGAATGTTCAATCAGAGTCCTTGTCAGCCCCTCGCATCTTGTTGTGAATGAGCGCAGTGTGTGCATGCTGTCCATAACTCACAGCACTGCGGATCGCAAAAGCCGAGATCCAGACCATGGCGAAAGCGGCGAACATTATAATGGTCGCGACGACCCTGACCGGCTTGAACATCTGCTTGATCATCGTTCCAAACCCGATCAGGAAGCCGGTCCCCGTCAGCGAGACGAGGAAGCCGACGGAGTAGAGGATGGCGAAGAGGACGTAGGACGCTATCAGTAGTAGCAGCGTGCCAATCAGAGAGATGACGAAGCCTGCGATGACGCTTTCAAAAGGTGTGCATGCGCAGTGGGGGCAGGCATCCGGTAGTCAGTTGCTGCTTTGCTACTTGAAAACAAGACGCACACAGCACCTCACCAGCCTACGAATCCCATCAAACGCTGCTGACGCGTAAGCTCGAATCCGAATTGCGCAAATGCCGAGTTCTCGCCGGTGAGCTCGCCGGTGAGGTAGCTGACTTGCTGCGTATCCATGTTGACCCACTTCGATGGCCCTCCGCCTCCGGATGATGTCATTGATGGTAAGAAGCCGCTGCGCCCACCAGTGTTGCCGGACCTATTCCCTGCAGCGCTGAAGGGATAGGCGGCACCCCAACCTCCGCCCCCTCCAAAGGTGCTGGTGGAGGCGGGCGCAGAGGATGAGCCGCCCGTGCCGGGTATCCAAGATGGCATGGCGGTGGTGCTGATGCTTGTTACAAGTGTCCCTCGACGCTGATGCTCTTGTTCCCACCACGTATCCACGGCGTTCGATGAATGAGGAAATGGCGTTCTCAATGTATGTACATGGGGAGCAGGTCTGCGCCTCCATGTCGCACATATATAATATCCGTCGTTCCTTTCAACGCCGATAGAGAGAAGCGGCACCAAGCAGAGAGAGGGGGGCATGGGCATACAACCTGATTCGGTGCAACTTCCCCTTCAGCCGGGCGGAACCACCATTATCCACTCGTGGACTTCCGCCCCGATGCTAGCCATCTCCTGGAGCAAATCTCTCGACACGGCCAGAAATAGAATCATCTCGGCACCAACAGCAACAGCGTATAGAAAACATGTGTGTCGGACGCTTGCGATTCTCCAGAGGTCCTGCTGCATGACACCAACAAAGGGGAAGCGCATCACAAGGCAAGGAAACTCAGGGAAAGCAAGTCGATCCTTTTACGGTGGCCATGCCCGCCGCAGCTGTCATCTCCACCGCCTTGCGGCAGACGCAGCGAAGCGCTGCAAGGGCGGCTGTCATGTGTCCCCAGGCCCCAGCCGCGTCGTGCTCGTCATCGCTTTCACAGTCCCCTGCGAGCTTTTGTAGTCTATCTACTTCCCCAGGACTTCGGCTGTCCGCTACGCCTTGCTCATCACAACAGAAGCCACAGCGATCAGCCTCAACATCAGCATTGGCGCAGGCGCCAGCGGCAGCGTCCAAGCCAGGACATACGCCACGCCTTTCCATATCTGCTGCACAGCAGCAGCAGAACCAAATCAAGCGAGGCCCCTTTTCCGCCGCCACACTCTCTCCCTCTGCACCGCCACCGTCGGAAAAGGGGTACAGCCGGCTGACCGTGGCGGTTGTCCGGGCGCTCGCCAAGCTCATGGGATACAACCGGATGGGGTCCAGCGCCATTCGCGTCACGAGCGACCTCTACGACCGGTGTGCTGAAGTGGCAGAGCTGCAGAAAGATTTCTGGTACCATGGTGAGTCCTCACGTGCCTACTCCGGCATTTACGGTGGACAATGTGGCGCGCGTTGCTGACACTCTTGTTCTACCGTGCGCAGATGCTGGCCTACCCGCGACGTATCAAACTTGGTTCCACATCACGTACCTGCACGTCTGGCTGCTGCACGTCCGCTTTCGCTCGCTCGCCTCTCCACCGTGCCCGCCAGGCGCGGCGCAGGCGTACGCGCAGGAGCTGATCAACCACTTCTTCATCGATGCCGAGTCGCGCATGCGCCAACGCTTCGGTGTGCAGACCGCGCGGCTGGTGAAGGGCTATATGAAGGACATGCATACGCAGCAGCGCGGCGCTCTCGTCGGCCTGGATCAGAGCCTTGCGGCGGCCGCGCTGCACGACGACACGCAGCTCGCAGCCGCGCTCTGGCGCAATATCTGGGGCGCTGGCGGCTTCGGCGGGCATGTAGGCGGCGTGAAGCGCAAGATCAAAGGGATCGACCGCACGGAAAAAGGCCAGGATCCGTCCGAGGAAGGAACACCAGAACTCCAGCTGGACACCCGCGTTTTCGGCGCCGACGGCAAGGCTGGTGCCTCGCCAAGCTCGCATCACAATCTTGCTGGCGCCGACTCGTTCGCCAAGCAGCACCCCGAGCTCGCCTTCCCACAGCACCTGGAACGCCTCACGCTCTATGTTCGTAGGGAAGTGCAGCGCCTTGCAATGATCTCCGATGCCGACATCCTAGCCGGAAGAGCGGCAACGGACGACAAGGACGTCATGCCCGGCTCCATCTTCGGCCGCGTATAACTTTTTGTAACTTGCAGTTTCTTTCCATCCTCATGTCTAGTATGTACGCACCATTCTTTCCCGGGAAAGACGTGGTTGCAGATTGCATGCATCGATAAAGTCCTTGGCCACGGCAAGCCGAACATTCGAAAAGAGTCGAAGCCTGCAGGACAAAATACAGTGTTGTTGATGGTCAAACATGCAGGAATATTCCTCCGCGACCGTCTTTATTGAGTCTATCCTTATAAGTTGGCCATCCCATGCAACGTGGAAGGGCAATGCGAAGCTTTGAATCCGCCGTGAAAGCGGGCAGGTGTATGTACGTATGCGCGTGTTGTGGACAAACGAACAAATGAATGAGACGGTTCGACATGTGAATAGGCTGTCCCAACGTCAAGGTCGCGTGAGCAGGTGGTGTGAGAGCAGGCAGAGTCTGATATGCTGACGATGAGGGAGCGGCAACAGCGCCTTCGCCTCGGGCCTCTAGCAGCGCCGGCGCCGAAGAGGCTATATGTAAGTTGGAACGCAGGTGATTGATAGTTTGCAATGTTATTTGTGGATGAATGGCGTGGTGGGAGGCGTTTGATGATGGTTGAATATGAAACAATGCACGTGTGAGCTGATGGGTCTAGCGTCCTTTTCCGAACAGGTGCTGAGGTGTGAATACAGTGCTGAGTGCCAAATCCAGATGAGACCGAGTCCAGTTGTGGCGCAGGTGAAAGACTTCAAGGCTTCGCCCTCAAAGACGGAGGGAAAGCCCACGCCTGGCGCCATGGCCAGGCTGCAGCAGGCTGTTGGTATCCTGCTGCGTCTGCTGGCTGTGGCGTTGTGTAGCGTTGCGCTGCAGGTTCGCAAAGCGAGCCGGGCTGAACGGCGCCGCGCCGCTGCGGGGGTGGAACGAGATGGGCTGTGGGGGGAGCTGGTACTCCATGCCAAGCTGCTCGGCGATCGTCTTGACTTCGCGCATAAGTTTGGTTCTCCGCGCCCAGCGCGCACCCCAATCCTGCCAATTGCCCTTGTGCTCCATGGCGATGACGAGGTTGATGCAATTCATGTTGTCGATCTCGTCAAAGTTGACGTCCAGGCCACCGCCCCACTCGCGGTCGTTCTCCTTGACGTAGGCGCGTAGGCGCTTGCGAAACTCATCGATCGTCGCCAGGGCAGTCTCAAAGCTGCACATCACCTTGGTCACCTCCCATTGGCTGTTGGAGCGGCGCGCGTTGTGAATGAACTTGGACGTGGCGAGCAGCGCATTCGGTGCGACAATCTCCTCGTTGGTCGTCGTGCGGAACGTGGTCGAGATGAGGCCAAAGTCCTTTACGAACATCCAGACGTCGTCGATGCACACCAGGTCGCCGCTATCGTACGGGTGCGTAGCGAAAATAAAAATCATGCTCTCAAAGATGGTCTTGAGCGTGTTGCCAAAGACGAACGAAAACGACACGATGAATGTGCTAAGCGGCACCAAATTTGCGATCGTCTGGTTGCGGTTGAAGATGAGAAGCCAGACAAAGATGGCGATGAGCAGGCCGACAAACAGGAGCACACTGTCGAGCTTGCTGATGGCGCTGCTTATATCCTTAAGGGAGGCTGAAAGGGCACGGCGCTCTTTGTAGATCCGTTGGACCGCCTCACGCATCTCGGTCTTGGTGATGTCTCCGTTCTTGTCCGCATCAAAGACCTGGAATGCCTCCTTGGCCTCCTCCTCGTTTTTAAAGTACGGAACAAAGTCATCCGCGATAAGGTATTTACGGTTATGCGACAGGTTATTGAACAGCTTCTTGGCAAGGCGGCGTGCTGACTGCGCGGAGCCCTGCTTGCCCTTGAACAGCTTGCTGTTCTTCATTGTCGCCATCTGCAGCGCCTCTGCTAGCTGGCTGGCAACGTTGGCGCGACGAGCGGCCTTGGAAATGTCGTGTTCGGACGGCTGCCCCTTGTGGTGACGGTGAATGTGAGGCATGTGATTTTGATGGTGCTGCGTTTGGGTTTGGCCCTGTGCCTGGCTTTGGAGGTCTCCACTGGCTTGGGATGTCTTAAAGTAGCCACCGTCGTCTCGCGGCTTGTAGTGGACATGGCTTCCAATGCCGCCAGGAGTGTGTGGACCGGGCGAACCAGGCCGGGAGCCGTTGGCGCCGTAGCCCATGAAGGAACGACCCCAGTAGCCTGAAGCCCAGGCGGAACGAGCGCTGCGACTGGGCGCTTCGTATTTACTTTCGTAAAGCTTGTCCAGCACTCGCAGCGCCTTCTGATTGTTCTCGAGCCTGTCGCGCACGGCCGTCTTATGGAAGTTGATGGCGATGAGATGGAGCAGGATCTTCTCTGCGAGCAAGATGCATGCTGTACCAAAGAGGGCTTGCAGCAGGCGGACGATCCAGACAAAGTACGGCGGGCGATCGGCGTAGGCGAACTGGATGGCCAGCACCCCGCCGAGGGAGATCCAGGCCCACGAGACGCAACCGAGCAGTTTGACATAGAGCCCGGTAGCCATGATGACTTCGATGTAGAATTTGAACACCTCGCGCGCTTTACCATAGACGGCAACAGATAAGCGCATGAGCAGAGCGGGGATCCAGTCGACAAAGACGAACGTTCCGGCGGAAGCGGCGATGATGATTGCGACCCAGATCGACCAGACTTGTACTTGAGCACGAGCCGGGGCGTTTGGAAAGGCGGCAATGGCGACAATGAATGGCACCAAGGCGATTATCGTTGCGATAATTGCAAAGAGGAAGATGCGAACCGGGCGAGCGAGACGGAGGCAGGCGAGGTAGACCTTACGACCGCGGCGAGCACGGATGCGCTTCCTACCATCGGGTCCGATCGCCTTGCTGACTTCGTCAACTTCTTCGTCGGTAGAGGTATCCCAGTCAAAGTCATCGGTCTCGTCGGCGGAGCTCATACCTGCCGAAGAGATGGGCCGGGAAGGAGGGGTCGTGTCGCCGCCAAGGCCCCCAGTCAAACGCATCCCTGCCTTTTCGTCGACGTAGGGGCCATCTGAAAGACATTCAAGAACGTGAGCTACCTGACGAAAGAAGACAGATTGAGTGAAGCTGCCCGCATGCACTCACCTCTTCCGATGAGTGTGTCCTGCTGCTCGGGCCAGCCGCCTTGCTTAACACCAGCCGGGATGCCAGCAGAAGCATCAGCCACAGCCGAAGTGCTGGGTACGTTGTCACGGTGCTCGTGTCCGTACATGGACATTGCCGACTCATGCGGCCCATGCATAACGTGGTGAGGTGGGGGCTGAGAAGCCATAGGCGAGTTGTTGTCATCACCTGCGACGCGGTCCAAATAATCTTCGTCGTCATCGCTGGCGGACGAGTCGTCCGCTTCGTTCCCGTTCGCGCTCTTATATCCACGGTGTTGTTGCTGCTTTTTGTGCCTTTTTTCATCATCGCTAGCATTACCAGGGGGCTCAAATGTGGACAGGGGGATGTCGGCCGGGTCAGCGAGTGTTGGTGGTAGATATCGTTGCGCACCGTCACTGCCCATGTGGGCAGGCGCCATCGTGGTGGGCCGCATGGCGTAAGCGTCTGCAGCAGAGGTAATGGCCGCTTGGAGATCATCCTCCGAAATCTGTCCAGCGTGTTGATAAGCCATCTTTTCGGTGGGCAATGCGTTGGGCGGCTCCGCGGCCTGTAGTCTTCTGACAGAGCCTTCCTCCCGAATAAGCGGTGCTCTACTGTGTGATCTCTGCTTAAAAGCTGGATGAGATGCAAGGCGGGTCAGCTCGGTTCCGGTGAACTGCGATGCGAATGATGTTGTGTCGGTGCGCTCTGTACCCCAGCAAAGCGTGTGCATGCACGCGCCTCTGAAGTACTTGGGATGAACCACATGAAGTACTTGGGAGATAATAGTTTCGCAGTGGCCTTTTGTGAGATTGATGAGTTTGTGGTTTCAATCGATCTCTCGCTTTCATGAAATGTGACGCACTCGCAAACTCGTCCACAAACTCCCTCTTCTCCTGTGCCCACGCCTCCCCAAAGGGCGGAACTAAAGCAGATCTCCTCCGCAAGCATCCGGCGACCCACCCGCTTGGCATTGGCACTCGGATTGCCAAGCCGAATGGGAGAGATTCGGGAAGAATGGGTTGACCCCAAAATAGGGCTGTCGTCCTCTGGCCTCTGCTCAGGCGTTCTCGCCGGTCTCTCGAGTCTACAGTCTCAGGGTGGGCACTCATATGATCTCACTCTGGAAGGCTGCAGTTTGGGTCGAAAGGACGAGGCTCCCTCGTTTATCGTAAGTACGAAAAGGGAAAGGCTCATTTGGATCGGCTTTCCGCTCGGAAGTGGGCAGCACGTGAGGCGCCAGCTGGGTCATCAGGAGCTTCGCAACATCCGAAGAGCTTACTATAAGTTTTGCCGCTACTAATCGAAAGACGAGCTAGCAATGGTGACCGCACTGGCATCACAGAACAAAGCGAAATGCACAAGACGGACAAAGGGATGGACTGTCATGCATACGTGCTGTATGGCGGCGATGTGATGACGTTCCACCTTACATGCTCTCCAACGCTCGTCCGCGGGCTTGCGTTGGGCAATGGCCGCTTTCTAGAGGGAAGGAGCCCATCGTGCGCTTGTGTGCGTAGGGTTGTCAAGTCGCATGAAGCGGCGCATTCCCTCATGTGACCCATGCCCCACCCCTCGTCTTCGATTAGGTCCCGCGTATCTGAGTGCTTGATAATCCGAGAGGCGGCCGAGCACGTGAGCTCGGGCTAGCTTTTTTGGCACTCAGGACTCTTCCTCCGTGAAAGCAGTGTAAGCCTCCTTGCTGAGAAGCGTGTCAAATTCGCCCGGGTTGCTAAGGCGGATGGTGCATAGATATCCAATCTCCTCGGGGTTCTTATTGACCAGGCCAGGTTCGTCCGACAGCGCCTCGTTCACCGCTTCGATTTGCCCAGACACGGGAGCGTAGATGTCTGAAGCAGCCTTCACGGACTCAACAGCGCCGATCTGGTCTGCATGCGAGCAGAAGCGATGGTGCAGATGATCATTTGATCAATACAAGATCAGCCTTCAGAGCTGAAACGCCAGCGATGCAGGCCTTGAGCACTTACCACCTTGCCCAACGTCGGTCCCAGTGGCAGGCAGCTCGACGTAGACGACATCACCCAAGCTCTTCTGGGCGTACTCCGTGATGCCGATTTTGCCAATGTTGCTCTGGTCGTCGAACTGCACCCACTCATGTTCCTTAGTGTAGCGCGTGGAGACGGCTTGGCGGAAGGATGAAGTGTGCAGGAACGATGACGCTGCTGCGGCCCGACGCTGCGTCGGAAGAACAGCGCTCGATGGATACGAGAGGGCGAGCGACGGAGCCCGAAGGAGGGAGCGCGCAAAAGTGCGTGCAGTAGCCATGACGTTTAAGTTGTTGGTGCGCGAGACGTCAGATCAGGGGTGCTGATGACTCGGGTCAAGCTTATCAGTGTCGCGTTGTTATAAGTCTTCTTCGAACGATACAGGAATTTGAATCGACGCGAAATTGCTTGACTAGGCAGGCCAGCGTGTGGTGCAGCGCCAACCCCGTGCGCCAGCGGACGGTGTGGTTCGTCAATGGTGGACTGGCCTTTTAGTTCAGAAGAGTGGAGAACTAAAATGATTGCCAAGTTCGCCGTTGCGATCCGAAGAGTCCGATCACTGACATTGATTCCAGCAGGCAGCGAAAAGCCCGCATCCTCCCTTATTCTGTTCCTATATTCCCAACACCTCCGGCCGCTTCTATTGCAGCCCAAAAATCCATCGCTACTCCTCCTACCAGCATCTCTGCCCTGCTTGAAGCAGTACAGCTGAGCATCATGGCCACCTCCGTCATTCCCGGTACCAACGCCACTCCCGACTCTGGTAAGTCTTCTTGGCGGATAGGCCCATGTCAGACGAAGATTGACGAATTCTGCTATTCATTTGCGTCTCTTTCGTCTTGGACCAGTCATCGTCGGCGGCAAGAGCTTCAACGATGGCGGCAAGACCGGATCGTCAAAAGACAGCAACGGGGCTGAGCTGAGCTACCTCAAGGGCCTTGTCTCTCAGCTGCAGGAGAAGATCTCTCGGCTTGAGTCATCCGCCGTTTCCTCTACCACTGGCGAAGGCGGCGTCGCCGATGGCGTGCGCATGATCCTCATCGGGCCGCCTGGCGCAGGCAAGGGAACGCAGGCGCCCAAGATCCTCCAGCGTTATAGCAACCGTGTCTGCCACCTCGCCACGGGTGACATGCTGCGCGAGCAGGTGTCCAAGAAGACCGAGCTCGGCGTCAAGGCCAAGAAGATCATGGACGAAGGCGGTCTCGTGTCGGATGACATCATGATCGGCATGATCAAGGACCAGCTAGAGAACAACAAAGCATGCGTCAAGGGCTTCATCCTTGACGGTTTCCCACGGACTGTTCCGCAGGCGGAGAAGCTGGACGAGATGCTCGTGCAAAAGAAGCAAGAGCTCGAACACGCCGTCGAGCTCAGGATTGACGACCAGCTCCTCATCTCACGCATCACCGGTCGTCTCATCCACCCCGCTTCGGGCCGGTCCTACCACAGGGAGTTCAACCCGCCAAAGAAGTCGATGACCGACGACGTCACGGGCGAGCCGCTCATCCAGCGGTCCGACGACAACGCGGAGACACTCAAGAAGCGTCTTGCGACCTACCACAAGCAAACGGGCCCCGTGACAGAATACTATAGAAAACGAGGCCTTTGGGAGGCTATCGATGCTGCACAGTCGCCGAGCGTCGTCTGGCAGAGCATCTCCGGCATCCTCGACGCGGGAAAGCCGCAGACACAACAGAAGCGGGCATGAGGCGACGCCGGAAAGCCCTTGAAATACACAAAAGGAGGCGTTGGTTATGCCATCGCTTCTGTCGGGAAATGGAGGCAGGAGAACCGGGGCTGAAGCCAGCAGGTCAGCTCTGGCGACGCAATAAATAGAAATGCATGCCATGTTGCGCATCATCAGGATAAAGCTGGCGTCTGTCTACATAGCGATGAGGCCAATCCATGTTGCAATGCTGTGTTCTATAGTTCTTGATGCTCGCTGTTCGGCGCGCTACTGGGGCGTCCGAAGATCCGTTCCAAAGCTGTGGGCACGAGGGATGCGTTTCAATCCCTCAGCTTCGTTATGCACACGAAGATTGGCAGTTCCGACGCTCACCTGTCTTAAAATCTCCTTGCACGTTCTGCGGCAACACGACCTCATATTCGACGAACAGATCCCCATTCTTGCCCTCTGCGACCGGACTTTTTATCCGCGCATCCCACAGCGGCATGCCCTCGTTCTGGATCGTCTGCACGTAGCCGGGTTGCGTGACGCTGGAGCGTTTCAGCGTGATGACCCGCGAGTCAACGAGGTGCGTGATGTTCTGCTCAAATCCGAGCAGTGCGTCGTCGAGACCTATCGAGTGCGTCAAGTAGAGGTTTGCGTCGCGCCGCCGGAAGGTGGAGTGTCCGCGGACAGAGCTGGAGGTCGTAAATGATAGGGAGCAGGAGAGTCAGAGAGTTGAGCATCGCATACGAATATACCCTGCGATGACCGCTCACCTCAGCTTCACGATGACGTCCCCTGCCTCAAAGTCCGGGCCCTCGTCCGACTCTCCCTCAAAGACGATCTGGTGGCCTTCGGGTGCCCCTGGCTCTAGTTCAACGCTGATCGGCACTTTATCCATCTGGACCTTGGCTCCATCGCATTTGGGGCACTTGTGCTTGATCACATTTCCCCTGCCGCCACAAACGTCGCACTGCATCTGTGCATTCGTCACAAAGCCCGGCATGATTTGCTGCCGTACGATGCGGATGCCTCGGCCGCCGCACGTTTCGCACTGGTGGATATCCGCCTTGGACCGGGCCCCGCTGCCGTCGCAACTCATGCAGATCACTTGGCGCTCGTGCTCGATCTCGAATTTCTTGCCCTTGTAAAAGTCAGCGAGGGAGACTTGTACATTGAATTGCTTCGAAGGACCCTTGCGCACTTGCTGCCCGCCTCCGAAGCCACCTCCACCAAACCAGCTGGAGAAGAGGTCGAACGGATCCTGTCCTCCCTGGCCTTGACCAGCCTGGTGTCTCTTAACGGCATCTTCTCCAAAGCGATCGTACACTTTGCGCAATTCAGGGTCCGAGAGTGTCTGGTACGCATCGGAGACGTCGATGAATTCCGACTCCTTGTCTGGGTGCTTATCTGGATGGAGCTTTTGCGCCTTCTTGCGGTAGGCACGCTTGATATCGCGCTCTGAAGCGGACCGGTCTACATCTAGGATCTTATAGTAGTCGCGCGCAGCTTCTACGAGCGAGGCCAAGAGCAGCATGCAAAAGGTGGTCAATAGGAGAAGTCCAAATGTCGGCGAGGATAAGGCACGTCGCCGCAGCCATACTGCGCGGGCCTTTCGCCTGTCGCCTCGTAACGAGCGGGACATGACGCCAAGGGCAAAGCGGTCGGTGCAGAGGATTCGATGGTCGGGTAAGTGCTCCAGCTGCGCTTCCTCGACCTCGTTCGTTTCTTGGCGGCCAAGTATTCTGTCCCCTCGTCCTACCGTCGATCCTGAGACGCAGCGCTGCATCCGGAAAGTGTGCCTTGATGCTAAAGGGGACCTTCCACGCAGGCCACACTCATCAACTCTCCTGGCTCCAGCAGGGATACGAGTATATCGCATTGGTTTCTCGGCCGAGACCAATATGCTCCGAGTTCCGAGGAAGGTGGAGAAAGACCCATTGCCGCTCCCGATGAGACCACAAAAGGAGAGTCGCGACGCGACTGTGTTGGCCAGCTGCGCGTCCTCGAACAACCACTCGTCATGTACCAAATGTAACTTACCAAGGGTCTGTCTAACAAAGGTCGCGTGGTGGACGGTCGTCCAGGTTGCTAGTAAGAACGAGCACGCAGCAGAAGAGGTCTTCTTCCGTACCCTCAATATTTAAAGCCATTCGCAAAATGGCGGCATCCTCCTCTCGCGGTGGGCGCTCAACCGCAGCCACCACAAATACCTCCAGCACCGCACGCAAGGCCAGTGGCAGCGGTAACGGCAGCGGTGGTGGCAAGAGCAATAAGGAGAAACCAAGGATAGACAAGCTCCGGGCTGCCTTAGAGCAGTTTGCAGAGATCTTAGATGCGGCTGCCACGTGCGTTTCATGTGTACGACGACGATCACTGCGTTGTTTGCGAAGGCAACTGCGGACCGCTCGCCCTCTGCTTTGAGTGTACCGCGTGCTGACCGGTAACTTGCAATGGTTCCTATTCTCCCACTTGTTTGATTTGTAGATCACAAAACTTCGCATCTGCTATACCGCAGATCGAACCGGAACTGGCTGAGGGCTTCCGAGTGCAGTTCTTGCAAGGGCTGAAGTGTGCTATCGCTGTCAGTACCAGTTAGCGCCCCTTCATCCGCATGCTGCCCCCAACTTCTGACTGACACAGGCCTGTCTCCTTCGCTTCATTCGGGACGACTAGGAAAACAACGAAACGCTCATTGAAGAGCATGATCTGACGTTACGGCTCAATGAGCTTGATGCACTGGTGGCAGAAGCAAACGAGCGAGCCGAGTCGAGCACTTCAACCGACAGAAGCAGCAATAAGGGCAAACACCGAGAATCGGTAGCCGACGCTGCGAGCGCGGGCCAACAGTCAGACGCGGATGAAGGCCTCAAAGACGTCTGGCGACCAAATCTCGACATTCAGACCGCCTTGCTGGCACGCTCCAATCCGGATCGAGCGGATCGCATACGAAAGCTGGAAACCGAACTGGACAAGATTAGACAGGCGAATCGAAAACGGCGAGACGAGCTGAGGGATACCCGAGCGAAAGCGCTGGCGAAGCAGCAACATGCAGCGGATACGCTGGACTCTTTGATGAATGTGAGCACTAAAATGGCACCTGGATCATTCGACCACAAGATAGTGTTGTTGAATGGTCTATTTTCCACAGTCCATTGCAGCGTTACAGCCTAATGCGCAGCTGGACGAATCGATGAAGGACTTAAAAGAGGCCATCCTCACAGAGTTGGGGCCGAGGTCCTGAGTGAATGATGAACGCCCGTGATGTCAAGTCATTCAAGTGTACATGTATAATACAAGTAGTGGATATTGGGCAGCGTGCCGCGTTCGCAGATGGTGCAAGAGCATTGTTTCAGAGTCGCGCCGTACGCACGATAGCGCTCGCTAAAAGGCCGCTGCCACACCTTGCTTCCTGCTGTCGCTGGCAGCATGGAAAACGGCATGCCGTCCGACGCCGACGTGCATGACGGCTTGGATCTCCGCGACGGCATTGTTGATGTCGATCAAAGTGCAGTTGTGTCCTTTTGCCATCAGGCCGTTAAGGACGTCTTGGCGGTATCCTGTCTCGACAGAGATCTCATGCGGGAGGAGCTGGTGGTGCAAGCGTGGATGCTCGATCGCGTCTGACAGATCCAGGCCCCAGTCGAGGTTGAGCAGCGTCTGCAGGACGCTGCCGTAGATGCGCGACCCGCCGGAGCCACCAAGAGTGAGCAGGAAACTGCCGTCGGCTTTCTCGATGATCGTTGGTGCCATGCTCGACAGCGGACGCTTAAACGGAGCCGGATAATTGTAAGGTGATGGCCAGAGTCCAAAGGCATTCGGTTCGCCAGGCGTTGACGAATCGTCCATCTCGTTGTTGAGGATGATCCCTGTTTCCCAATCCATCACCTGACTACCAAAAGGCAGATTCACGGTCGACGTGATGGAGCATGCGACGCCGTCAGCATCAGCAACGCTCAGGCTCATCGTGCCGTGGTCTTCCCGAACATCGAAGAGCGGCTCGTAGTAATCGATTTCGTGGGTATGTTCGTCATGGATCTTCTTGAAAAGTCGATGCGACTCATTCTCGCTCCCGCCAATCTGGCGTATTTTTCGTCGTGCAGCCGTGTTCAAAAACGCTGGATCGCCCAAGTACGTCCGCTGGCCCGAGCTGAACTTCATCGCCTCGATGAAGCGATGCGCAGACAGCACATCGTAGCTCATCGGTCGCCGGACAAAGTCAGTGAAGTGGCTGAGCATGCGAAGAGAGGAGAGCAACACCGGCCCCGAGCTGGGCGCATTGGTGGTCCATACTCGTCTGCCAAACCAGTCTCCGCGGAGCGCGGGCTTGACATTGACGCTGTAGCGCGCAAGGTCTGAGGCAAGCAGGATGCCACCGTGCTTTTGCGCAGCGTGGACCATGCTGTGTGCCATATGGCCGTGGTAAAAGACGTCGGAGCCCTTTTGGCCAATCTCGCGCAGCGACTTGGCGTACGCCGTCCGCCGCATGATGTCACCTTCCCGTTTGAGCTCTCCTGTTGCCTTGTCGCTGAATATGGCAGCCCACTCTGGCTCTCGCGTTAAGAAGTCGCCGAGCAGACGCGTCATCACCTGCATGCGACGGTCTAGCTCAGCACTGATGATCCACCCTTCCTCAGCGATCCTGGCAACAGGCTCGATGAGGTCCTTCCACCCAAGACCCTCCTTCTTGGAGCCGAACCTATTCCAAGCTTCTTCCAGCCCTTTTACCTCTCCTGGAACGCCGATCGCCAAGCCGCCGAACTTGGACGAGAGCGGGTTGTCCACGTACATGGTGGCATTGGAGAGCGATGGGCCTGTCTCCCGGAAATCGATCTCGAAGTGCTCTGCGCAGTGAGAGACTCCCTTCTCTCGTTGCGATGAGCAAGGGACCGGGTTGCGAACGATCATGAATCCGCCGCCTCCGATGCCGCTGCTGAACATGTTGACGGTGCCAATGCACAGCGTCGCTGTGATTGCTGCATCTACTGCATTGCCTCCTTGGCGCAGGACTACGAAATCGCATAAAGAGCCACTATGGTCAGTGACGCTAATACTTTTCAGATGCACAGTAGAGGTACTCACTCGACACGCCCAGCTCGCTACACTTTCCATTCTCTGTCGCGACGGCGCCCCGTTGCCCTCGGACGAGGAAAGCATCATAGGGCCGGCCTGACCGCCGTCTCCGCTCACGAGTTTCCCCTTTGAGCGGGTTACTTGCTCCGCCGTCTGCAATGGACTGCAGCACGATGGCGATTGCGAGCGCGGTGACAAAGACGCATAGCACGGCCAGTAGTGCGCGTATAATCCGAGCGCTCGTGCGCTTCGAGATCGAGTTGCGCCGCCTGCCGCTGCTACCACTGGCGCGCCCACCGCCTGGGAGATTGGACGAGACAACTGAGCCGTTCGTTGTCGATGCGAGCAAGGGTGTCTCTTCGTCGGCCGTTGCCGAGCTACCCTGGTGAGCTGAGTGTACGACCGGGCCGCCCGCTGGGGAGACCATCCTTGTAAGGTGCAGGGTGTAGAGGGCAGAGCAGGGTGGCTGTTGTGGGGCACATGAGACTCCGGGATGATCTGGAAGCCGCGCGGCTGGAGAGGTGCGAAAGGAAGCAGAAGGCAAGCTGGAAAGGGTAGGATGAGTGGATGACACGGGGAAGATGATTGGCAAAACACGCGCACACGGCACAGACTGACAGCTTATCAGCTCGTGTCGTCGACGTTTTCGCCTCGCCTGCGAGAGTGCGAGCAGTCAGGCTCGAGGGCGATCGACGCGATCGGAATTGGGCGGCGTAAACTCCGGGCGCACTGCTCAGAGACCATGCGTATATTACCCACACCAGCTACAAGAACGTAACCATCAAGTACCTCTCACAGAGCAAAATGAAGGTGTAGAATGGGGTACGAATGTCATTGAGTAAAGGTATGAAGGGAACCAAGCGCGCCACAAAATACATGTATCACAATCGTCCATCGCCATTGCTATTGCCATTATCGGAGCGGCTGGAGATTTGCCGAAGCGGCGCATGTGCAATGCGGCAGTCTTGTTCGGCCAGCCGAGCCTAGCCGAATCCAAGCTTTCCCGCTGTGAAAGAATCTAGCACTGGACATTGGACGGGTTGTCCAGTTTCTTCGGGATCCAGCCGCCGGCAAGACCCCGTTGGTAGTCCCAATCCGCAGCTTGTTCCGTCTGTGCGAGGGGAGAAGATGTGCATGCGTGAGATTAATTGGCAGTGTTGGCCGAAGAAGCCTGGCGAAGTTGCTCACCTTCCAGGTCCACATAATCCATCCGCTTCCAGTTTCATACACTGGTGAAAAGCGACGATCGGCGTGTAAGCACCAGAATAATAGAAGGCCACTGCAGGTCTCGTCAACTTCGTCGTCACGTACCGGAAATTTGCGTCGCGAACATTTGTGCAAGGAACGCCTTGTAGCTCGACGAAAAGTTGCTGCCATCGCCAGTCTTGGTGCTGCAGTCGCCAACATATGAGGAGCCGGGGTAGGAGCCGTCGTACCTCGCGCCGACGCCGCGGCCGTTGAGGTACTTGGCGCAGTCAGTAGGTGCAACGGTCCATTCGCCAATGACGGTCCAGAGATTGCCCTGGTTATTTTTGATGTCGTTGCGGTGCGAGCAGATCTGCTTGAACCTGCTTGACTTGCTCTGCGACACTTCCTGCGGCGAGAAGACAGTGTAGATGTGCTGGTCCATCAACACTTGCTGGTACTGAGGTGAAGGCATGAAGCCGGACCAGTACGACAAGCCCTCAAACCCGTCGTGCAGGCCGACAACAATGTTCGACTGTGCGCCCTGCACGGCGTCGTAGCGGATGGTGCCGTAGGCGTCGCGGAAGAACTGCTTAGTGTACGACTGCATGTTGCTCGGACCACCAACCATGAATGGCTCGTTGGCAGCCTGGATGATCGTGACGGTGTTGTTGTACTGCGCCGTCGCAAAGTCCTTGGCCATAGTCGTGAGGATCTTCTTGGCCCGAGCGGAATTGTTCGAATCGTTGGGCCAGGTGATCGAGCCTTTGCGGCCCGAGTTGTCGAATCCATTCTGCGAACCGGGCAGGCCGTGTAGGTCGACCATGACTGCATGCCCCACGATTACGTTACCCAGCATTCACACAAACCGCCGATCTCTCGGCTTGGCACTCACCCTTGATGTTGTGCTTGCTCGCCCAACCGATCGCCTTCTTCAGGTAGGAGTACTGGGAGCCCTTGACGTATGGTTCCCCTGCGCTCGTGTCAAAGGCCCAGTAACCGATCGGGATACGAACGTGGTTCAAGCCAGCGGCCGCGATCTGTGAAAAGTCGTTCTCGGTGATCCAGGTGTCCCAGTGCTTCTGCAGGCGAGATTTGGCGTCGCTAACGTATTGCCCGAACGTCCACTCGTCGATCACCCTGTTGTCACCGGTGTTGTCGAAGAGAGATGGAGTGATCCACGGTTCCGCGACGAGCCAGCCGCTGCAAGCACAAGATGGTCAACCACCATAAGGGAAACTGTCTCAGCTTGGTAGGCAGGCAGGCGGGAGGGCGAATGCCTACAAACCCACTTACCCAATGTTGACACCACGAACTTTCTTGCTTCCACCATAATCCCAAGCAGGAGTGAGTGTGACAGCAGGAGTAGCATCCTGTACGGCATCGACAGCAGGTATGGCAGACTTAGCAGGTTTAGGGGCGGCGCTGGTGCTCTTCGCGCCCGGGAGATAGGCTGGCGACACGAGGCCGGCGATGGTTTTGTTGCGGTTGAAGTCCACCTTCTGAATGATGAACTGACCGTCCCCACTGTACGCGATGGTGGGAGGTGGCAGGCCGAATGCGCCTGCCAGCGTAGCAAGCGCGAGCAGCGTCCGAGCGAGCATGTCGATGAGTGGCGGTTTGTTATGTAGTGTCTCTGCGTGGATCTGAGAGGGTCGTGAGTGAATACTAGGATCCGAGCAGGTGGTTGTCACTGTATGCGGGGGTGGTCAAGTTTCGTGAGGCATGAGGCGTAGAAAAGGGGTTGAAAGGGAAGGATGGAACGGAGAAAAGGAAGGGGAGAGGGTCGTGAGCTGATTGGCGTTTAAAAGAGGAAAGACTAGCTGCGGTCCAAGACGACAAGACGAAGCCAAAGAGAGCAGGAGAGTATAGGGAAAGGGAATGAAAGGCCAAAGCGCACAGATGGCCGGGCCAAGAGGGGAAGAAAAGGGGGCCACGTCGACGAGGTCGAGAGGGAGTTGGGGAGGGAAGGAGGGGTGTTGCTGACGAAGAGATGGAGGATGGCGAGGATGCGTAGATGAAAGTGGAAGCTAGATGACTAGACTAGATCCGTGCTGACGGCAGCAAATGCTTCCATGCTGTGGCCCCAAGCTGTGCGCAAGCAAAGCAGACTGGGGCGCACAGCCATAATAAGAAAAAAAGAAATGGATCCGCACGGCGGCGGAGGTGTTTGTTGGGCTCTAGTGACTTTTGTGCAGAAGCAAGCAGGCACTTGGCGAGAGAAAGAGCGCGCGTGCAGATCCCCCACAAGCCAGTTGAGCCGAAAAGCGTCGATCGCAGGCACTGCGCAGGACGACGAAACCTGCCTCTGCGGACTGCTCTCACTCGGCCAGCGCCTTAGCGGCCCTCGACGCTCGCCCATGCCTACCACTTTCTCCATGTCCCAAATCTGCTGACACAGCCTCTGGGAAAGGCTTTGTCACTCTCGTCCCTCGCAACAGGCAGCAGCAGCAAGCATATCTCTCCTCTCCTCGTCACAGGAATCGCAAGGGCCTGAACGTCCTGCATTCCCTTCTGCGCTAAGAAAAGCTCCGCCCTGCCGGGGAACGCGCGGCGTCGACAGGCACCCCGCCCCAGGCACCAACTTAGGCCCCTGAGGAAAGAGAAACCGTTCCGCCCGGCTGGAGTGCGATTCGGAAGAGCGACAGTCCCCCTGCCGAGCGACAGCAGATCAACACGACCACCACCCTAGACCCTAGACCCTTCCCCTCCTGACACCGTTCAATGATGGCGGACATTGCAAGCGCCGCGAAATGGATGCAAAACTCACCTCAATTGACAAGACGCTGTGCAGAACAGGGAGCGTGGCGCTGATGACGTGGAGTGAGGTCGAGTGCGAGCTGGCTAGCCGGTAGTGATGCTGTCGGTGGTGATGGTTGAAAGGGTACAAAAGACTTTGGGATTGACCAAAAAGGAGTGTGCTGCTGCTGTAACGTAGTATGGACATGCAGGAGCAACAGAATGCTTGCTCGCTGCTGCACACATGCGTACAGACGGGTCAGTCGGATGACGAAAGCGACAAAGCGGCGTGCAGATGCGCGTGAGAGTGGAAAAGAATGACTAATTGATGTGCCAATGCCGCTTGTGCCCCGCAAAGCGAAGGTGACTGGTGACCGGCAAGTGGCTGATGACTAACGACGAGAGCGCAGAGCGTCTAGCCAGAGAGGCTCGCGTCTCGATGCTTGCCAAGAGGAAAGCGGGCTCGGCTTGGCTGCACCTTGGTCTCCGCTCGCCGACTCTTTGTGCTCACCCTTGGCTTCCTTGGAGGATGACAAAGGGGCGAGGTCAAGAGCGCTGCAGCCGACGCACAAGTGAGTCTACTGCTGTCAGCGTCGCAGGCGTGCGCTTGTATGGGGCAGAGTCGATGGGGAGTGTGAGAGGGAATGTCAATCGGGAATGAGGAGATGTATGAGGCCGATGAGGAACGAACGATAGCCCATATGAACTGGAAGGATGTGCCAATGTAGAGGGAGGAGATCACAAGATATTTTCAGAAAGGAGATCATCGCATACCCGTCGCCGAGAGGTTGGCAGTCAAATGCAGAGAGAGAGAATCGAAGCTGAAGCCAAGCATACCGCCACGCCGGGGCTCCCTGAACGTGGATGGGCAGTTCTCAACCGGCGGCTATGCGATCCCATCTCTGCTACAGGGCGCTGGTGCCGCCGTCCTTATGTCTGTTCCCCCTTCACATCCCCCAATGCTCTTGCAGCCTCCCACCTGTCTTCGAGCCTCGATGATTCGAGAGCCCGGAGTGATAAAATTGCCCTTCGTGGAAAGTGCTGGATTGTTGATTGTGGCTGAACCTGCATACTGAATTGCTATCTAGTAATCTAGCGGACGGCTCCGAAGCGTCACTGGAGCTCGGAGAGCTCAGGTTGTACATGACTGCTTTTCCTGGACATACCCAAAGAGTCAATTAAGTAGAGAACAGGTTGCTCAGGAGCAGGTGGCGGCTCCGTGGCGAGGGGGCAGTGCGGAGTTGTAGGGGCAGGCGCATCATCGACGTCCATGACACTTTCCGGATATGAACACATTGAACTCAACGGTCGCGACTTTACGGTCTCGCCGCGTCCCTACCGTCATCACATTGCGCCGTGCCCGCCGGCACTCAGCAGCCATCCAAAGAGCTACAGCTCTACCTTGCACATGCCGGCGCATCGCGCACCAGCAGAGCTCACCCTATGGAGCACAATCGAAAAGAAAAAATGGAAAAGGATGATACGCAGTGAGCACGCCTTCTGTACAAATGCTTTATACTTTGTTCGCCGCTTGCTCCTATTTGAGCTCTGCCAGCAAAGCCCAATAAGTGTACCCATTTCCAACGGGCGTTCACAATAGCCTCAGCTTTGAAATTTTATAGATTGGCGAACTGGCGATGCATTTGCGTTTCTCCAACAATGAGAGGCACACTACACCTCTGGTTTCGCGCCACTTCAAACGTTCGGAACAGATGCAGACGCAGGCAGCGCTGCTGATGATATGTGGTAACTCTTTCTCCCTCCTTGTGTGATTGACTACACCGCCCATCGAATATTGTCTTGTAATCACTCTACTCTACCCTCCCGGGTGAGGCTATGTACATACACCAAATGGGATCTCTTTTGATCACTTGCAGGTGGAGGATATGCCCGCGCCGACGGCATCGCTGGCAGTGTATTCAATTGCGCATTGGTTCCCGTCGGTCGACATAATCATTCGTATCAAAGTGAGCACATATAAATACAGCAGTCAAGCTCGGGGCGATCGTCCATGTCGATCAAAAAAGCCAAATAGTAGAGATGATGACCGGATCGTCGTATTGTTAAGCGGTGCAATGCTCGTTCAGAGTGCCAGCACTGTCATCGCGCCCGCAACAGCAGCGCAGATGAGCGCCGTAGCACCGAAGCCCGCAGCGCCAGCACCGCCAGCAGCATGAGCAGCAGCGCTGCTGCTGAGTTTCTCACTGAGCGACGTGGCGCCCGAAGCAGTTGGCGCCGAGATGCCTGACGCCCAATAGATGCCCGTGCCCGTGCCCGTGGCTGCTGTGGCAGAGGCCGTGACGGTTGTCCACACCTCGGACGTCGAGCTCAACGAGCCGTATGTGAAGCCGCCCGGTCCTCCGAGGCCCGGTCCTCCGAATTGACGCGCTGTAACGGCGGCAGTAGCAATTGTTGTGGCTACAGAGGCAGCGCTGCTGCTGCTGACGACAGTCTGAGCGCTGCCGCCTTTGAGACTGGCGAAACCGACCGCCTTCTTATCGTAGTCGAAGACGCTGAACCAGGACTTGAGGAAGGCATCGCCGATGATGAAGGCAGGGGCTGTTGTAAGAGTCAAGGTAGACGGATCGATTATGGTAAGTGGGCATGACAACAGGGCGCATCTATCTACGAGCTCTCCTTGTAGCTGCCAGATTGCACTCACTAGACGAGCCGCCGTTGGAAGACCCAAACACTGCGCCCAAGCAGTATTCACCCTTACTGTCGACAGCCCCAGCGTTAAAATCGGCGCCGTCCATCGTGTAACGAACACCACCGAAAGAGAGTGTCAGGCTCACGGTCGAGTCGCACGGGAAAGCGTAGAGCCCTTCTTCTCCGTACGTTTCTTCCAGGCTCTTGCTCCCGCTGATCTGCTCGTAGAGCGAAGCTGCGAAGGTGTACGTCGTCGCGATGAGCGTCGTGCCCGTATCAATGCATGCGATCGAGTCGATCGAGGTAGAGCTGCCGCCGCCGAGCGCGTAGCTGTCTAACATGATGGACCAGTAGCCGTACGACTGGTACTGGGAAGGTATCGAAACGTAGTTGATAGTCCCGCTGTACTGGTCCGTGTCGATAGCGCCGATTGTAAAAACACCGCCAGCCGTCTTGGTTGTCGAGCTATCGCTCGAAGTGGAAGATGACGAGGATGAGGAGGCGGAGGTGCGGGTGAGCTGGAAGGTGAAGGCGTTTGTTTCAAGCACGCCTTCCTTAGCCAGCACTTCCCACCACGGCGTGACGCCGGCGGTCGAAAGCTCCTGGAAGCCGAGGCCCATGATCCCGCTCGCAGGTGCACTAATCGTATCCTGGGCGACCTGCTGCGCGACGGCGAAGCTCTGGCTGTACACGGTGTAATCCCCGAGGGTAATCGTGTCGCCTGCCATGTGGCCCGTCACGGCGCCCGAGCCGTAGGTGATGGAGAAGACTTGCGAGGAGGATTGGTACGTCGAGCTGTTAGACATGGAAAACTTGCTGAGCGACGAACAGGTGTTGCTGCTGCACTCAGAGGTGGCGACCCCTGCAAATCAAACAAGACCAGCACGAGCCCAATGATCGACTCGTCATGAACGTCTCGGCATCGTGAAGGAGAAGCTGATTGATTGATGCTTACAAAGGTCACTGCTGCCCGTGTCAAGCACAAGAGCCATGGACTGCGCAGGCGTGCCCATAGAGACGTCCGCATAGTAGTATCTGCGGCCACATCACCGTGTCAGTGTTTGAGGTTCTCACATCGACTCTATTGTCACTCACGTGTCCTGGTCGACGTTCGTAAGGGCGGCGATCCCCCTCCTATCGAGCTTTGTGACGTCCTGGCCCCCATTGCGCTTGACGGCGCTGTCGCCACCCTTGAATGCGCTGCCCCACTTTTTAGCGATGTAGTGTTTCTGCTTGAGCGCCCACGCTTTAACTTCATCCGGTGCCATGCCGTCGCGACGATGGCCGGCATACTTGTCAAAGCGCTTGATCGGCACTTTCACCCCGCCGCCTCCTGTCGAACGGCGGGTTGCAACTGCTCGACCGCCGGGGCGCAGTGCTTCTGCGCGTGGTTGCGGGAGGTAGTGCCGCCCGTCGACGTCCGGAGTTGGCGAATAAATGGACTTGGTGCGGTCGACGAGTGCTTCATACTCTGGTATGTGTGGCTTCAATAGCGCGACGCCATGTGCTTGTGGCACGGTGATGCTTGCTGCTAGTAGCAGAGTGGCCAGTGTACCTGCAGCTGAAAAAAGGCTTGCCTTGGTCATGTTGCCTCCCATCTGACAAGGGCTAAGAATTTAGAGTACGCAGGGCCGCGCTTTATGGGACAGTCTGTCTGTCGGATATAAGGATGAGTACTCGGGTGAGAATATCAGTCAGGTCAGGGGCAAGGAATGTAGGGAACTGTTCGTCTTGAACGAGCACTTTTGGAGTACAGCCGCACTTTATAACATCTCGAGCTAGATAACGAAGTTGGACAGAAGACCCGATGTGGATGTGTAGGGCACGCGACGGAGATGAGGATAAAGCCGTGTGAGTAAAAGCCATCTATGCAATCATATTTTCGAGTTGCCACTGGCTTGAGACCTCCATGCTGGTCTGCGGTGCATCAGGCTCTTCTATGCTTTTCTACTCTGATCGCGAAGGAGAGGGTATGTTTGCGCGTTTGCAAGTACCACGGTAGCGAATTTCGGAAGCTACCTGTCAGTTGTTTGTTAAGCTTTCCAGCCGATGTGCGTGCCGCTGTGGCAACAAGATGAGACCCCGTTCTCTGTTCTTGGAAGAAAAGGCGGGGCCGCGGCTGATGCGGAAAGCTCTCCATAGACGGACGAAGAAACCAACAAAAGTGTAAGTATTGGACGCAACTTTACACAGATAGAGCCGCGTCATACGCGCACTTGTCAAGCACTGTTCCAGAGCTCCAGAAACGAAGCTGTGCGCGAGCGCCGTCACTCTTCAACATGCCGTCAGCGTCAGCATTGTAACAGGACGTGTGCGAACCTCCTTTGGGCCTGGCAAGCCTCATCCGGCCGTGGAAGGCAAGGATGTGCCCGACCATCGGTGCCGAGCCGCGACGGAAGCTATGCCAAGAAATGCGATCGAAACTTTCACGTCGTCTTTGAAACAGATTGCAGTGCTGATGAGGCCGATTGGTGACGCTGGCCAGGAATGATACTTGCTTGGCAAGGGGAAACGAACGCCGAGAGTGAAGAGAGGAGCTGCAGAAGGGATGATGCTGTGTACGTGAGACTGCGAAGTCAATGGTTCGTCATGCCGGCCGCCGAGCCAGCTGCCGCAGCCATTCGCAGAAAGCCCATGGCTTTCACCAAGCCACACCGAAGCTGCCGGCCGAGTTCGGGGCGGCGGACGTTCTGCGGCACGTTGCACCGAGTTCAACTGCGCGAGCGCTGACAGCAAGCGCAACGAGAGGAACAGCGCCTGAAGCCTGTCCGGGGGACTCCCATTCACCAACCCCGCATCCCCCTTACTGGCCAGAACAGAAACAACATATTGAAGACCTCGTGCACCATGTCCACCAAGATAGATCATTGATGTTCCCTTGAGCCGCGGTCCTTCTGGCCGCCGAGTCGAGGTTCTTGGTCACTTCACTTTCTGCTCAGCTTCGTCTACCGCGTCGGCAGCGGCATCCCGTCTCTGTCTCCTGCAGGCAGTCTCTCTTTCTCGTCGCGCCGATCACTCACACGATAGTCAAGCCCCCGGCGCGTACAGGTGGCCAGTATCGGTGATGGCGCTCAACGCACACATGGGCCCGTATTCGCTGCGCGTGCAGATCGGAACATTCAACTACAACCTCCGCGGCTCGTCGCAGTACGATACGCCTGACCTGCAGCCATGGCTCATCCCTACGGTCGAAGAGGATCCAGACTCGGGCTACAGCACAACCGGAGGGCCTCGTGACGCACCGGACATTTTCGCGGTAGGCTTCCAGGAGCTTATGCCGCTCCACATGGGCTTCCTTGGAACCGGCTCCTTGTTTAGCACTGGAAATAGCAGCAGTAGCGACGAAGAAGGTGGCGGCGCAGCTGGCCAAGTGCTGCGTGACACGGACACGGAGATAAGGCGCGCGGTTCGTCCACACTCTGCAGTGGTCAGCGGCGACGGGCTCTACCCACCCGGCGGCGGACCAGAGGGGTACACGCTGATTGCACGTGAAAACCTCGTGGGCCTCGCACTCTTCGTTTATGCGCGCGAGCGCTCCGGCATCGTCGGCCGGGTCAGGGAGGTGAGAACAAACCGCGCTGGAACGGGCATCTTCAACCTGCTCGGGAACAAAGGCGCCGTTGGCGTGCGCGTCGTGCTTGAAGGCTCCCCTAATGTGCAAGGCACGGGTAAAAAGGACGCGGAGCAGGTCTTGACGTTCGTGTGTGCCCATCTCGCCGCGCACGACCACAATATAGCGCGCAGGAACACCGACTGGAAGAACATCGTCCGCCGGCTCGTCTTTCCGCCTGATTCGGTGGTGCCGCTCCCCTCCTTGCAGCAGAACATCAGCTCGGAGCGCGAGAAACCGGGTCCGGTGGACCTGGACAAGCTCAAGTCCCAGTACAGTGAAAAGGGAGGCAGCAAGAGCAAAAGCAGGCCCGCCAGGCCGCTGGACGATCGCGAGCACACGCTGTACGACTCCTCGCACCTCTTTGTCTTCGGCGACCTCAACTACCGCATTGCAGTGGGTATCCCACCACATCCGGCACTCGCTTCCTCGTCGGCCGGCAGCAAATCCACTGCGCCTCTCAAGAAATCCGATGTAGCTTTCAAGGTGGTCATGGAAGAATGGGAGACGCTCGCCGCATACGACCAGCTGTCCACCGAGCGCCTTGGCGGTCGCGTCTTCCACGGCTTGACCGAGTCGCCGCTGGGCGGAGCCAAGTTCGGGCCGACGTACAAATACAAAGTGGACAAGTCGAACAAGAAGGCACAGGGCGGTAAGAGGAAGAGTAGTAACAGCACGGGTGCAGGGGCCGCTAGGAAGCCGAAGTCAACATTGGCGGATGTCGGCATGCTGAGCAAGAAGAGGATTCCAGGTTGGACCGATCGTGTGCTCTGGCGCAGTTGGGCAGACGGCAAGGACGAGCTGCAGCCGAAGAGTGCCGGAAATGTGGACGTGGAGCTCTATCGGAGTATCATGACGTACACTGTGAGTTTTTTCACATTGCGATGCAATTTGAAGGTGCATTTGCGTGCGCTCCGAGACGTGCTTTTGATTGGTTCCAGTACGCAGGGTGTTGGGCGTAGCAGGAACTTATCACGTATCCTTTCCTTGTCTATATCCCCGCTTCATGCAGCATTCCGACCACAAACCTGTAACGGCCCTTCTGCGCTTACCAGCTCTTCCCATGAATGGCGACTCCTCTTCATCCTCCGCGCCACTGATCGTATATAAGCCGCCGTACATGACCGATGCGAGCTGGCGCACTAAGCGTGCGCTCGGCACACTGCTCGACCGACAGGTGGGCTTCATCTGGACCGCGCTCATCACGGCCGGCGCAGGCAATCTCGTTGCTGGTCTGCTCGAGCTCGCTGTCGTCGCTGTCGTTAGCATCTGGTGGATGCAACGCGGAAGTGGACAGGGTGGCAACGACTTGGCGTATTGGATGGGCAGACTCGGTGGAAGTCCTTGAGCACGTGGAGACAAAAGGGGCATGGGGGAATTCGGAGGCAGATGCGAACAGTATCTTTATCGATTGCACAACTGTACACGTACAAATGACGAAGCGGATCGGTCAATGCAAAGTAGGGCACATTATGCCATCTTTAGCTTTTTGCTCGGGGCTACCGCGTCGCCAAGCGGCTGACTCGTCAGATCCTCCATTTCGAGCTCCTCGTCCGAATCCTCGCCATAGACGATCTCCTCATCATCGTCGCTGTATTCCTCTCCCCCATTGCTGTCGCCTCCCTCTTCATCTTTATCCTCATCACTCTCTCCGCCGCTCTGCGCCGCTGCTGGCCCAGCCTTGAGACCCTTCATCTTCCTCGTCTGCAGCTTGTCCAGATCCTGCCGCTCCATATGCACCTGGCCGACCATGTCACCCATATCGTCCGTGCCCACATTCTTCCGCTTGCCCTTGCCCTGGCTGTTCTTCTCCAGCACCGTCTTGGGACGTTTCAGAGTGTTGGCGAGCGCGTCGAATGTCGCTGGGCGTCGTCGACGCAGCACAAAGTCAAAGGACGGCCCGCATTCTTGCAACTCCACCCGCGGCTTGCGCGAGCCGGAGGCACGTAGGTCGAGCGCGTACGTTCGGAAATGCACGATAGAGCCCTCGAACGAGCGGTCGATATTCGCGGATGCGCCGGTCGCGTTGGAAGTGGAGGTCGCGTTACCGGCCGCGTACAATTCCGCGAGCTTGTTGCTTTCGATAGCGTTCAGCGCATCCTCCGCATCTTGCTTGCCTGCTGATACATCTCCATTGCTTTTGCTCATCTCGCCTGCAGTGACGCAAATCACGTGTTGCAGACCTGACAGAGCAATCTGGTGCTCTCCAGGCCGCAGTCCCTGTGCCCCGCTCGGAAGTTCCTCGCCGCGGTAAAAGTCCATCAAAAGTGACTTGAGGTGCTGGTGCGCTGGATATTCAGATTCGAGGTAGGATGCCGCAAGCTCTTGTGCAGAAACGCGATCCACATTCAAAGATTCGTCAACTGCAAATTGTGGTCCCGAAAAGTGGAACAAGGGACGATTTCCGAGGCCAGGTTTCAGGGTCTACAAAATATCGAGCAGAATGTCAATATTGCTGCTAATGGTGAGGACTCTTACCAGTAGGAACTCCTCACCCCTTTGAATTCTCGCATCGCCTTTCCCTCGAGGACGCCCATCTCAAGCATGTCCAGCACCTGGCCATCGAATGTCCTGACCCAGACGAGGTTGTCCTTCCGCTTCTTCTGTGTGCTCCCGACGACGAACAAGCTCGCGTCATTCTTGCCAGCAAAAAACTCCAAGCTGGAAGCATCGTCGAAAGGGGCGATCTCGTTCTTCTTGTTGAACATGATAACATTCGGCTTCTTCAGCGCGGCCAGCTCGACCATTGCCGTCTTGACTGTGTCGCTAACGCGCAACCCATGAATGAACAAGGCTGTCTTGGGATTCTCCACTTCCTTGGCCTCGCGCTTCTCGAGAGCGCGCTTGGAGCGCGCATTGCGCGGCTTCACGACTTTGAGCATGATAGATCGAATGAATGGTTTGCTGCTGTGGTCTTTAAATGCTGGGTGAAAAGGCCTTTCAAATTCCCCTCTGATGGTCGATGTTCGTTGCTGGAGGCTCAATAGCGAGGCTGGTTCGAGGTAGGTGCATTTCGTATCCGAAAGAGAGTTGCAGACCATCAATGGGAATGGCGAGCAAATACGGAACTCGGAATCCGGCCCCAAATTTTTGCCGGCTGCAACTGCTGTTGTTGATGGGACTGCTGGACGCTCCATCATCGATGTCTCTCATACAGACACCTCTAAACTCCAGCAGCTTAGGGCCTGTAGGAGGATTAAACGTCAGACTCGGTGCCCGTGTACAAGACCTGATAAATTGAGCAAGGGAAAATGGCGAGCTTGATTTCAGCCATCCACTGGGTCCCGCGGGGGAGAGCCGCCCAGTACCCCCAGCGAACGAACCTGAACAGCGAGGAAGAAGTCGCACGCATCAGCGCACTAACCGGGTTGCATTTTCAAGATGCTCAAAAGCAGCTCGAGGAGGCGCAAAAAGCTGCACAGGGTATGGGAAAGGCGGATGAAGAGTGGGAGGACGAAGAAGGCAGCGACGGAGACGATGATGAAAAAATGAGTGACGATGCCGGAGAGCAAGGAAAGGTCAAGAACCAGGGCGATGGAGAGGGTGATGCAGCTATGGACGAAGACCTGGATGGCTTAAGCCGGTTTAAGCTCGACGACTACGACAAGGAGGAGTCAGGGGGAACACTGGGAGCCTTCAGCAACATTAAGGGGCTAACATTCCATCGAAATAACGACGAGGATCCGTACATCACAATGAAAGACGTGAGTAGCTGTTGGTTGCAGCGCTCGTTTGCGCTTCTGCTCATTCAATTCCTTTGGTATGCAACAGGACGACGCAGATTCGCAAGATTCCCGCGAGGCTCTGGAAGTATACCCAACGGACAACCTCATCATCGCAGCAAAGACGGAAGACGATATCTCGCAGATCGATGCATATCTCTACTCCTCATCCGATTCGAATATCTATGTCCACCACGACCTGATGCTACCATCGTTTCCATTGTGCCTTGAATGGCTCGATTACCGGCCAGCTGCGTTTACCTCCAGTGCGGATCAGAATGATGCGCCGGTACAAATGGAAGGAGCTGCGGGTGCCAAAGCTGGTGACGTGGGGAATTTCATCGCCGTCGGTACCATGGACCCAGAGATTGAGATCTGGAGCATGGATGTCGTAGAAGCCTGCTTCCCCGACGCAATCCTTGGCCGCAAAGACTTGACGGAAGGTCTCAATGCGCCGCTTGGGACGGGAAAGAAGAAGAAGCGACAGATGAGGGCTCGCGTGCCCAACCCGACACATCACGTCGACGCTGTGCTTGGACTCTCCTGGAACCGAACAGCACGTAATATTCTTGCGTCCGCCAGCGCAGACACTACTGTCAAGTTATGGGACCTCTCGCGTCCCTGTTCGGGGGAGCACGGCTCAGCGTTGCGCTCCTTCGACAAGGTGCACACGGACAAGGTGCAAAGCGTACAGTGGAACACCTCAGGCTCGAGCTCCGGTGCAGGTGCCGGGTCAGCCGCAACGGTATTGTTGACAGGATCATTTGACGGCACGTTGCGGGTATTTGACAGCCGCAGTCCGGAAGCAGGTGTATTCGCTAAAGTGGACTCTGACGTCGAATGCGTCAAATGGCATCCATGGAAGGAGAATCATTTCCTTGCATCGCTCGAATCGGGTCTGCTACAGAGTTTCGATGCGAGGATGCTTTCGAACGGGTCAGCGCATAGTGCACAGAGCAGCACTGCTCTGTGGACGCTCTCAGCGCACACAGGCGCCTGCACCAGCTTTGACGTCAATACCCTGATTCCCGGCTGTATCGTCACTGCTGGCAGCGACCGCCAGACCAAGGTCTGGAGTCTGACGGACGGCGTCGCTGAAGACATTGGCGACGCGCGGCCAGCCAACATCTCTCTTGTGGCCAATAGGGACCTTGATGCGGTGAGTCGTCAAAGTGCCGCCTAGTTTTGACAATGCCACAAGCGCTGACATGGTTCGAAACACCGTCCGCTTTTGGCCTTGCAACAGGGCAAAATCTTTTCAGTTGCCTTCTCGCCGGACGAGGCGATGACGGTGGCCGTAGCAGGGAGCAAAGGCGTACTTCGTGTTTGGGATGCGTTCGCAAACGTCGGGGTCCGCAAGACCTTTGGCGACCGGCTGAAGGCCCTGAGCAAGGACAAGATCCCTGCGCTGGATGGCCCTGAACCGAGCCGCGGAGACGGCGTCGTCAAGCTGGCGGATGAGGACGATGAAGAAGAAGAGGAGGATGAAGACGTTGCTTAAAATGTGTACAACGGGAGTGTACTCGTATAAAACGCCAAGTGCAAGCCATTATCCTAGAGGCTTCGGCGGCACATGCAACACACTGATGCTGCCTCTTGATATTTTGCGAGCCTTTGCACAAATCATGGCGAAAATCCTGTATGGAAGTCGGTTTGATATCTTACAAGAGCTGCCCACATGAGGGCATGCAATGAGTGCAGACAAGTGAATCGCGAAGTGCGGAACAAAACGGAAGGGCATGAATGGTGGAAGAACGCCGAAGAGCTGGCACAGACCTAAAATGAATCGTTGACTTGAACTGCCGGGAACATATATGTAGTAAGGTAGGGTAGGTATAGCCTGCGGCACTGCAAGAGCCATGTTGTGAATTACTCCACCCCAAAGTGAAGTCCTTCTTCGATGGCAAGCGCTGCGGAGGTAGGGGAGTGTGAGCGTACAATCCCGTCGATAGCGAAGTAGGCAACAAATGCCTTAACTCACTCAGCTTCGCCTCGAGTACCTCCTTGTTCGGGTACGGCGGCAGGTCCATACGGTTGAAGCACTGGTTAGAAAAAGCACCCAAGCCCAACAGCGTTTCGCGCGTCAGCACCCACAGTTCCTTACGATAAGGAGCACGCGCAAACTCACCGTGTGACTCTTGGGCAGCGCGGAGATCTCTCCGCTCTTTTCGATCGTGAAGCGCCTGGGGCCGTCGGAGCCCTGGAGATCCTTGAACCCATTGACGGGGATGCGCGACGTACCTGTTGCGAATTGGAGGAGCCTGCTCTTGCGCTCGGCGGGCCAGGAGCGGACGCACTGCCAGAACCACTGAACGACCTCGTCGGACTCGGTGAAACCGCGGTAGTCAGTCCACTTCTTCCAGTCGTCGACGTCGATTTCGCTCATGCCACCGATGAGCAGCTCGAGCTCGCGCTCATCAAAGACGTTGATCAGGTCCTGCGGGATGAGCTCGGTGAAGCCCGAGGTGAAGGCTTTGAACTGCTCCTCGACGCGCTTCGAAATCCTGTACTCGGTCATCAGGTCGATGTACTCCTTTTTGTTCTCGTCTGTCACGGGAATGTCTGCGCCGCCAGGCTTGAGCTCGACGGTGACCATCTCGCCGAACTTGTCTTCGACGGCGGTGAAGGTTTCGTCAATTGCGCCTTCGATGGGATTCTCGAGCATCCACTGCAGCGAGCGGTGGTAGTCCGCATCGACGCTTTCCAGGTCGGCGAGGGTGATCTTCTTCTTGAGAATCATTTTGTAAAACGAGACGATAAAGTACGCGTCGAGGAAGCGTCTGTGGAAGATAGCGAGGCCTAGGACGCGGCCGATGAACTTGAAGTAGTTTAGATGCTCCGGATTGATGCCCGAGTGCGGGTTGATCTGCAGCGTGTAGTTGTCGTGTGCGGAGTACTCGAAGAGGCAGTAGAACGGGTTGAACATCTCGTGCGAGAGCAAGAAGAAGAACTCTCTAGACAGACCGCCGTAGTCGAGACCATCTTCGCCTTCGAACTTGATCATAAGGCGCTTCTTCAGATCGTTCGGCTGCTGCCGCATGATCTCAGCGTATGAGTCTTCAAATATGTGCGTGCGTCGCACTTTGATGTGGCACTGACCCGGGATGGGTCGCAGGGCCGGCTGCGAGCGGAAGTAGATGAGTTTACGCCTAAAGTCGCGCTTGTACTGCGGCACGTTCTGGTCCAGGCTCGAAGGCAGGCGCGGATCGTCCCACGTGGTCGTCTTGGTGTTGTGGTCCACAAAGTAGACGCGCGCGGTCGACGTTAGGCGCATTTCCCAGCCGCTCGGCAGCGGGCCAAGCTGCGAGACGCTCTGCGGCTGCACGGTGAGGTTGTTGCCGTTGGGGCCCATGACCCGCAGGATCTGCTGCCGTCGCGGATCGACCCATGTGGTGGTGCGCGTGTTGTGGTCGACAAAGTACGGCCGGCCCTCCGGGGTGTGCCGCTGCTCCCAGCCGGAAGGCAGCGGACCACTTCCTGCTGTCGTGGCCGTGTTTGTCGCGATTGCGCTCGTCGTTGCTGCTGCTGCGGCGGTTCCCAATGCACCCGCAGCGGAGGGTTGTGACGAGGACCCTTGGACGGACGCAGAGCTAGGGCTTGGCGCGATCGTTGAGGCCGCACCGTCGACGCCAAGCATATCATCGGCGAGCGCGCGGTTCGAGTGCCGCGCCCGATCTGCTGCTGCTGAGCTGGCGTGCGCTGCATCATTCGCGCTGGCGTTCGTCGATGGCCGCGTCCAAGTGGTGGAGCGTGTGTTGTGATCGACGTAGTATGTCCGACCTAAGTGGTCCGTCCTACGCTCCCAACCGGCAGGAAGAGGCCCTTGGTCGTCGGAGGCCTGCATCTGCGTGCGAGGAACAGAAGGAGCGGAAGTGGAGCCGGATGCCGCATTGCCAGCGCTGGTTGCAGCAGCGGCGCCAGCAGCGGAGATGGCGCCCGTGCTGGAGGTGGTGGCCGAAGCGCGATTGGCGGGGTTCGCAGCGGCTGGAGTGCCAGAAGTGGACGTGACGCGGCTGCCCGATGGGCTGCTCGCGGCTACTGGCGACGCTACTGTTGCAACTGTCCCAGTTGAGCCGGACGCGCTCGCGACGCTCTGCCTGTGCGCATTGATCGGCGCACTAGGATCAGAAGCACGAACGGGCGACGCGACCGCACCGGTGCTGCTTTCTGAGCGTGAAGGTCCAGCACTGGTTGCAGGTATGGAGGAGTTGACCGAGACGGAAGAGGCGTTGCCAAGGCCGAGCATGTTCGGAGCTGCACCTGCATTTGGATTGTTCACGATCGGCGTCGAGACGTTCGTGTTGAGATCTATATGCAGCTTGCCGTGGACGACAAGATTGTCATTGCTCTTCTTGAGGTCTCGTGTGAGCAGAACTGGAGGTCGTACAGATGCGGAAGAAAATCAGCGCCAAAGCTCGTGCACCAGGAACATTGAGTTGGTCTTCCACTCACCCTTGCCCCCCAGCTCCAAGTCGATGTGATCCGCGACGCGGACGTTGATGACACCCAAGAAGCCCTGATCACGCTTCTTGAATTTCTTCTGATCGAATATCTGTATGGCGAGGACAGAGGAGTCGGTGACGTCGATGTCAAAGCTGTCGTTCCAGTAAGGGTTCAAGGTTTTTTTGATGACGCTACAAAAACGATGAGTAGAAGTCAAGGAATCAGCTCAGAGAATGCATCCCTAATGGCGTCGGATGTTCACAAGTCACGACTCACGATGTGGAATGCGTCTGTTCTCCATCGACCGTGACGATGGCAAATGGGTCCGGCAGCCTGAAGACATCTCGCTGGGAGTGCGATAGAGCAAATTGCATATATTCCAGTCACTTGCCCCATCGGTGACGTGGAAGGGGGAGCTGCTCACCTTGGCGAGGCCATCGGCTGCTACGACGGTGACTCTGATCTTGCGGGCACTGCTCGTTTGACAGAAGAAGAGATGGATATGGGTCAAAGGCCTATCCGCGATCCGAACGCAATCAAACGTGGTTACTCGGTTCGAACAGGACAGTGCATACTTACATCTGTCCCGGAGCCCTCGAGTTGACCATCTTGCCCAAGTTACTGTAGCCCCGTCAAGTCCAGAAAAAGAAAAGGTCCTCTGCCACGTTTCCAATATGGAGGATCAAATTCCAGCCAAAGGCGGCCACTGTCGACGATCGACGGACTGTAGACCAAAACAGCGACAAAGCCGGCTGCGGCTGCCAAGGCGGCACCAGGGTTTGCCAGTTGCCAGTGGGAAACAGGCGGGCGAGGGTCTGAGAGGTGGCACGTTCGTGCTTCTTCCTCTTCGTGACAATACCCTGTGCAGCTGCTGCAGAGGTCGACGGGATGTCAGGATGGCCGATGGAAGCTAAAGCGGATCAGAGGAGGGCATGAGGCTGAGCTGATGTAGAGTGGACACAAGGGGGCTCTAGAGCGACTCGGGGTCATCGGCTGGTCTGTATACTGGAGTCAACCAGAGAATCACACACTGTGTGAGCGCACACACACCAACAGGCACTGCGCGGCAGTCCCATCCACTGAGTGAAGTGAGTGTCCTCAGAGGTCCTGCTCACTGCTACGCCCTCTGTGGCTATGCTGCGCTTCTGCCCGAGTTTACAACTTCTTGACGTTGGCGGCATCAACCCTGTTGACAATACCAACCCTATTCTCCACAGTCCACAGGGCAGACAGCTTACTATCGCCCTTTCCATCTTCACCTGCTCCTCTCTCACAGAGATTGCAGGCTTCCGTAGGCGCTTAACATACACGACATGGTGCCCCGCGCTTCCTGGCTGCGAGGCGAGGCTCGTGTTGACGTCACTTGTTCGGTATGGTATTGCTGACGAGGATCTGGAATGATGTCGCCCTGCATACGACAATCTGCACCGTGCGCTCATAATCACATGGTGCTCGACCGTATGATGGATACGTGCCTGGCGGATCGCAACCTTTGTGGATGGCAGGACAGTAGCACCAGGATCAGGTGTGTCAAGCTGTACAACTGCATAGTCATGATCATAGTCATAGCATGGGGAATTGGTCTCTATCTTACAATGCATCGCTTCCATTGCGGAGCATACTGCAATACTGTACACATGTTAGCGTACTTTCTGATATTATATTAGCCACATTATGCGAGGAAGCGAAATTGTGTCGCGCAACACACTTTGCAAATGCGATGTGCTCAAAGACACGTCACTCTGTACGCATTAGTTTGCGTGGAATCGCTCGCGGAGCACGGTGAAGACGGGTGAGCCAACACCGGTCGAGGGATCTGTAGTGCCACGGGAAGAACGGGGGAAGTAGCGCCAGTGATGAGCAACCACAGTCTGTGAGAATTAGAAACCTACCGGGGCATGTCGTACTCACCCCATCCCTTGGTAGCAGGGAATCCAGTGGAATGCAGAGGCGAACCGACGGGAAAGCGGTTGTCCTCTGCCTGCGTGGGGAGGTTAGTGCATCCGAACGAGCCGCCCTGATCGCATTGAGTAGACGGAATGTTCAGTTCGCATGGAACCTCGGATAGTTTCTGCCTACGTGCGAGCTTACCTTCAATATATCGGTGAATCCGCGTGAGTCGCGGTACAGCGCCGGGTTGAGCCAGCCGAGCGTGCCGAGGCCTTTCCGACGGCGCGCATCATTCAGCAGCGCAATATTAGACGCAATGGTCGGTGCGCTGGCCGACGTGCCGGAAACGGTGAGATTCTGGCCATTTTGCACGATGGCATAAGCGTATCCTTGAGCTGATAGGTCCGGATAAGCTCTGCCGGATCGATTATAATTGCCCTCTGCGGGAGGGGTCGATGCAACGTCTCGGGCAAAGTACTCCGTCACAGCGCTGTGCTGCCAAGTAGGCACTTTAAAATAGTTGCTGAAGCCAGCCCCGCCATAGTAGCCTGCGAGATCTTGGCCGACGGCTACTTCTGGTGCAAATTTCTGCAATGCGCCGACGCTCGTCACAAAAGCACAGCCGCTCGGGTAAGTTGGGGTAAATTCTGGGCAGGTATTTGTTCCTTCGGGGGGCCCTTGCGTTCCAGCAACGCCTGAAGGAAATGGCTTGGGTCAGCATGGTTCTTGCGACGTCCGAAATGCGGTGTAGGGTGAAGAAACTCACCATTGTCGCCACTTGAGTAGATAAGGGTTGTGCCTAGAGCTGAGAGCTTCATGCTAGAGTCGCACAGGAGCTGCGCTTGATCCAGTGTCATGCCTGTCTCGTCGGCACCGTAGCTCGTTGAGACGACGCGGGGGCGGTCGGTATGGTCGAACTGAGCAGCGCGCGGTATATATCGTGGTCAGCAGCGCTCCGCAACCCCAAGCTACCTTACTCTACCCACCTTGTCAATAAAATCTTGGGTAGCAATCTGAAAGACATCGCCTTGGGTGAGATACGTACCGACATCTTGGAAAGCAGCCTTGAGCGGCCAGATCTGAGAGACCACGGTCTCGACATCCAGCATCGCTTCGAGACCTGGGTTCTGTTCGAGATTAATAGCTTCCCTGCTGCTTCGAATGGGCAACAGGACATCCGCCGCCTCTGGACGATATATCTTGAGGAATTCGGTGAGATCCGCTTGCGAAACCTGCAAAATGATAAAGGAGTGGAAAGTTAGCGCATAGCTGGAAAGGTTTAAGGAATGGCCATCTCGAGGCTCACAGATTGATCAATGTAGCCCATAATGGCAACATCTTCACCTGCTTGATGAGGCTGGGGCTTGTAGAGATCATTTTTGTAAAGACTTCGAAGGCAGGCGGGCGTCACTGCAGTGAGACTGCATGCTGAGGGAGCCGCGATTGACTCCGTGTACGATTTTTGAGCTCTGTGCGATGTACGCTCAGCGGCCGAGCCACGACGCATGGTCGTGTGATGGCGCTTCGCTCCTACCAATGTAGACACGCGGCTGCCGGCGGGCCGACTTTCGAGCGAGTCGGGTTCGGCGACGGCGGGCACGCCCTCAGGTAGCATTGGGCGAACATTGGTCGTCATGGCCTTGACATTCATGAACACATTGAAGGGTGAGATGGTGGTCACTGTGCCTTTCAGTGATGCAGGGATGGTGTACGTCAGCGTGCGAGCCACCTCGTGCTGGCCTTTGAGGCTGTAGTCAAAGAATTGGGCGTCAAAAAGCTGTGCAATGCGGCCCAAAGTGACCCCTTGCACAGTGACTCTGTCTTTGAACTTCGAGTATTTGATCTGGCCGTCTTTAATGCCAGCGGCGGAGAGGAAATCGCGGACCGCATTCAAGCTGGGCTCCGAAGGCATGGCAAAGGCCTTGAGCTCGTCCTCACTGAGCCAGGGCATGCCTCCGTTGGGCCCATCGTGGCTCTCGGAGATAGCGAGCATTTTTTTCTCTAACCCTGAGACGTCAGAAGACTGGATCGCCATAGTAAAAGTCATGAGGCCGTTGGTGTTACTAGGCTCTCCCTGCTGCCAGGCCGGGTCGATCCGAGGGGGAGGCTGCATTACTTGTCCATCTATAAGAGACAAAACGTCCAAGGTGCCAGGGAGTGCAGCAGCATGGTGTGCGATAGCAAGAGCCAGCGTGACAGACGCAAGTAGCTGAAGTCGGACCATTATGGGATATCTTGCGGGCGGTCGCTCGAAATCAATCTTACCTTGAGATGTGGTCAGCGGTCGAAGGCAAAGCTGAAGGACAACGTGGACGAGAAGCCGAGGCGGATGACATCAAGGTCGAATGAACTTAAGGTGAATGTCAAGACTACGGCACTCTGTCGTGGTCTTTTATACGTCAGGTCTGGCCAGACCCTAGGTAGGCAATGTTCACAAAAAACGCTTTGCATCGATGCTTGTTGGTCGCAAGTCTATTGGGAGAAGAAACCCCACCTCCGAGCGACTTTGGATCAGCGTGGCGCGGTCAATCAGTTCAAGTTGCCTCAAGGTGTAGTCAGTAAGCCGACGAGTCTCAGTTGCATAAGCTGTTGGATGTGATTTTCCGGTAATCAATTAGGGTCGTCGAAGCAGTGAGCACCCGCGCGCGAGGACGATAAAGATTGAATTCTCAAGGCGCCAGTGTCGGTTTGCATATCACATTGAGATCCACACTGGCAAGGTAGGTATTTGTGCAGAAGCTGCTAATTTCGGTAAGTTGATTCATGGAACCAGATGGATGATTGATGGGACCGTTAGGGACGTTGGAGTTCTGTGGAGAGTGGTTCTGAGATGTTGAAGTTGTGGTTGCGCACCCTGCGAGATCTTCGGAGGAGCGCGCCGGCGCCTATCGGTAATCGGCCACAGTGAGACTGTGCCACCATCAAGCCAACACCAGCAGCACCAGTCGTCACATCACAATATCAACGTGAACGGCCTTTTCGCCTTCCTCTCGCCAAGAATACGACCCGATCAGACCGCTCTTTCTTCGACCTGCAGTCGGCCGAATGAGCATCTGCTGTCTATATATGAAACAACCGCTACGACATTTGTACACCGAGGTGCTCAGGCAAAGAAGCAAGCACTGAGCCAAGCTGAGAGGCGCACCCGGATGCATGTGTTGAGGACTTTCCGCGCGGAGTGCAGTTCCACTATACAAGAGCAATATCTACCAGGTACTAAGGATGCCTTCGCACGAAGTCTTTGAAGTTAACCGCACGTCAACCCAGGTCCTGGAGACAGACCTGATGCGTGCAAATAGGAGCATGAAAGGTATTGCAAGAAGAAACAAAGGCATTGCACGAAGATACAACTGCATACAAGGGGCTCTGTGCCACTCATTTCTTGCCCTTGGCCTTCGATTTCGAGATCGGTGTCCCGGCTCGCGCTTGCCTGCCACCCACGCTCATCCATGCCAAGTCTTCTTCCCCGAACCGCCCATCGGCTGCCTGTGCGCTGCCAGACCTTGCGCCAGACGATGGCAATGATGCAGGGATAGCCTCCTCTGCGAAGCGTCGCCTAAAGCGACCGAGCCTGCCGACTTCCGCCTCGGACCCATCGCCCTGGCCATTACCACGCTTCTCCGACGCAGGGTTCCACAGCGGGTGGTTGGTGACGTCACGTGTCAGACGAGTGACATGTCGTGGCGAGGTGGTGTGCATCTGAATCGATGAACCGTCCGAGAGAATCATCGTTGTTGGGAAGTGAGGGACAGGCGAGGGGACAGAGCTTGAAGAAGCCTTAGCCGCATACAGCCTGCTCGAGCTGAACGTTCGCTGTTGCGGTAACGCATGACGTGAGGATGTGGAGAAGTCCAGCGCTCGAGAAGACGCGGAAAGCAGTTGAGCTGGCGATGCGTGACTGAATGCTCGGGTCTGGGAGCTTCGGCACGACGGGCCCTTGCTAGTCGCCAGAGACTCTAATTGCTGCTTACGTGCCTGCTTTACCGATTCATTTGATCCAAGCTCGGTGTCTGCTGTGAATCGCAAGCCTGCAAGACAAGCTCGGTCAATGTTCTGTAGTGTGCAAAACGCCCTGCACATGAGCGTGTCGACTCACTGTAAGCGCCAGTCTCGGGGTGCATTGTTCCTTGCACAACGTTCCGCCTCAGCAGCATAATGACATCCTCCCACTCCTGTAGCTTGGCTTCCACAGCCTTAGCCCCATCGCTGGCGAGTTGCTGAGGTCCCTTGAAGGAGGTCTTGATCTTGTCTTGCCAGGCTGAAATGACCCGCTGGTCCCCAGCGAACGTGGTCTGGCCAGCTTTGAGTAGACGCCGATAAAGCGAAAGGGCCCGCACTTTTTGGGCTTGAGTGAGCGACATCTGAGATTTCACTGAGATGCAGCTCTCCTGGGTGTAACATTCGATTCACTAGGGTGAGCTATATAGGGAGTTATATGTTTAATGGATGTGGTCAAGACATTAGAAACGAGAAGGCGATGAGACGTCCTATTCCCTGATGTTCGCTTTCTGGAGGCAAAATCCAAATGATCATATATTTTCTGTAAGAGGCACTTTTCTCGGCCGAGACAGCACCTCGATGGCCGTGTCAATCCTATGAGGCGTAAGTCAAACAGGTTGAGCTTCGAAGCTTCGGGGTTCTCTTTATCATTATCACCTGGCCTCGCTTACTGAATGCCCTGTCCTCGGTCCTCTCCACTGTCCGCATAGCATACGATTCGGCAATGCGAGTCTGATGCACATAAAACTTGTCTCTGTCATGATTTTCATCCATGTTGGCTGCAGCGCTGGTCATGTGTGAGGCTAGTTGCAACCACAACGACGCGCCTTGCGTTGCGTTGCGGACATGTGGTGTTCCTGCATGGTCAAGTTGCGAACGCATCGGACGCTTTGGACAGGACGCCTCACAGCAACGCTCAGTGGATCATCCACAGCTCGACAATAATGTCTGCAGAGTTCGCATGGTGAAATGTGGTGCTGGCGAAGCCACACTATCAAACTGTGACAGGCCTGTACATACCTCATGGACCGTGCACGCTGAAAGTCACTTTGCTGCATCCCGACAACATACCATTCTATGCGGCTATGATGACAGAAAATGGTACCAAATCTTCGTCAAGGCCCTTGCCATATCAGCGTCGGCTGATGTGTTGCAATAGCAGGGTGCTTTTTAGCCAGTCCAGACTTGTAGAGCAAAAGCGGAACCTTTCGCAGCCTTATGGCATTGCGAACTAATACTTGTCAAACGAGATCACACCATTCCCTGCTGCAATGTCTCAAAATTTCTGCCAATGGACGTCGCCGGGCTCGGATATTCTACTAGCAGCGACTGTACTGATCAGCGGTGAGCAGCGCACGATGCGTGATTTCGAAACGAACAGGCGAACACAGCAATTTGTTGAACAAGTCATTCTTTCCCCTCCAGGAATGATAAGTACACATCTCGCATATTGTTTCCTTCTTGAGTTCAAGTTGGCCGTAGTTCTCATTATGGACTGTGCTAAAGCTAGACTCGTCATGGTCAGATATTTGCAAGGGGCTCTACAGCACGCTGTTGGCGAGAATGACGGCAAAGGCGGCAGTCACGACCGGCTTGAAGCCAGTCGAATTGAGAAGGTCTGAGACAGCACCGCTCTTCTTTGTAGTCTTGATGTGGGGCGTTGCAAGAATGGTGGCCGACTTGGAAGCGTCGTGATCAGCTTCCTTCTTGTCGGCCTTGGTCTTCTCCTTCAGAGCCGCCTCTTCAACCTTGAGGTTCTTCTCGCCTTCCTGCACCTTGATGGCCTTGTCCTTGGCGTGCTTAACGTCGTCGTGGGCCTTCTGCTTTTCTTCCGGCTTCTTGGCCTTCTTGAGGTCCTCCTTTGCCTTCTGGAGTTCGTGCTTGGCCTCCTCCTTTTGGTGCTTGAGCTCGACGCGGGTCTTGCTCAGGTGCTCTTCCTTCTTCTTGTCATTGTGCAAGGCCGTGGAGCTTGTGGAAGTGGCCTTGGCGGCAGACAGTGAGGACGACGACGAAGATGACGAAGAAGACGAAGACGAAGAAGACGACGAAGAAGACAAGGTCGAGTTGTGCGAGGTGCTTGACTCGGAGATCTTGACTTCCTTGTTGTTGATATAGACCGTCTTGCCGGGGATAGGCTTAGTGGAGCCTTTGTCGTCTGAGGCATAGCACTTGCCGTCAATGACAATGCGAGTGCTGCAGCACTTGCCATGGACCTTGATACCATCGCAGTGACCGTGGGTGGCGGTGGGCATGGCGATCGTCGAGTGAGACTTGGTGACCGAGGCGGCGTAGGCCGAGTGGGATGCGCGAGCCGAAGACAGGGACGAGGACACGGATGACATCTTTTCAGACAGGTTGGTGCGCTGCTTGTCGAGCTTGGACTTCAAGTCGGCGCGGAACTTCTCGGCATCCCAGACAGGAGCAGGGGTGGGTGTGGCCTTGGCGGCCGAAGATGTGGTTGAGGTCGCACTGTGGCTACTGGAAGAGCTTGACGACGAAGTCGAAGTTGACGACGCAGTCGAAGTTGACGACGCAGTCGAAGTTGACGACGAAGTCGAAGTTGACGACGAACTCCAGGTTGACGACGAACTCGAGGTTGACGACGAACTCGAGCTGGATGACGAACTCGAGCTGGATGACGTCGATTCGGCCTTAGCGTCGGCAGGAGTAGACTTGTGCTTGTGGTGCTTGTGGTGCTTGTAGTTGTCGCTAGACTTTGTGCTCGGTGACGGTGTGGCAATAGAGCTAGAGTCAGAGGATGATGAAGCCACATCATCCCGGGCGAAGATGATACCAGCGCGGGCCGCGGGCATCTCCCAGGTGTTGCGAGGCTGGGTGATATCACGGCGAGCCCAGCTATCGTAGTTCCAATCGCTGCTCGTATCGATGTTGCGGGTGGCCAGCGGCGTGACGCGGGCCTCGGCAACAGTGACAGATGCAGCGCTGACGGACAGAGAGGCCGTGGCGACAGCGCCGATGAGAGCGTAGAGCGAGATCTTGGTCATGGTGCGAAAATGGCGGTTGGACAGACGGTCAGCACAGTGATGAAATGAGAGTGTCGATAGTGGTGGAAGCAGACCAGCTGTTCCGTATCGAAGTCGAAAAGTGGATAAACAGGAAGTGGAGGATTGGCAGTGTATCGAACACTCGCTTGAGGACGAAGGAACCTGGGGGAGATGGTTTGTAGCCAGCTACAGGGAGAGAAGGGGAAGGAAGAAGTTTGGGCAAGCAAGGCCGCCTGCTCGGGTTCTTATACCTCTTTGACACCTGTGCGCCCCTCATTTTGCCTTTCTTTTGCGGATCGAACATCTTTCATCGGAAGGGGCTCCCATCCTCCGAGGGTGCGCGGCGTCAAACCAGCAGGTGGCACCAAATTTGTCTTCTATCAAACCTTGGAAGCGGCGACTGGAGAGCCTAGTGTATAGAAGAGCGGGAATTCGCTTCCTTTCTGCCCGGAAATGGAAGTACACAGTACGCATGCCCTATGGTGACTGACTGTCTGACACCAGCGCCCGCTCAGAAAAAAAAGGCACCTGAGCGCTGGAGCCAAGGACACTATATTCAGAAGCTGGCAGAGTGACGCAATGCCCCGCTGACTGCGGTACTTCCTAGCCTCAGATAGGCTCCACCCGGAAGCGGTGCACGCTGAAAAAGCTCGGATGCTCCGAAAGTGACACCACCCGCTATGCGTTACGCCAGTGTCGTTGTGCGACCTGCGCTATCGGATTGTTGAAGGGCCGAGGCCGTCCCTCCTCATGGCCTCACGGCCTCTCACCGCTTTCAGAAATTGACTCTCGCCTTACCTGCCTCGCTAGATGGCAGTTCTGGAGAGCAAGTCGCACATCTTATCACCAGACCTCCAGTCGTGCCAGGCCTCGCCCTGGTGCCAGTTGTCGTCAATTGTCGACTCATTGGTACAACACAGTTTTTTCGCATTCATGAGACCAAGGTACACAAACCACAGCCGCCAAGCACGTTCAACATGAGATAGTTATCGGGAATTCAGGCTGGAGATTCTCCCAAGGAGAAGGTCCGCATGCGGCCTGAGCCCAAAGTCGAGACGCCATCGCGTACGACGAGCAGTCTTCGTTTGTCCCTTTCCGAGAGCGACGTTCGCCACAGCATTGGTTGTCCGCCTGGAACCGCGTGCCTGCGACACATGTTACTGTGTAGTGTGTGGACTGTGGCCCAGTTCATTTGTGCTCGTGCGCCCACAGGCGCCTGCTCCTTGACCGTATGGCCCGCGAACGGGCGGGTCAAGGCGCCTTGGAGTTCAGTTTTGGCGTGACGTCGCGCCGCATGCGCTACAGGTTTACAGGACCATGAACTTTATCGATGATAATGTAGTGAGTGATGTGGGGCCTGTTCGAGGAAAGCGTCGGCACCCGGCGATGATGATGAGAGCGCGTCATTGTTAAGAGCCAAAGGAGGAGCTAAGTGATTACTAAACATACATGAATATAGTGAGTGAATGGTGGATGATGACTCCTGAAGCGTGAAGATTGACCATTGTACACCTGTTTGCGCTTCAGCTCCCGGTGCTCCAGAGCCCCAAAATACTTTTCTAGGCATTCAGATTTAGACTTCGAATTCAGCTGCAACACTACTTCGAATCTCAGAGCTTCACATGCACCAGTCTGCAGATGCGGCATTTCATGTGATGCGAGAATTTGGGAACAGTGCGGCTATGTTCTAAAGGCTCTCCAGGCCGGCATCAGCGCTGACAGACTCCAGCATATGAGTAGCGCACAGGCGCTTTGAAGCTGCCAGACAGATTAGATCGTCAAATGCGACAAGAACATTCGGACAGGTCAGCGGATATGTTTCCATCGTTGTAGTTCTGTGTCGAGTCATCCTTCCACAATCTCGAAGTCTGGATGGCACTAAAACAGGCAGACTCGACCACGCCGGCGTTCTACTTCAGCTCGAATTCTGCAGCAGCCGCAGCTAGCACCTGTCTGGGAAATGGTACAGCCAAGATCAGACGAAGTGTATTTGCATTCCCTGTCGTCCGCGTAGTCCGTTCGAAAACCACGATGGCCGGAGATGGATGCTGTATAAGAGGCCCTCTTTGATTCCAGATGCCACTCTTTCCATTGCTTACTACTTGCTGGGGCGCTCTGGCGGCTGTCCTTGCCACTAGCTACGGCTACGATTCGCGAGGAATGTTCTCAATGGGCACGGCACCAGCCAGTGCCTCGAGTATGAGCGACGGACTTGAGTGGTGTAGCTTTGAAGGCTCATTGAATGAATGCTATTCGCGATACAGCAACGATTTTGAGCGGTTTATCCAACAAGCTTGTGAGCATCACAATTACTGTACGTCATACTCCTTCTTCGTCGCCTGGAGGCGCTGGATTTCGCAATCATGGTTCCAAGTGGCCAATACCGTTGAAGAAGAGGATGATCTACATATGTTTTCAGATGACTACCCTTTCACTGGTCCCGGGTTGCAAGCCTCGAGCCGCTCCAAAGGACAAGACGGCTCTGTGGGAGATTTGCTCCCCGAAAACGATCGGCTGCTACCTTCAAGGTTCCCTCGAGGTAAGCCGGGGTTGAAGATATTCCATCGCTAGGTTGCAGAAGCTAAAATAAGTTCATGTATCATGCGTCTGCGACTCACGTCATCGACAATGGACGAAGGAAGACTGCGGATATGCATCCATTCCATTGAGTCAGTCGACCTTGTTGCGAGCCGAAATGCCTCCATGTTGGCACCTGTGCCCCTGCAGACCCTTGTCTGAGTACCATGAGTGGACGATGTTCAGTTCCTGGCTCAGCGCTTCGGATGATGCTTAATCTGACGAAGTCATTCATGGCTTTATGGCCGATAGTTGCCCACTTCACTCGTGCTCGAATTCATTGCTTCAATGAGCTGTAACAAGCCTCGCGATCCGGTTGTGCATCGTTTCGAGAGACGATCGTATTGCATCTCTGTCTTTATTTGATCTGCTGAGCGCCTTGGCGGATGGCTGAGCAGCCACGCACCTAATTGTATCAGACGCCTGCCCCTGTCGCATCAGTGTTGAGCAAGGGCTGTTTGCGCGTTCGCCAAGTTGAATAGCAGCTATTCATTTTCGAAGTACATATTCTCAGAGGACTATTGCAACGGATCAAAGCCCGAGGCGCATGACAATGATGGCCACACTCGGGAGACACGGCGTCTCCTTAATCCCGCAAGACGTGCACGTCGTTTGCTGTCACCTTGAAACGATATGACGCTCTTCAGTCTTCTGGTCTTATAGGGAACCCGACCACAAGACGAGAGGAGACATGGGCTTCAAAGACCGTCCGCAGTCCATTTCGCGCACATTGATTCTGATTTGATACATGTCTTCTGCATCTGGCAGTGCGCTGCGCGTTAGTGGCCGCTAAGTACGAATGAATTCCGTGTACATGCATTTCCCCAGACCATACGGCACAATAGAGACGACAGGCAAAAGGGCGAGCGAAAAAGCGAAAGACGGCGGAACTGCTGCGCGACGCACGAAAAGAGAGGCTGGAGTATGTAGTTGCTTGCTTGGCCGCCGTGCACTAACAGCTTCTCTACTCAGCGTGCGCCTGTAGACTGGAGAGAAGCAGAGAGGGGAGAGGGGATCACCCGCAAGGAGCTCCTGACACTGCACTGCACACACACACACATTGCACACATCCCTTTCCTCTGCTGCGACCCCGATCCAACTACTCCGGCCGGGGCCATTGACAAGATCGTCATCAACATCGTTGCCTCAAGCATAACACAGCAGGCTTCAAGCGCGGCTGGAAGAGAGGCTCGAATTGTTGGTCGCTGCAAGGCCGCCGTCTGGTCGCTGGGCGTCCGCAAGTTCACCCGCCCGCTTTCCTCTCCTTTTCCCTTTCTCGCTCGCTGGTGTCAACGCACGTTGGTTGCTACGCCCTTACCAGGCTCAGAACTACTTGACGTGCTGCTCTGGATTGCGCCTACTGGTGCATTTCTGGTCGATTGCGAAGCCCACATTCCTTGTGTCTGTGGCGAGGACGGCGGACATTGATCCACTGCAGCAAAGAGGGTTGCAAGTTTTGATACACTTGCCTCTCGTCAGAGCAAACAAAGTCACTCCGCTTCGTCTTCGCGAGTGGCAGCCCCGCAAACATGTCTGGTGAGTGTCAAACGACTCTTCTTGTGACAGCCATTATGTCGCTTCTGATGGAGGGAAACATTGCTGGCGTCACGGACGTGGAGGAGTGGCTCATTGCGATGAGGCAGCCTTACCCTGAAGGACAGCTTGACGATCATCCAACAGCACATCCATGTTCGCCAAGACTGCCCTTTATTGTCTGGAACCGAGTGCGCGAGGGATTGCACTGGCGCCTGCTGCGTCGACCCTACCTTCATAAGGCTGCCAGGAAGATGCTGATCGCGACCCTTCATCCTTGCATAGCCATCTACTCCATCTACACCTCTCCTAATCATGCGCCGATCCCCAATCACCTTCCCACCCTCATTGTCACCCCTTACGGGCAACCGCACCACACGCTGTGAGCGCCTTCACCGCCCGGCTCATCCCTGAAGATATCTATGCTGACCACTCGGATTTCTCTTGCACAGATACTCGTACATCCATACAAATTTCAACAAGGAGACATATCTGCTGACCCCATCACCGCAAGGCGACCTATGTGTCGCCAAGATGGTCCCCCCGCATGGCTCTCGAGGGCCAGGCGGTCCTGGTGCGGTAGCGTCAGACCCAGGCCACTCGTCTGACCCATCGAGGGACCGATCGGTGCGGTGCGAAGCGTCTCGGAATCTCAAGTGGAGCATCACCAATACTGGCATCCACGCGCCGGTTTACAAGCTAACGCTTCCAAATCCGGACGCGCCTGGCAACGAGCAGCCGCTCTTCCAGGTCTCCAAGCCAAATCCGAATGCAAATTGGTGGACACTGTTCTACTTTACTTACGCTGGGCATCTCATTCCTCCGAAGCGGATCGAGTTTGGCAAGATTCAGAGGAACTCTGGCGGTGGCGGAGGAGGGACGCGGGTGACCATCACGGGAAAGTCACCAGAGGAGAAAGCCGTGTGGCAAACGCTGGGCGAGGGGAACGAAGACATGGTGGAATGGATTGTGCTGTGTGCTGCGTTGAACGTGCTTGATGAAGAGATTATAAAGGCAGCGGAAAAGTCCGGCGGTGCAGCAGCAGGCAAGCCAGCGGGCGCAGTGCCTTCGAGCCGACCGAGTGCGAATGCGCGGGCACCTGGCCTGACACCAACGAACGGCCCCGTCCCACGCAACGCTGGTCCAGCGCCAATCTCGAACGCGCCGCCAACCAATTACCAAGGGAGAGTCATCATGAATGGCGGCGGCAACATGCGGCCGCCCATGCAGGGAATGCCAGCGAGAGGCCCCTCGCCGAATGCATATTCAGGCTACGGCAGTCCGCAAGCTGCTCCGCAGGTGATGCGAGGACAGGGCGGCCCGGGTGCTGTACGGCCTCCTCCACCTCAGGGCGGCGCGCCGTACGGCCAGCCGCCTGCAGGATACGGCCAAATGCAAGGCGCCGGCCAGCAAGGCTACCGCCCACCGCCCAACAACCAGGGCTACCCGCAGCGAGCTCCTCCAGGCGGACAGGGAGGGTACCCTGTCAGACCGATGCCAGCGCCACAGCAGCAGCAGCAGCAGCAAAGTGGTATGGTGAATGGTAGGAGATTTTGAGAGCATCGCCGTGCGGCAGTTAGTACATTGCAGCCCGCCGACCTTTGCAGTATAGAAGCTACCGTGTCAGCCTGTTCTCAACATCATCATCGCCATCGTCGTCATGTCAACCCTCTCATTCAATCCTTCCCAAAGCCGGCCTCGACTGTATTACACCTACGTGCAGCAAATCTTCCAAACCTTCCACTCCATCCCTCAACAACAGCAACGGACTATCTTTCCGCTCTTCGGTCAACGTCACGCTCGCCAGGCTTTTTTCCGTGTGAATTCATTTCGTTTCCACCACCCGCCTACCCATCGTCCTCCATGACATTGCTCTCTTTGGGTTCACCTTGCAGTCTCGCGCAGCGCACACCGATAGGAATGTTCTTCGTCAAAGGCGCCAGTTTGCTTCATTTCTTCAGTGGCGATGCACAGCGCCACCTTAATGGGCTTTGTTCATTTCACCGCATCCTTCCATAGTTGCTTGCATCCTCGATATTGGTTGTAAAGTATCCACGTCACCACTGGAATGATCTACTGTGAACATGCTAGAACATTGTTTTGAGAGATGTCACGAACTATGACAAACAACATCCGGGGCGATCCAAGCGGGGCTTGTTTGCGGCTTCGAACACAAACAGCATGCTTTAAGGGTGGAGCTTAGAGATGCAATTGAAACGAATACATGTACACCAACACAAACGGCTTTGTGTTGTGAGAAGCGATGTCGTTGAGGGGGGACTTGCAAGAGCAAACCAAGGTGATGGATTCTGAGCTGACGACTGTGAAGCGAGCCACTTGATGAGGACCGCTTGGACGTCGCGGCGCATGTCATATACAGATGAAATCATTCTTTCATCTGCTGCTCTTTGATACGCAAAATATGCGGGTGGATAAAGAGCATTTCCAATATCCTGCTTGCCCTGTGCCTGCCCGAACTGGCGTCTCACCCTTATGTGTTCGGGTTCATCCTCCGCTTGCCGCCAGGTCCAAGCTGAACGTTGACGAATCTGTAAAAGTCAAGGTCAAGCGCAGTCAGCAAGCGCATCTAGGTATGTGCGTTGTTATCTGTAGGTAAGGAGCAACAGATGGAATCCCAGCACATGAATGGGTGCATGAATCCGACGCGCACTGTCCAACCATCATGTGCTCATTTCCCTGCCATCACCCCAGCACATGGGCTGATATGATGTGACTGCAAAACGGGCACATACTTCTACTTGCATTTCCGCTTACACTTAACTATTCAAGGTGCAATGCGAAAGCACTGCAGCGATGAGTGTGAATGCAGATGCGGCCCATCCGCAAAGCACTCATATGCAAGCCCGTGCCCAGATTCCATCGTACTCCGATCATGATCCGTCATCGACTTGAACGCTGTGCGCAGTAGCTTTGGGGGCACTTCCCGCTCCTGCATAGCATCCAAGCCAGTTTCAAACCATCTCGTCCTATTGCCCATGGTGATCCATTCCCGTGACACATTAATCTTGCAGCTGCGATCTCAATTGCGCGCGAAGGCAGAAGGTGGGTTGTGCAAGACTTACCGCCTGTTGTAGAGGACACGCTTGTGCGCTCTGCCCTTTGATTGCTTGCGCTGCATCATGGTGAAAATAATGCATCAGCTTGAGTTTAGTTTAAACCCAATTTTCAAGAATGACACACCTTTTCTTGCTTCTCGACTTTAGGCGTCTGGCCTTTGACCTGTTGACGTAGATATCATAAATCAATGGCGACAAGAGCAATAGTCATCGTCAGCGGTCGGCTCATCATCCAGCAACATCGTTTCTTCGAGTAAGCTGCAACTACTGACCTTACCGGCACGAGCGAGGGATCCGTGAACCTTACCCATCTTGGCGAATTTGGTGATTGAGGGTTACAATAGGGCCAATGGTAGCATTGAAGGTGAAGTATGTCAAATGCAAGCAAGCTGTGTAGCGAGACTCAGTGGACGCACACGGAGAGAGATGCTGTGGCCAGGCAATGGCAGGCTCGCGGGCGGCGGAAAGGCGGGTCACACAAAAAGTGTGTGGGTGGTGGTGAATGTGGCTGAATGAAAAGCGCTGCGGATGGCTCCGCGCCGCCTCGTAGGTGTGTGCCAGCAGCACGGTAACCACGGCTTCAAGTCACTTGTTCTTCGCTACCTTTCATCGGTTCCTGCTGTTTTCGCCAGGTTCATTCATCGGACAATCGGTCAGACAAGGTGTGTATTTGGCTGCAGAACTAGAAGATTGAAGAAAACGGGGCGAGCGAAAAAGCAGGGGATGGATTCGTGGCTCAAAGCATTCGGCAAAGCATGGGAAGGAACATCGCTGTCCGAAGGCTAGATGGTACGCCAAGATTCGAGCGCATGGCCAGGGTCTTTTTGCACCAGGATCTCGATAAAGGATGCAGTGGGCATTAGGTGCCTCGAATGGACATGCAAGAAGGCGCAAAGGGGGATGGTCATTGCGGGAGGAGTAGATCGCTAAATCATGCGCGGCATCGCTGCTGCGGCCACTCATCAGGGCTTTCCGCAGTTCTTGACGAAGGATGGAGGACATATACATGTCGTGCTTCGTCCTCGTATTTTTCTTTGATTCAGAGGGCGCTCAATTTGGTCAAGAAGCATTCAAGACTGACGTCTTAAATTGTTCTTCCTTAGCTCCTACTATTGCCAAGATGATTATCTCAAAGGAGAACCGCAAGCTTATTTACAGCTCCTTGTTCAAGGAGGGCGTCATGGTTGCCCCCAAGAACTTCGAGATCAAGCACCCAGAGCTCGATATTCCCAACCTTGAGGTCGTCAAGGCTTGCCAGTCGCTGACTTCCAAGGGCTTCGTCAAAACTCAGTTCAGCTGGCAGTGGTACTTTTACACGCTTACTGAGGAGGTGAGTTATCATGCTGGCCACCGTTTTAGGTTTTCATATCTGACGATTCCTCCTGCGTTTGTAGGGCCTTAACTACCTCCGGGAGTACCTTCACCTTCCCGCCGAAATTGTCCCGGCTACCCACAAACGCCCTGCTCGCCCTCAACGCGAAGCTCCGAGCTCCGGCGCTTACGTTCCCCCGCGCCGCGATTTTGGCGGGGAGGACCGTGGCGAGTACCGCCGCCGTGACGCTGGCGACAAGAAGGACAGTGCGCCCTCGGGCGAGTTCCGTCCCCGCTACGCCGGTGGCGTCGGCCGTGGTGGTCCACGCGAGTAAATCGCAAAGTCGCTACCTTTCTCTATCTTGACAATGAACGCATAGCGAGAGGAGCGGACCGCAGGCGTAGAATGAGGGCACGTTCTCCACCATTTCTAGTTCTCGACTCGTCACTTCAGCACGCACGCATTTTGAAGGAGAGCGTCGGGCGGGTAGGCCCTTAGTCGTCATTCGGCTTAGTGGTACCACGTATATGCTTCTCGATCTGTCATGCCTTCTCTCTCTTCCATCAAGGGGTGTGCACTCGCAAACATGCCCTTACTGTAACCTAAGCACGATCGAAATTAAGCAGAGTCTGCTAAAGCGCGCCGCTTGTCCGATTACTCCCCTGTTTGATCCTATACTTCATATCCTACGGGTCAGACTCTAGTTACATCTCCGAGAGTGCTTATTGGTGCCGGGACATTGAAAGGAACTGAACTGAAGTATATTGCAGTTGCAAGGTGCTAAGAGAGTCTTTCGCAGCACTAAGAAATGACTTTCATGTGCGTGCAAGTTTCCGCTGCTGTGGGTCTACATAATCTCGCTGCTAATGCTAGCATCAAAGAGTAATAATCAATCTTAATTTTGTGTGATGAAAAGCAAATCCTGCGTGTGTTCCAAGCATTCGAAGCAGAGCATGTGTCACAAATTGCATGGTAGCCACATAGGTAGGAGACTTTCGAGCTGCCGAACGCCGGCGTGGTCGGCAGTCTGACCGAGCGATCCAATCATTCAGTATCCATTCTTTGATCAGAGAATCTGTGAACAGCGACATCAGTGCCCAAGTCACGACTTCTGGATATCACGCCATACAGCCCAGATGCTGAGCTCAACCGGGCTGATGAGGCAACCCGTGGCTGGACTGACGAGCAGGTATAGAAGGATCAGTAAAGATGGCGACTGACCGGTTGTCCGATAAAGGTCAATTGCTACAAGGACAGTCAAATTCCTGCTCATCACAGTAGGTGTGTACATAGTATGGGTAATCGATTACGACTACATCAACCCAACAGGGGTCGGTCTGGATGTTTGCAAATATCTGATGTGGAAGTTGATGTGATACACAGAGCGTCTATGACGCAGTGGCTATCGTATGGAAGCTGCCAGGCCATCTGATATCTTATTATACGGAGCGGGACGCACCGCTGAATGGCTTCACTTATCGTGTGTACTATTTGTGTTTGCCTCTCCGCTCAGACAGACCCAGCAGACGGCCCGCCTGAGCCTAGCATTTAACATAAGTTCAAGGGTCGAGGTACCGAAGTGAGCTCCCTACCAGAACTCAGACACCGACACACGAGGACTTCTGGGAGAGAGCGTGCCTATCGATTCCAAGGAGTCTTTGCTGTACATACCTATGTACCGAGTGGACGTGGAGAAGCTCGTGATTCTTGCCACCGCAAGCACTCAAAATGGCAGGGATTGGTCGCTATGTGCCTTGCTACGCTGGACGCACTGCCTCGCCGGGAGAAACATTATAGTCCGGCAGATCCGAGCGAGGGTACTGAGGAAGGGCAGCACAACTTGTGTAGTACGGAAATGCTGGGCAGAACCCACTTGCGCTCGTTCAAGAAAACGAAAGGAACTTGCCGAAGCTCGGCGCTTCCAGCTGGCATGCTGACCATGGTCCATCCGGTCCCTTCTATCCATTGCGCAATTCAAATTCTACCTCATCCATCTTCCATCGTATAGGCCGTCCCCTTTTGCCATATCTTCGTCTTCGTGATGAACGTCTGGCAACTAGTTGCCGACTGCAAATATGGTGGTCGATTGTACCTTTGTGCATGTATGCCTTTATTGTGGCAGGTATGTCTCAGCGTGTTTCATCGTCTCCCTCCCTGAATCTGACTTAAGAGTGCAAAAAGCAGTGTGACGATCGAGTAGACCCTCGCTTGAATTTCAAAAAGAACAGAAGCTTGGGCCGTCCGTATTCGCAATCTGACACTTGTATTCGTCGGCTCCCATTTCGTTCTTTTTGTGCTGTGCTGTGCAGTGCGCATATTTCTTTGTTCCCTTCTGCTCTGCTGCACGCACCTTTGTGTTGCAAGCTAAGGCAAGTCGGCAAAAGATCGCGCTATCGACGCCTTATATTTGCTCTTCATCGGTCCCATACTTCCATCACTTGCAATGAAGATGCGACCATGCAGGCAGCACAAAGGACACACAGGGATTCGCTCGCTGGCGGCTTGGACAGAGAAATAAGCTTTCGTTGTTTGCACGCATGGAAGAAAGATATGGAGATTGGAGAGGGACAAATCTCAAAAAGGCTCCGAGGCGAGAGCCCGCAACTTTGCGAACGTTCTGCAGCCAGAAGCACGTAGAAAAGGGCGCCACATGGCAGATACGTTGGTGGGTGCCTTCGGAACTGCAGGGAACTGCAACGAACTGCAAGGAAACTCCCTGTGTAGTCTCCTCTTTCGATCATTTTTGGGGTCTTTCGTAATTTCGTTGCTCGTTCTACACAAAGGCCATACGACCAGGTGAAAAGAACGTGCTTTCTTGGCTGCGCCTCTTGCAGTTTGCACCGAAAGAGATCATCACACCAGACATCACACACTTGCGCAGTGGCGTGCATGCATCATCAGCATGTTGAAAGGGGACGCCCACAATTGATGTGATTGATAGAGGGCGGAGGCAAGGTGAGGGTCATAGTGACGCAGCTCTGCAGTGGGCACAGCCGCGCATCGGCGGGAATGACTTTCGGTGTGCCCGCCGTATTTCCTGAAGCCGGATAGGCGGTCCGCGGCACCCCGCCGGTTATGCTTGGCTCTTGCTTGTTGCCCACGACCCTCTGTCGTAATTTTTGGCGTTTGGCCGCGATGCACTCTCGTCATCTTCCTTCTGACGATGAATCTGCTGCTTTGCGCAATTAAGGGCTCAGGGTTAGGCATAGACGGCACAGGCCGGCACTGTGGCGTGGCATGACGTGGCGCAGAGTGGCGTGCGCCGCGGCCACCCTAGAGACTCCTCTGGTTGGATGAAGAAGACGCGATTAAGGGACCCTCTTTTTGCAGGGACGGCACAGGCCACAGGGAGGAGAGGAGATATGGAGACTGGGGAGAGACACTGATCTTGTGGGCTATCAACTGTCTGCTGACTCAGTGCCTCCTGCTGTTGCTGCTGCTGAGCACATACAAGCTTCCATGGCCAAAAAGATTATAACAACGATAATAATGTACTCTGCTTGTGCCCTTTTGTGCAGCGATCAGATGAGCTTCAACAGCCGCGAAGATCTGGCACGGGCGCAGTGTGATGGGACAAGATTGCCAATGACTCCTCCCCTTGTTGTATATTGTACAGAACACGGACCACGGCCATAACGAACACTCCCACCTGGGGTTAACTAAGAGGTGGTCAAGTAGCCATCGACCATTTCTTCTTCCTCTTCCACGTTCTCTTCCCATCAGTTCTCCTCACCCCTCCTTGTTCTTCTTCTCTCACGTCCATCGTTCCAACAGCACGCTGCGCTCGACGGCACATGGCATTCCCGCCAGCGACGCAACCGTGATCCTCGACCCCCTCCTCAATTCCCCTGGTTCCCGCCATGGCCGCGGCGACTGCAGTGGTGCACGCCGCGGGCAGCTGGGATGATGGCCTTGTCGCTCCGCCACTCGCCAGCGCAAAACAGAGACTACAACAAAGCAAGCAGCAGTGCCGCTTACAGCGCGCAGTCAAACTACGAAATCGATCATCCTCCATTGACTCAGTCGCTTCACAGACGCACGATCAGTACAAAGATGGCACCTCGACTGCACAAGGAGCGACCTGGCTTGATGACGAGCTCTGCAGCGTTTGCTCCAACCCAGTCAAGACGGCAGGCAGCCTGTACTGCTCTCAGGTCTGCAGGCATCAGGATGAACTCGCCTCTCAGAATCTCGCTCACGATGCCCTCACATTAGCAGGGCACATCTCGTCGACGAGCGTGTCACCGTCGGCTTTCGCTCCGATTCCAGGGACCGCTGTCAATCCCTCATCGTCGAGTGGGGGCTCCACCCTTTTGGGACTTGACACGAGCTGGGGTTTGTCGACCAACGGGGTGGACCAGCTCGATACACTGCGCTACACTGCACTTCCATTGACTGCCGCAGGTACGCTCGGATCACCAATGGTACGTACAAGCCACCACAATCTCGCCAGCGCAGACACTTCAGCCCCGCTTTCGCCCACATTCATGTCCCGCTCTGCATCCATCTCCGGCTCATCAACGCATGTACTCCCGCGCTCGGGCCGGCAACCATCGAAGCAAAGCATGGCAAGGTGGGCCTATCCATTTGCGAGGCCTTGTCTTATATCTCCACAGCAGCAGCAACAGAATCAGCATCAGCATCATTCAACACAGTCCCGACAGCACCGTTCAAGCTCATCGTCTTCGAGTCGGTCCTCGTTGTCAGAGGAAGAATCTCCAGACCCGGCAACACCGTCGCCCAACCTGTGGGCTTCGAGTGCACCACATGCGCATGCCATGGGCGAGCCGTCCGCACTCATGCTTCCTCCCTCGCTGCATGCAGAGATGAAGGGCATGCAAAAGTTACCCCATGCTGGCCGTCAGCATACACAGCAACAGCAACTGCAACAGCGACAGCTGGCAGAGACAATGCCGACGCCCTCGACGCTGGCTAGCTTTATGCGCTACACACGGCGGCCAAGCAGTACAAACGTGCCTGCGCCCATCCTCTTCTCCAGCCCGGTGCTTGCAGCGATTAACAAAGTCAGCACAGGTGGAAGGACGCATATCGGCGCAAAGTCACCTGCTAATGCTCTCGGTGCCAGCAACAGCGACAGCTGCAATACATACGGCAGGAAGAGCAAGCCAGTCACACCTAATGGCAGCGGCTCGGACACCTCTGACCTTGACCTATCCGGCGGCGATCTTTCGCCTGGCTCCTCCGGATTCGAGCTCGAGCAGCCGGGGTTTCCCGCGCACCGTCGCTCGCCTCTGTCGCAGACGGTCACTCTCCCTAACACCGACCGGGGTTCCCGGAGCGCTGGACCTGCCACGGCGCAGCCATCGACATCTGCCTCGAACATCACAGCAGCCACCGTCACCACCACTGCCGTCACCATACGCCATGAATCACCCGCAGGGCGCGCAAGCTGGCACAGTCGTATGTCATCCGACTCAGTCCTGTCGTCGAGGTCGTCGCGTTCCACCGGGTTGACACCCCGGCGACCGACCGTGGCGCATGCTGCAACCGTACCGCTGCAAGTCTCCCCCTCCATGGCTTCGGTCATCCTGCTGACATCGACCTCGAGCGGCGGCTGCGACGTTGACTCGTTCCAGCAGCAACCGTCACTTGCCTTGGTGCCGACCACGGTGCGGGGGCTGACGAAGCACAACAGCGCGTCGTCTGCTAGCGCCGGCAGCACCGGCCGAAGCATTGGAACTGCGCCAGTCGAGCTTCCTTCTCCCTTACGCGACTTGTCAGGCATGCAGCGGGCGCAAGAAGCAGCGGCGGCTGCGGCAGTGGCGGTTGTAGAAGCAGCGCAAGGCGACCCGCGAGGACGGTCTAAAGCGCGCGGTCCTCGCTCTTCTTCTTGTCGACGCAGTCCCAGTCCACCCAGGCGCGGCGACCGCCGGCGCTCGCGAGCAGCGTCCGACGCCGCAGCAGCAGCAGGAAGCATTGCATCACGGGGCAGCGATCGCGGCCTACCCAGCGCAGCTGTCCCACTCGGCCTGGACAGTGAAGCGCCCAGCGACGCCCTGTTTGGCGCCGATGACGATAATGACCAGAATCAGAACGACGAAGAAGAGGAGGAGCGGACGCGCGGGCGGCAGGGCAAGCGCTTCAACGCGCGTCTCTCGCGTGGCTTTGGCGCCGGCGGCTTGGTGCACGAGGCGATCTGCGAGCAGGTCTTGCCTGACTACGGGCACGATGACGCTTGATGCGTGCGCGTAACCATCTTCAGAGGCAGACGAGCGGAGGCTGCCTGCTAGGTATGTGTCGAAATGGCTTTTCGACTCGGCAACAATTTGCATATGCTCGCAAGCAGAGCACAAGATACACGTTCGCATCACCACTTCTCTTCACATTCTCCCACTCGGATAATCGAAAAAAATGTTCAAATGCATGAACGAATCCGCAAAGCGGTGCTATTCGGAACAACAGGTGAAATCAAATCATATCACAAAAGAGAAATCGAGAGCGCAGCAATCGTCCCTAATCATCACTCCTATTCCACATCAGCATTCCATTCCGATCACCAACCTGTCATCCCGAAAAGCGTTCAGGCGCACGCTGGAGCGGCCCATTACGCTTCTTAACAAATGTATCTCGCAAGCATTGCATTCAATCAGAAAGAAAAGAAATCAGGACTGTGTTTGTGGGAGCGATCGTCCTGCCTTTCGTCTCATGCTGTGGAGATATGGTATCGAATATGCTGCTGACATAATACAGGTGTGATATAGTTGCAAGTGGGTACTGGGAAATGAGCGAGGTACACGAAAGTGATGTGGAGTAGCGAGATGCGAGCCTACCGCCGTGCGAGCACGGTGCTGCGGTCAGCGACTACGCTGGCGCTATGCCCGCGCAGAGCATTCTGAATCAGCGAGCGATACTGCATGAGACAGTGCGATCGCGCGGAGAACGTGCTGGATTGGCTCCGCTGCGCTAACGGCGCGCAGGACATGCGCGGCTGCGCGTTGGCGCGCCGCAGCGCCTCAAGGATCACATGCAGCTCGTGCTCGACGTCCGAATCGCCGGCGCCCTGCGTGTACATGTCCGCATCAGGGTCGTCCGCGGCGGCTGCAGCGGCTGCTGCAGCGACTGCGGCCGCACTCGTCTTGTCACTCCCGCCGGACGAAGCTTCCTTAGCTGCTGCCTTCTCGGCTGCGGCAATCGCCGCTGCGTCGCCCCCCGCTGCGGCAACTGCGGCACCAGCAGCAGCAGCGGCTGCGGCTGCAGCGCTGGCCTTCTTCTGCTTCTTGGTTGCCGCCTTTTGCTCCAGCTTTAGCTTCTTCTGTTCAGCGGCTTCAGCCGCGGCGCGCTCCTTCTCCTCGAGCTTGGCGACAAAAGCCGGGTTGGTCGCCTTCTGCCACTCGAACAGCAGCTCGTCATAGGGACGCGATCGCCCCTCCACCGAGCGCTTCGCGCCCATGCTATGCGACTTGCACGTTAGAGAGCGCAGACACGGGCCTTTCTCGGATATCACGCCACACTGCCTGTCAACATCAAGTGGGCCTGCGGATTGAGAGAGAGAGCAAAAGTCGGTTCTCATACGTCAGTCCCTGTGTGCAGAAGGCAGTCTGCTATACAACCGCCTACCTCTATAGCCACGGCCCTTCTTCTTCAGCTTCTGCTTTTTCGCATTGCGTTTTGCCTCGCGGTCGTCTAGTTGCGAGAATCTGCGTTTTGCACCACTGCCAAATAGCGGTTCATCATCTTCGTCTTCATCGCTGCCATCCAGCACTTTTCAGTGCAGAGTAGGCGGTTCACGGTCGTGTGAGCTTGTATGCCCCGCTTGAAAGAGAGTGGGCATTCAGGAGGAAGGGAGCACATACCTATTGTGGACTGCTTGAGGACAGGGTCCAGCACGGACACGGGCACCACTCCCTCTCTGATATCACGAATCAACTGACAGTTCTCTGCGCGTGTTAAGTACCGTGTCAGCAATCTGACCGATGGAACCAGTGACACGAGCATCTACGTACTCTGATGGAAGCTAAAAGCCTCTTGCAGCACCGTTTTTGAACAGTCCGGGCACTCCAGTATCCGCACGTCGTCGTCGAGTGGCGCCGGGCCGAAGTCCGCGACGTTCTGGTCATCCTTGTACCATCCAGGCACCTTGCTTTCCCTTGGCGATGGTGGATCTTTGGAAACCAGCAGAAGGCATCAGGATTCAAGCAGATACAAAATGCGATATGAGGGCGCATGTCAGACTCTCGCACAAATACTGATGGTAATCCAAGACTAACGCTAGCAGGCATTGGGCCAGCTAGCCACGACGTACCGCTCTTCACGGCCGCAAAGATGTCGTCCCATGTTGGTCCGGCGGCCATGTCTGGTAAGGGATTCCAGGAACACGACAGGCGTGAGAGGCTCTTTCTGTCTAGGCGGAGAGGGAGGGGGGCCGGGAGAAGGGTTCGATTCAGTTCGACAGCGCCTTTGCACCACGAGCTGCCATGCCGTTTTGGTGTCCACCGTTGTCCGTGATGTGGGACTGGGAAGTGCACTCCCACTCGATTGGCGCCTAGATCACAGATCATCGATGGTGGTGAAGCTGGCTGACCATACATACATACACACATGGGACCAAGCTGCAAAACCCTACTTTATTCAACCCTCCTTTATTCATAGGCTCACAGTCGTTGGGGATGATGCGCCGCGTCCGCCGTCCAGCGTCTGCAAACTCTGCACGTGTGCTGTATTTGCATGTGCCACCGCCGCGCTGCGGTCACGTCACCACGAGTTGAAAGGCATCGCACTCGCGCACCACGCAGTGATCAGGACGCGCCACCCCAGCCCCCCCAACCACGCTGTACCATGTACATACCACAACATGGTCTGATGATGACTCAAGTCCGCCAGGCCGCCCTACCTGAACAACAGCACAAGCTGAGTCGCTCCTCGACTCGCGTGCATACTTTGCAAGATGCCGAGCCTGGCCGAGCTTGAAGAGTGGCTGGAGGAGCAGTGGCCTCGAAACCTGGTGCGTGCGGAGCTGTCGTTGCGCGGCGAGTTCGCTCCGTGCGCAGCTGGTTCGTTCTGACGCACGTAATCTTTCTCGGGACCACTCTGCAGTATGGCCTCCCACACAGGATCTCAGAAACGGTATACAGCTACTCAGAAGTACTGTACGAACAGCTGACCAAGTATGGCCCGCCGGCGCTGCCAAACGTCTCACTCCCGTCGCTGAGGGACACGATTGAGGAGCACTTGCCCTCATTTTCTCGCATCGAGCCGCCGCCTCCCCCACCACCACCACCCACGAGGCTGGAAAGGATTACAGGGTGGGTGAAGGGTTATAAATATGCAATTGGAAGCGGAATCGCGATCGCCGTGGTCGGACTTGGACTGGCGTATCGCTGCCACCCTCAGCGTTTCAACAGGTTGACAGCGCTCACGGGAAGGGGAAAGCCAACAAGGCGGCCAGCACGAGTACGAAATGGCATACGGAGAGAGGCAGTTGGTGCGTCCTTTCTGCAACTCGAGTAGCGTAACTGATATACTGATCGTCAATCACTTTTTTCTTTGCCCAGTCATCCTCGGTGCGGACACCGCCATCGGGCGAGCGGTGCTGATGGCACTCGCGTCTCAAGGCCTGATCGTCATTGCCTCCGTCAGTAACCCAGCCTCGCTCAGGAGTTTTGACTCGCAGCTTCTTCCGTCATCACGGGGCTATGTTGCCGTGCGTCACTTTGAGCCGACCGCGATGCCTGATTCGATCACCAGCTTTGCGTCCGAGGTGCACTCGACGCTCGCCCTTCGCTTTCCGCTTACCGCCGCTGGAGACCCATTTGCAAGGCCAGGTGATAATGTCACGCTGATCGGCATCGTCAATGCGCTCAGCTTTATCTCATTTCCTGCGCCTGGGACCGTGCCGGCTTCGATCACCTCGGACAGGGGTAGCAGCGCAGGCGCCATGGCGCTCTCCCGTGCGATGGACCAGCACGTTGTGGGCCCGCTCGCAGCGATCTCTGCGCTGCTTCCCGAGGTGCGCATCGCACAGAAGCGCATGTACAGCGCCAACCCCGAGTGCGTGTCGCCCGTGACGATCATCTCGCTCGTTGCCAAGGTCGGCAGCGGCACGAGCGCGACACACCGCATGGTCTCGCAGGCGGCTCTCGCGGGCGCAGATGCCCTCCGCGGGGAGATCACGGGCAGCAGTGCGGTGCAGAGCCGTCCTGTGCGGATGACGGTGCTGGAAATCGAATTGCTGTCCCCGCCGCCTGTGCATCCTTTCGCCGCGGCAGGCGGCACGACGTTTGGCCCCACGAGCCCAGTGCGCCCGTCGGTGCAACGATCGATTTCCGCCAGCATTGGTGGCGGCAGCAGCAGCAGTACGTGGCAAACAAAGGACGCGCACACCGTCCGGCTGCAGAACAGGGTCGTCGACCTGGTCCTTGCGGCAGACTGTGGCCGAGCACTCAAGAAGCGGTATGTGGTGCGGGCACCGACGAGCCTCGCTGCGTGGCGTGCGCTAGCACACAGCTACGTCCCGACTTTTGTCCATGCTCGGTTCTGCAGGGCGTGGGAAGCAGCGCCAGTCGTATGGGTGCGGACACTCATCGCGCAGCATGGCGCACGGCGCAGCCGGCGGAGCAGGCGGAGCGGCTCCTCGGACACATGTGGCGGCAGCAATGCTAGCAGCCAGCAGCTCGTGCGTTCTCATGCGTCGGTTAGCGCGTCTGACTCCCGGGCAGGAGGCAGCAGCAGCGTCCCAGTAGCGCTGCAGCAGCGCTTGCGCACTGTGCAGCAGGAGGCGCTGCCAACTCCCGGAGGCACGTCCGCGACGCCCGCGAGCAGCACACCGTCGCACGCTGGCGGCGAGCTGGAGGCGCCGTCCTGCTCGAGCGGGGACGAGCTGCAAGGCAGTAGTGACGGTGGTGGTAGTGGTGGAGGCTATGGCTTGCGTGCGCGCCAAAGGGACGGCGAGCGCGAGCGCGATAGCGACGAGAACGGGAACGACAGTGAGGGCTTTGTGCTGCATTCTGCGCCTAGCTCGTCAGCGGACGGAGAGGAGGATGCGCGCTGGAGCGCGGCTGGCAGCCCGTGGTTTGGGCCGCAGCCTCACAGCAGCAGCAGCAGCCGCCTCCTTCAACCAGCGGGGGCGGGTGCGTTCAGGAGCAGCGGGCCGAGCGAGATCAGCAGCAGTAGCGCTGCAATCTACGTGAGCAACGGCAACAGCAACAGCAGCGTCGAGCACGGCTCGGCGTCAGGCGCCAACAGCGGCGTGCTCGGTGGTAGCTGGGTTCGTCTTGGCGATTCGCAAGAGGGGAACATCACACAGCCGCAGCAGTAGCAGGGGCGGTAACGCGTGTAGCATGCAACGCGGTGTGCTCTTCGTTGCTACACATCCACACATCCACACCGGCGCCTCCGACTGCCCTCGTGTCTCTGAATGGAGGCTGTTTGGGCTCTGTGCGCCTCATTTCCCTTTTTGCTTGCATGCTAGCAAACTCGCACGTACACACGCTCTCTCTGTTTTGTTTTCCGCCCGCTTGGTCGGATTGTTGTGCATCTCATATGCCCATGTAGCTCGGCGCCGTGTGCATGTTTTTTTTTAATTTGACTGATCAGTGACTCGATGGTTGGTGTGCATGCGGGTACGCTACATGTGGGAAAAGGAGAAGCGAGGACATGCAGTGCTGTGCTTTTGGGGTGGTGGTCGTGTTGACGAACTGCAGGGAGCACGTCTTCCTTGCCTGTCCACTGGACATGCGATGTGGGTAAAGGAAGCAGCACAAGAACCAACGATCGATATGGAATATATATATATAGTATACCATACACGCACTGTTCCCAACAATCCGGGTCGCGGAACACCGGTGACCCTGCGGATGGCATTCTGAGTGGCAACTGACCGCCAAGGGCGTGCAACGTGGCAGACGCAGATGCCGACACATTTGGCACAAGCAGGGGCACGGGGGGCGAGCCGAAGCGACAAACGGTGTTGGAGTGGCGGCATTGGAGCGTACTCCACTCCCCTCCATCCCACACTACTCGGCACTACGCAGGTAGCGTGATGGTGCACAATGAGCCTGCTGCACGCCACATGGGGGCAGACTGCGCTGCTCTCTCACGCCAGGGCCGCCCCAGAGGAGAGTTGGACGCAACGTTGTGCATGCCGTGCCAAATCCAAACCCCAAGCCGATCGGGGGAGATGAGTCTGTGCGCTGGTGCTTGGCACTGGCACTGGCACAACGGATAGGAGAGTACGACGCACACAAGCGGCGATACTCAATGAACTCGCCACCCCGTCACTATCACACCCATTCTCATTCTAGCCACCGCCGCATCGCAACCCGTCCCATTCATCCACCTCTGCAAGGCATGGTCCGCCTCCCCCGCTGTGCAGAGACGGGCACGTGCCATCACGCACGTCGCACGCAGCAGCATACACCATCCGCAGGCGGTGCACACGCGGCAACACCTCTGGCGAGCGCATGTGTGTGGTTGTTTGCATACTATACTAGCAACCCGCATTGACATTGGCACGCCAGCGGTTCTTGCACGTTCGCCCTCGCTCACGCTGCTCCCCATCGTCTCCATTAAGCGTCACCCCCACTTCATAGACACCAGTATAGTGCAGAGCAGAGCAGAGCTGCCGCGCGTGCAGCGCACGTCATCGTCCGCTGCAGCTCGACAGCCACGATGCACGCCGGCAAGCAGCCGAGCTCCATGCCCGCGACGTCTGACGGCGTAGCGAGCGGCGGCGACAGCGACAGCAGCCCACGTACACACGGGTCTGGAGCATTCTTGCTCGGTCCGACCACCTCGCGCGAGTCAACGGGCCCGGCCAACATGCTTTTGCTGCCGACATGTGCCCCCGCGTCTTCGTCCCTCTTCGAGTCGGGCTACGCGCAGGAGCCAGTAGACGCCAGCAGTTGTAACAGTAGCAACACCAGCTGTATGCGACCGCCGCTCGGCGCGCACCTGCCTTCGTACTGCTCCGAGGTCAGCGACGGCGGTGTCTTTGCCGCGCTGCCGCCCGAGCAGAGGCCGCTGTCGCCCGCGACCGTCATCGCCGCGCATGCCGTCGACGACGCCAGAAGAGGAAACGGAGCAGGCACGGTGGACGCCGCCAGTGACAGACCCAATGCGCTGGACCGCACCCCGCAACACCGGTCCGTGTGCGCCCCGCCGCCTTCGTACCACGCTGCACCTGCGCCGTTAGCAGCGGCGAGGGGCGGTCGACGTGATATCGATGCAAAGAATCCCAGCGCAGCCACGATGATGACCGCCACCGCATCCGAGGCGGACAACTGCCACAGCAGCGACTGCAGGCCAGCAGCCGGCGGCGGCGGCGTTCGAAACGGGTCGTGCGCCCGCTCCTCCACACGGAGCACAGTGACGGCCATCTCGTCCCTCTTCGACAGCTTCTCCAGCAAGGCTAAGTTGCAGAACGCCGACGCTGGCACCGGCGACAAGTCGGCGGACGGTTACGATGACGAAGATGATGGTGGCGGCGGCTGCCAGGTCCAGATGATGCGCCCGGCGCCTTCGGGGGTGTATGAGGACAAGGCGCCGGAGCGGCACCTGCTCAACGAGGAGCAGCGCGCAATTGCCGACATGTTCCCCGTCGACCTGGACGACCCAAACAGCTCGCTGCTCAACTCAATCTCGTGGGCGATCCGCAACTGGCGCGTCTTCCTGCAGTGGCGGTATGTGCCGTGGTACGTGCTGCTCGTGCTGCTCGCCGCTTCCGCTATCTTCACGGCGGTGTACCACAAGTCGTTGGTCAAGCTGCTCGAGCCAACGTCGCATCACCTCAAGCGCTCCTGGTGGGGCTGGATCCTCCCCGTTGTCATCCTCTTCATTGTTTCCTTCCCGCCGCTCTTTGGGCACGAGGTCATCGCGATCCTTTGCGGCATCGTCTGGAGTTTCAGCGTCGCCCTCGGCATTGTCGCCCTTGGTACGCTGCTGGGAGAGATCGGCAACTTTTACGCGTTCAAGACCTGCCTTCGCGGGAGGGCGCGCAAGATGGAACGCAAGAGCACCGATTATGCGTGCCTCGCACGCATTATCCGCGACGGCGGCTTCGTCGTCGTCCTCATGGCGCGCCTCTCCGCCATCCCCGGACACTTCACCACGGCCATCTTCGCGACCGTCGGCATGAGCATAGGCATCTTCACCCTTGCCGCCGTCCTCAGCCTGCCGAAGCAGGCCGCCATTGTCTACGTCGGCGTTGCCATCAAGATCTCCGGCTACAAGACCGAGAGGCACACGGATAAGATCATCAAGTACTCCGTCCTCGTCATCACCGCCATCGTCACCGTCCTTGCTGCGATTTGTGAGTTTGTGCGGGCGAAGCGCCATGCTCGCAGCGGCAGCATTGCTTCTGCCTCCCGGGAAGGCCTTGCGCACGAGCGCATGCTGATCGATCGCTCCCTTGCATTGCAGACATATACCACCACATGCGCATCGCCCGCCCCGCCGTCCAGCGCCAGCTGCGCCACCAGCGCTTCCTCATGCTCTGCGATGCGGCCACGCCGCAAGAGTGGGAAGATGCGGGTGCCGATGCGGATGCGAACACCAGCGCGGATCCCAAGGCGCGTCAGGGAGGCGGCATGGGGGCGACACGGGTGCTACCTGACTTGACGCCTGGCGAGGCCGGGGCGGCGCTCGCGCTGCGCGCAGAGGACTTTGGCCTGGTGCGCTCACCGTCGACGCATTCGATTGCGCATTGGAAGTTGGCTGTGCGCCAGCGCTCCGGCCCCGGTCTGCATCCGCTAGCCCTTTCCGAGGGCATCCCAGCCGCCTGTTCTTCCGCTGCTGCCGCCAACGATGACAATTTCGCACGTTCTGCCGCGGGCAATCTCGGCATCGGGTCGCTGCCCGCCTCGCCGCTCCGCTCTGCGACGCGCATTGCTCAGCAGCAGGGGACAGGTGGCGCCAAGAAGCGCGGGCCCAACAAGGGCCACCTCCAGCGGCGCCCCACGCTGCCGAGCCTGCTCACGCACAAGCGGCGCCTGAGCGATCCGCTCGAGTCCGCCGGCGCCGACAAGCTCAGGGACGGCAATGCCAGGCCTGGAGTTTGCGATGCAGAGGACGACCCGGTCGAGGTAATCCGCAGCCCCGTCGATGTCACCTGTCATGCATATTAGCCAGGGCACCCGGCTGCTTGCTGTTGGCTTTACTGCTTTGCGAGACGCTGCGCTCAGCCGCGTCGCCACTGCTTACCCGCCTGCCTCACGGCAAGATCCACCACTTTCACGCGCGCTAACCATCGGCATATGCATGGCAGCACTCCATCGACATGTGAGGACCGCGCGCGCCTCTCCAATCGATCCTCGCCACACACTCTTTCTCATGGACAATTTCCCCTCAGAAGACCAAAGTCTACTCCCGCACACTGCCCGCCCACCCGCCGTCCGTGCCGCTGTGCGTCCATCCGCTCTAACTAGCTAGCTGATATTCCTCTGCATGCTGTTGATAAGTGTAGAATCTGCAATTCTCTAGGCTCTGTTGCCAACTGTATCATACACACACCGACCATCATCAGCACGGTCCTGGAATGGAAGAAGAGGCAAAAAGCATTTGCAAGTTGTCCTTTATTGTGGTGCGTGCGTTTTCGCAGCGTCTGAGCCATAGACTGGTATGTGCGCAGGCTTTCGATGCAGATGCATCTCACGCAGCGAGGAGTGCAAGCGGCAAGACTACAGCAGCAGCTGCTCCTGCGGTAACAGCGATGAACCAGCTGTGCTGGTGCGCGGCTGCGTTTGCCTTGTCGCTGCTGGCAGGCGAAGCTGTTTTTGTTGCAGCTGTAGAAGCAGCAGGTGTGGTGGGAGCAGCACTGGATGTAGGGCTTGCCAAGGAGCTACTTGGGTGATAATTTTCGAGGGAAAGCCGATCAGCGCTGCACGCAGATTCCCCACGTCCTGTCTGTACATGACAAAGCAGTAGCACGGCGCGCGTGCATGCCTTTGATACAAGTGGCCAGACAAGGGAAACCAGCTGACTCACGATGAGGTTGTAGGGATGGCGCCGGTCGAGCCGCTGACGGCTGCCGTCGTCGTAATGGGGCTGCCCGAGTACTGTGCACCGACGCCGTTGTTCGCCGCGGCATTCGTCACGCCGTGCTGCCCATTGCAGTTGGCCTGATGGGCTCGCAGGTGACAGGACCGATGGGCCATGTAGCGAGCGGGGCAAAGGCGGAACATGTCAGTGTCAAGATGGAACAGGAAAGCAGATGCGCACTCGCCACGCGCACATTGTTGTAGTTAACCTGGTCTGCCGGCTGCGCGCCGTAGCAGGGGGCCCAGCAAGCGATCAGACCTTGCTGCTTCTGCAGGCAAGCGAGGAGGAGATGCCAAAGGGGGAAAAATGAGATGAGAAGACGAGTCGAAATGCATGCATACACTATACACGGGCGCTGACATTGCAGATGCACGCCCAGTCTTCCGACGTGCATGGTCCGCCGGGGCGCGCCGCCTCGTCGCTCTCGATGACGGCGAGGCAGTTGACGATCTGGTCGGCCGTCTGCTGCGGGCAGGTTGCGCCCGCGTTGAGCGGAATGGTGCCGGGTGCCGACTGGGCGAGCGCGCCTGTCGTCGTTGAGACCGCCACCAGGAGCAGCGTTGTGGCTAGCATGGCTGCCCGGAAGGGAATCGGCACACGCGAAGAGGAGGAGGAGCGCATCTTATCCACGTGTGTTGCAGAGTTGGCGTGCGGGTGATCCTTGTCTGCAGCACGTGCACATGTAGCGGGAGAGGGATGCGTGCGGCGAGTTCAGCTGGCTCTTATCATAAAGGCGTCCGTCCCGCTTTTGATGAGTTTGAGTGCGAGATGTCCTTCTCTCCAAGGGGGAAATTTGGATGGGCCAATGCACATCCTCCCTTCACCCGCCCTCCCCCCCCACAGGTCTTGGCACCTTGGCAGTTTCGCCTATGCATTAGTCCCACATGGCTTTGCTATAGTCTCATCGATTACATAAGCTTTCTATTGCCTCACACCCACTCCTCCACCAGCCACTCCACTCGTCTCTTGTGCATCGATCTTCCCTTGTGTCCGCGTCGGCTCCAACCGCCGCCGGCGGGGAACAAATTGCAACGTGCAAAGAGGGCCGATGCGCACACGCCTGCTCTACTCACACCACCAAGTGGTGCGGCTATAACAAGCGTCCCTCCCCAAGCGGGTCCGCACCAGCTTACCTTCGAGCGTCAGCACGTCCTCGCATCATAACCCCCCTCTCTCCCTGCGAGCAGCAGCAGCGGCGAGAAGGGTCTGGCGCAGCCGCCACAGACGACGGAGACGCAGCTGTGCGCGACGCCATGGAAACTGAACGCGCGCCTGCAGTCCGACGTGACGGTCCGCGACCGAGCGCGTGGGGGCAGAAAGTTTGTTCTACCGAAGGCGTAGCTGTGCGGCAACAGAGCGGTAGACCTGCCTCGCGGTGCCAGCCTCGGAGCCTACAATGTAGATGTGCGCCCACAATTCTGCAGGTTGGAGACAGGGCCGGTTAACACGCACGCTGGCGCAAATTCGACAGAGGTGGCAGAGAAAAGGGAGCATGTTACATGTGTGTAGGTATGGCATATCATACAATAGACCAAGCGGCGGCAGCAGCAGCAGCAGCAGCAGGCAATACACGGGGCAGCTGTGCCGTGTGCGGCCGTGGGCCATGCGAGATGCAAGAGTAGAGTCAAGGAGAGGAGAGATGAGAACAGAAGGTACTATATCCCGTTGCGACGAGACCGACAGGTGGCAGGTCAGAGGGAAAGGACCATGCGTGCATAGATAGCGTGCGTCGGACAGCAGTGAAGTCTGACGTGGTGAGATGAGGCGAGGGAAATGCGTTGTTGCGAAGGTGACAAATGACAAGGGAAAAAGTGTAAAGGCAAGCGTAAAGAGAAAAGAGAAAGGGCGGAAAAGACATATCCCCAAAATCCACCATCACAATCTAGCGGCAGTCATGAAGCTGCTGCTGCTGCTGTTGTAGGCAACGCTGCATCCTCGCTCCGTTTGTTACTCGCTTGTGGAGAACGCTGGTACGACGGCCAGAGCTCCGACGCCGCCGCCGACAAAGATGACAAGCTCACAGTGACATCGCCGCTCTCCATCGTCTCCCAACGCCACTCGTCCCAGTCTTTCTCAAGCGTGCGCAGCGAGACGTACTGCGCCTCCATGGCCTGGCGTCTCTGTCCACTGTCGGGCGCTGAAGCGCCGGACGGGGAAGATGGAGCTTTCGCGTGCTGATGCTGATGCAGTTGATTCTGGTGCTGATGTTGCGGTTGCACCGGGAGGTGGGACGCACCCGCGCTGTTCTTCGCCTCGGCATGCGCGAGCGTCTTCATGTGCGCCGCGACCTCGAGCGGGAGGCAGTAGAACCTGAGCTCAGTCGGGTTGAGCAGCTCATTGCGCAGCGACTCGATGGGGTCGGGTAGTGTGCCGAGGTGCAGCGCGTAGATGCCTGCCTCCTCTGCGTCCATGTCTTCGTAACACAGGGGCGTAAGGAGCGGCGAAGACGAGGTGCTGAGTAGCGACAAAGACGAGTCAGCCGTACTTGCGTGCGCCGGCGCGCCTGCGTCTGCGCCGTCCATGCCCATCTGCATATCATGCTCGTCCTTGACGGCCACCTGTGCAGCGGCAATGAGGGCAGCCGCGGCGAGCAGCGTCGGGGGTGCGTCCGAGGGGAGGTGGTACCCGCCACTGCCGCTGTCTGAGTGCGTGTGAATGCGCGAATCATCCGAGTCGTCGTGGTACGCAGCGCGCTCCTTGGCCACCGCCGCCGTTAGCTGCTGCCGATAGTGCTGGTGCTGCGCCTGTGCATGCGCGCGCTGCTGCTGCTGGTCCGAGCTGCTGCCGCCATGGCGTCCATGCTTGGACTTGCGGTTGACAACCTTGCGCTCGCTGCGCCGCTTTGCGCG